ATCAATTGTAGGCTTATTGATCGGTTTTGGTGCCTTTGGTGATCAATTGTTGATCAGTTTTGGTTTTGCTAGGTAAACATAAAGGTCTTTCCCTTGACGTTAAGTCCAGTCGTGTCCGACTCTATGACTCTGGCGCTCATTTCTAAGCCCAAGAGCCGGCGTTGTCCATAGGCACCTCCAAGGTCATGTGGCCACTGGCAGGACTGCATGGAGCAGTGTTACCTTCCCACCAGAGCGGTATTTATTTACTTATTTACTTATTTACAATATTTATATACCGCCTTTCTCACCCCTGAGGGGACTCAAAGTGGTTTACACATCAATAATGGCAAGATTTGATGCCTTACGTACAAACAATTGCAATTAAATCGCAATTAAACATAATTAAAGATAAATCATAATTAAAAGAATACACCAACAAGCATTAAAACAATAAAACAGTCTCGTCAGTCGAATCGCCGTTCAGTCCATGTCCCTCTAAAACGCTAACTATTGATCTCACATTTACACGTTTTCGAACGGCTAGGCAGGCAGAAGCTGGGGCTAACAATGGAAGCTCACTCCTCTCCCTGGTTTCCAACCGCCGACTTTTCGGTCAGCAAGTTCAGCAGCTCAGCTGTTTAACCTGCTGCACCACTGGGGGCTCAACCAAGCCAGTATAGTTTGACTTTTAATTGGTTGTGGATTGTGTTGATTATATTTCCAGACACACTGTCATCCTTTTGATGGGTACAAGCAATTTGTACCAATTGATCTACTCACATTGGCATGTTTTCAAACTGCTAGGTTGGCAGGAGCTAGAGCTAACAGCCGCAGCTCAACCCACTCCCAGGATTCAAACCTGCGACCTTTTGGTCAGCAAGTTCAGCAGCTTAGCAGTTTAAATCCAGTCGTGTCCCACTCTGGGACTCTGCTGCTCATTTCTAAGCCAAAGAGCCGGCGTTGTCCATAGACACCTCCAAAGCCATGTGGCAACTGGCAGGACTGCATGGAGCACAGCTACTTTCCTGCTGAAGGGGTAGCTATTGATCTACTCACACTGGCATGTTTTCGAACTGGTAGGTTTCCAGAAGCTGGGGCTAACAGTGGGAGCTCATCCTGCTCCCCAGATTCAAACCTGCAACTTTTTGGTCAGCAAGTTCAGCAGATTAGCAGTTTCAATCCAGTTGTGCCCGACTCTGGGCGGTGGTGCTCATTTCTAAGCCAAAGAGCCGGCGTTGTCCATAGGCACCTCCAAAGCCATGTGGCCACTGGCAGGACTGCATGGAGCACTGTAACTTTCCCGCCAAAGGGGTAGCTATTGATCTACTCACATTGGCATGTTTTCGAACTGCTAGATTGCCAGAAGCTGGGGCTAACAGCGGGAGCTCATCCTGCTTCCCGGATTCAAACCTGCAACCTTTTGGTCAGCAAGTTCAGCAGCTTAGCGGTTTAACCGACTGCGCCACCGTGTGCTCCTTGGTTTTGCTTTGAACAGCTTACTTATCCTGAGGACATTTGGGAGAATTGGGTTGTTGTGAGTCTTCCAGGCTGTATGGTCATGTTCCGGAAGCAGGGGCGGCTCGTCCATTACACAAAGTAAGCGGTTGCAGAACACTTTTTTTTTGCCAGGGGCGCAGAGGCGCCTCTGTAAATGCCCCTCGACCGTCACTTGAGGAGCGCCCCCCCCCCTCGGTTCACAACAGCCCTAGCAGTCCGGGGGGAGCTTCGGCTTTCTTGCCTCACTGCCGGGTGATCCTCTTCCCAAAGGGGCCGGGCCCTTGAGCCTCGCCTAGCCCCTCTCGTTCCTGCTCCACCCGGCCTGGGTGCGCGAGCAGAGCCGGTGCTCAATCGTTCTCCGCGTTCGATCCCTTCCCCATGACCGGCTCCCTTTCCCGATCCCCCGGCGCTCCACCCGCCTCCTCTCCTCTCCCCAATCCGCGGGTGGGCCAAGGGGCGGAGCCGCCGCGCCTGGCCCGCTTTGGGTCCGGAGGCGTGTCTGAAGACCCAGCGTGCGCACCAAAAGTCGCCTCTTCTCCTGACTTTCTCTTCAGCCATTGGGACCAAGAGAGAGAGAGAGAGAGAGCCCCTCCGGCTGGAGGTATCTCCCACCTCCGCTCCCTCCTTTGTTTTTGCGCCTACCTTCAGGAAAGGTGGGCATCTCCACCTCTCTCTCTCTCTCTCTCTCTCTCTTGGTCCCAATGGCTGAGGAGAAAGTCAGGAGAAGAGGTGACTTTTGGTCTTCAGGCACGCCTCCGGACCCAAAGCGGGCCAGGCAAGGGAGCAAGTGCGGCAAGTGTAGTTACTGGGATGTATAGTTCACCTACAATCAAAGAGCATTCTGAACTCCACCAATGATGGAATTGAACCAAATATGGCACACAGAACTCCCACGAAAACAGAAAATATATATCAATGATTGGTTGGGGGGGGGACGCCCCAAAATACTGTTTGCTTACCGTTGAAAATTACCTAGGGCCGCCTCTGTCCGGAAGCATTCTCTCCTGACGTTTCACCCGCATCTACAGCAGGCATCCTCAAAGGTTGTGAGACCTTTGTTTAACATTCCCCATATCTGTACCTATCTTTCAAATGTGAGTTGAATCACAGCGTGATGGGGACTGAGCTGTCACCTCATTGACGGATCCTGAGCATTTCGAGATTCCCAAGGAATCCGGAGAGGAGGAGGAGGAGGAGGAGGAGGAGGTCTCCTTTTGGCCCCGCTTCCTTCCCTCCTGCCGTGAATCTGCTCCTCCCGGTTCCTTGAATGCCAGGAGGAGTCCTGTTATTTCGTGTCTATCTATCTCCGCTTCCTCCCATATATAGGAATGAGATGAGCGCCTTGAGATACCCAATCTGTTCCCCGTTCTGGAGAGACGCGCTTCTTTCCTTCCTGAGGTTGACCTGCAGCACGTTGTGTCATTTCAGGAAGATACAGAAGGGGTTTGAACTCGGAAGAAAGAGGCAACACAGAGGAAGTATGTTGACAGTCCAAATAGGACTGTTAACATTGTATTGTCGAAGGCTTTCATGGCCAGAATCACTGGGTTCTTGTAGGGTTTTCCAGCTATAAGGCCATGTTCTAGAGGCATTCTCTCCTGACGTTTCGCCTGCATCTATGGCAAGCATCCTCGGAGTTTGTGAGGTCTGTTGGAATTAGGAAAATGGGTTTATATATCTGTGGAATGACCAGGGTGGGACAAAGGACTCCTCTTTGCTGGAGCTAGGTGGGAATGTTTCAACTGACGACCTTAATTAGCATATAATGGCCTGACAGTGCCTAGAGCAAACTTTTGTTGAGAGGGGATTAGATGTCCTTGTTGTAGGTTTTTTTGGGCTATCTGGCCATGTTCTAGAGGCATTCTCTCCTGACGTTTCGCCTGCATCTATGGCAAGCATCCTCAGAGGTAGAGAGGTCTCTTGGAACTCGGAAAAAGGGTTTATATATCTGTGGAATGATCAGGGTGGGACAAAGGACTCTTGTCTGCCAGGCCATCAAATGCTAATCAAGGTGGTCAGTTGAAACATTCACACCTAGCTCCAGCAGACACAAAGTGCACAAAGTGCACGTTCAAAAGACAATTTTTACAGGCTCAGCGCGCAACAGAACAAGGAGCAAGTTGGGCACATTCTCTGGATGGCCATCTGTCAGGGGTGCTTTGAACGCGATTCTCCTGCTTCTTGGCAAATTAGGGTTGGACTGGATGGCCCACAATGGGGTCTCTTCCAACTCTAGGATTCTCGGATTCTATGAATCTTGAAGGTTCTGTAATATTTCTGTCGGCCTCCGTACTCGTGAGAGCACCTCTCAATCGCTCACAAAATCTTATTTTGCTCTGTAGTTTTGGGTTCTAACTCTGGTCCAGATCATGTCGCACTTGAAGGCCTGTTTCCATGAATGGGGAAGTGCAACGAATGTGTGTCTTCCTGGTTCCAGTTGGATAGGAATGTGCCACCAAGAGCCACTGAAGACATAAATACACTGTGACTAACCTGTCGCATTAATTTAAATGTGACTTCAGCTTGACTGATCTCTAGATTGGAGCCCATGTACAGAGTCCCCCAGGGATAGTTGGTTAGTTACGTATATACATATTTGCAGGTTTCAGTTGTGAAGACTGATAATTAAAATGCTAACTCTAGGAATCCCTGGGTCCTCCAAGGTGACTCTGTGGTCAACCCCCACCATTGTTTTGTGATGGAGGACATAGAGATTTTCTAGAGAAGTGTTGTGTTAATTTAGTTTTTCATTCCCATTTAAGTCTTGCTCCCCTAACAAATGCAGAGGGGTGGCTGCAGTTCTGTTTTTATATATGCAATAGGTTTTCGAATTTGCCTGTATTCCACTTCCCAGATGAGTACAGACACGAATACAGGAGTTCATAATATAAAGATTTTGAAACTACAAAAAAACAAAACAAAAACAAGTTGGACAAGAAATACAATCACATAAATCAGCGTTTCTCAACCTGGGGGTCAGGGGTTTGCAAGGGGGTGTTTGAGGGGTCGCCAAAGCATCAGAAAACAATCTTTTCTATTGGTCATGGGAAGTGTGTGGGAAGAACTACAACTCCCAAATGTCAAGGTCTATTTCCCCCAAACTCCACCAGTGTTTACATTTGGGCATATTGAGTATTCATGCCGAATTTGGTCCAGATCCATCATTGCTTGAGTCCACACTGCTCTCTGGATGTAGGTGAACTACAACTCCAAAACTCAAGGTCAATGCCCACCAAAACCTTCCAGTATTTTCCGTTGGTCATGGGGGTTCTGTGTGGGAAGTTTGGCTCAGTTCTTTCATTGGTGGGGTTCAGAATGCTCTTAGATTGTAGATGAACTATAAATCCCAGCAACTACAACTCCCAAATGTCAAGGTCTATTTCCCCCAAACTATACCAGTGTTCACATTTGGGCATATTGAGTATTCATGCCAAATTTGGTCCAGATCCATCATTGTTTGAGTCCACACTGCTCTCTGGATGTAGGTGAACTACAACTCCAAAACTCAAGGTCAATGCTGTTAGGGATTCCTCATCTTCAGAAGACGAAGGGGAGCAGGAAAGTGTTCAGGAATCGGAAAGAGAATTGGAATCAGACAGTGAGGTTTTGCAAGTGCCCACATTTCTGGAAAGGCGAAAGGAAGCAGAGCAGAGACGGCGTTCAGCTAGAATGCTGCTAGAAACGCTGAGCTAATTGGGAGCCGCCCTAGCCCCTCCTGCATGGGGAATTCAGGGCTATAAGTGGGAAGCAGGAGCTGTTAGCTTTCGCTGGTAACAAACGACTCTGATGCTGATGTCTTCACTCCAATTGTACCTGCTTCGGGTCTGCTTCGAAGGATTTAGGGATCATTGCCTGTTGTCTGATGTAAGACTACTGTGTCTTTTGGACTTTATCAGAGACTTGAGTTTTGTGTCTGCATTGAGACTTCCTTGCTTCCGTTTGCATTTTTCAACTGCATGTGCTGTTCTCTTGTGTTTGCTGAAGTAAAGCATTTTTCTCTTACTTTCAACGTGGTATTAAGGCTGTTCTTGAAAGGCAAATCAGGACAAATGCCCACCAAACCCTTCCAGCATTTTCTGTTCCTCGTGGGAGTGCTGTGTGCCAAGTTTGGTTCAATTCCATTGTTGGTGGAGTTTAGAGTGCTTTTTGATTATAGGTTACCTATAAATCCCAGCAATTACAACAGTGATAGGAACCCTTAGTATGACAACCAAATTCGATATGGTTGTTGAGTAGTGGATTTTAACATTAAGATAAGTGATTTTAATGCTTTTGTATGTGTATGATCTAATATGTTTTGGCATTGAATGTTTGCCGTTTATATGTTTGTTGTGGTCCGCCCTGAGTCCCCTTCAGGGTGAGAAGGGCGGAGTAGAAATGCTTTAAATAAATAAATGATATATTATTATTATTATTATTATTAGTCACCTAAGGGCTGAGAAAAGCGGTATATAAATAAAGTAAATTATTATTATTATTATTATTATTATTATTATTATTATTATTATTATTATTATTCTCTTACACCAGAAGTGACTTGCAGTTTCTCAAGTTGCTCCTGACATGACAAAAAATGTTATGAAGTAGTAATGAAAATAATGTTATGGTTGGGAATCCCAACATGAGGAACTGGATTAAAGGGTCATGGCATTAGGAAGGTTGGGAGCTATTGTTTTAACTCAATTATGTTATGATTCTATGATTCCTCTTCTTCCTCCTCCTTTTCCTCTTTTTTGGCTTCCTTCTTCTCCTCTTCTCCCCAGAAAAGTCTTTCACTTCCAAAACTTGAATGATCACCAAGTCATTAGATCTTCTTCCTGACTTCCGAGTCTACGCAGTGAGAGCCCACGCAGGGGAACATTTCCCTAATTCAATGTTTCCATGTTTGAAAATGTACTTGTTGCTCTGGCCTGCTTCTAGGTGCAGCCACCAGTGCGGGAGAATGACGAAGACAGAAGCATTGCTCGGCTGGACGAAGGGTTAGATGAGTTCTTCACAAAGAAGGTGATCCACGAACCCCTCGTGTAAGTAAAGCCTTTGTCTCTCAATCTGGGAGCTTCTGATCAACAATAACAAGGTAGCCAGGAAGTCTCTGGTCAGCCTTTCTCAGAATATGGCATTGTTGTGACTCAGCTTGACTCTGAGTCTGAAGCTGAGGAAGCTGAGCTGTTTGGGCCTTCTGAGCTTGACTTTGGCCTGTTTGGGCCTTCTGAGCCTGACTTTGGTTTGCAGGATGAGGAGGAGGCTGATGGGTTACAGATTCCTGTACATGTTTCAGACGGGGCTGATAGTGTGGCTGCTGAAGGAGAAACAGCAAGTCAGTTTCCCGGGGAAAGGAATGTTCCTGCAGTTAGAGAGACTGATAGCGAGAGTGAAATCCCACACGGCCAGGTGGAGGATCCGTCCCAGCTGGACCCAGATAAGGGGTTGCATAGCCTTGAAGATAATGAATTAATGAGCAGACAAGATCGTTTGCAATTAAGGCTTCGGAGAAGCACTCGCTTGGCCAGCAAGCGAGAAGCCAAAGGTGCCAAAGGTCAACGCAATGCTTTCATGTTCGCAAAGGGTATTTAGTCTTGTAGCTGACGGGCTGTTTTTGTCAGTCCAACATTGCTCTTCCCATGTTAACTTCTGGAGATTTTCCTTGGCTTTTTGCAGCACGCTTCTGGCTTCCTGAGTCTGGGATTTGGGTCTTGTTTTCAACTGTTTACCATGGACTTTTGTTTGACCATTGCTAAGGGATTATGCTTCATGTTTTTGCCTTTGGATCTTGGGAACTTTGCCTTTGCATTTAAGTCTCTGTTTTGCCTATGGAACTATTGCATTTCTATTTCTTTGTTTTGATTTTGCTTTACTCAATAAACTACAAACACCTACAGCCTTGGTGTGGTGGTGTCTGGAGCAAGGTGAAAACTACCCTGAGTTGCAACAGGCATCTCAGTCAAGGAGTCGGCCAAGAATAAGCGAAAATGCCTTCTAAGCCCGACAGTTATTGAAGTTGAATTAATATTAATGCACCGAATGAATAGGACAAAAGAACATTTACTGGGTGACTTTGCTTGCCACGATTAGTTCTGAAACGGACACAGCTGATGTTTTTGAACACAGAATGACCATGAAAGGTCCAACTCTATCCCAAGCGCATAGCTTTCCTTGATGGTTCCCCATTTGTTAGACTACTGGGGCAAGGTCATCGGAAAGGTTGGCTTTGGAGATTTGAGCAAAGGTGAGGAGATGTGTCAAAAATCACACGAATTCTATTAGCTGGCTGAGAGTGGAGTGTGAGTTGGAGAGAGAACATGGTTAAGCAGTAGGCTTGGGCGGTTTCGTTCGTTAATTTCGTAATTCGTTATTAATTTGTATTTAAATTAGCTTACGATCCAATATTGAGCCATGCAGGACTACTGTGAGGAGTAATTAAAAATCGAAACAATTTTTCCAATTTATTTCGTATTGTTTCGTAATTGTTTTGTAATTGGTTCAAAATTGTTTCGAAATTTTTTCGTAATTGTTTCGTAATTATTTCCGTATGTCTGGTGCAAGTTTTATAGTTGTTGTTTGTTTTATCAGTGATAAAATAAATTATCACACCAACAGTCAACAACAGAGGGAGAGGGAAGCTTCAGAAGTTCCCCCTGTCCCATTTGGAGGTTTTTTTAGCATATTGCGCAATTGTGTCCGCCATTAACGAATCGATTCGTAATTTTACGAAATTTTGTATATTTCGAAATTTTTAAAAGGAAAATTTCGGAATTCTTTTAAAAAAACGAAACACAAGGGCCCCCCTAAAAACGAAACAAGTTTAGAACCAAATTTTTCCGTAGTTACCCAAGCCTATTAAGCACGTATTTATTAATTTACGTAGCTTCTACGTGGCAAACACGGAAGGATCCTCGGAAAAAGACTGAAGAAGGAAACCAGGGACTTGACTACGCTTTCTAAAAAGGGATTGCAACCCATTGTTGTTGTTTATTCGTTCAGTCAGATGGGGGGAGTGGGGAAATACGTTAGTGAGAAGGCTGCCCACTTCCCAAAGTCACGATGCCCTTCTCTCTTTCTTCCAGCCCGGTTTCCCCGGAGACTTTGCCGGCCACGGCCATGCCCACCCCTTCCGGCTCTCGGGCCTTCAAAAAGAAGATCGGACACTTCTTTGCCTTCAAGAAGTCCAAGTCCGGCCGGGGCGCGAGAGCGGAGAAGGAGCCGGAGGGCAGCCCCTTGGCCTCACGGTGCAGGAAACTGATGCTCGAGCGGAGGGAGAAGAAGAAGAGGAGGAACACGGTGGAAGAAGATGAGGAGGAAAAGGAAGAACAGGAGGGAGAGGAGGAGGAAGAGAGAGGACGAAGAAGAGTAGAAGGAAGAAGAAGAGGAGGAAAAAGAAGAGGAAGACGAAGAAAAGGAAAGATCGGACACTTCTTTGCCTTCAAGAAGTCCAAGTCCGGCCGGGGCGCGAGAGCGGAGAAGGAGCCGGAGGGCAGCCCCTTGGCCTCACGGTGCAGGAAACTGATGCTCAGCGACCTTCTGCGGACCCCCAGCAAAGCCAGCGAGGCCATGAAAGCGCTCAGCAAGTCCGAAGAAGAGGGGATGGCCGGGGAGGGCAGGGGCTGCTTGGAGCAAAGCCAGACCCCCGACAGCGCTCGCCGGGCCAGGCCAAAATACTCTCGGGAAGGGAAGTCCCAGTCCTTGATCCTCCTCTCCGGGGAGGGCGAAGAGGGGCTGGGCGTGCGGCACGAGAAGGTGAGCTTCTGCCCCCTGCATCCACCGTGTGCCATCTGCATCCTGTTTGCCTTGCTTCATAAAATTCAAGGGCTGGCACATCATCATCATCATCATCATCATCATCATTATTATTACTAGCCATCCCCTGCCATATGTTGCTGTGGCCCAGTCTGTGTATATGTGTTTTGTGTGTGCATATGTGTGTATATATATATGTGTGTGTTTATATAAGTGGTTTTGCGCATGCGTTGCAATGTATTTTTTGTTTTTTGACTTTTCCTGTTTTTATGAGTGATGGTCACTCATTGGCCTGAGAGGTGTCTTGTGTCCAAATTTGGGGTCAATTCATCCAGTGGTTTTTAAGTTATGTTAATCCCACAAACGAACATTACATTTTTATTTATATAGACTAGCCGTCCCCTGCCACACGTTGCTGTGGCTCAGACTGTGTATATGTGTTTTGCGTGTGTATGTATGTGGATATATGTGGGTTTTTGGCTTTTAAAGTCCCTTCCACTGTGTTTTTCAGTGTTTTACTATTGAGGGTCACTCATTGGCCTGGTAGGGGAATTGTGTCCAAATTTGTTGTCAATTCGTCCAGTGGTTTTTGAGTTATGTTAATCCCACAAACGAACATTACATTTTTGTCGAAGGCTTTCATGGCCAGAATCACTAGGTTCTTGTGGGTTTTTTCGGGCTATGGCCATGTTCTAGAGGCATTTTCTCCTGACGTTTCGCCTGCATCTATGGCAAGCATCCTCACCGCACTACCTCTGAGGATGCTTGCCATAGATGCAGGCGAAACGTCAGGAGAAAATGCCTCTAGAACATGGCCATATAGCTCGAAAAAACCTACAAGAACCCATTACATTTTTATTTATATAGATTGTTTTCTATAGATTGGGAAGTTTGCCCAGTTATGTCGTTGGTGGAGTTCAGAATGCTCCTTGATTGTAGCTGAACTATAAATCGCAGTAACTACAACTCCCGAATGTCAAGGTCTATTTCCCTCCCAAACTCCATCTGTGTTCATATTTGGGTATATGGAATATTCGTGCCAAGTTTGGTCCAGATCCATCATTTGTGAATCCATGTTAGTCTCTGGATGTAGGTGAACTACAACTCCCAAACTCAAGGTCAATGCTTACCACACCCTTCTAGAGTTTTCTGTTGGTCATGGGAGTCCTGTATGCCCCGGTTGGTTCAATTCTATCATACTGTTTGGTTGTAGGTGAACTATAAATCCCAGCAACTACAACTCCCAAATGACAAAATCAATTTTTTTGAGTGAAGGACATACATTGGGTTGTTAGGTGTCTTGTGTCCAAATTTGTTGTCAATTCGTCCAGCGGTTGTTGAGTTCTGTTAATCCCACAAACGAACATGACATTTTTATTTATATAGATTATTATTATTATTATTATTATTATTATTATTATTATTAATGGGATCTGCACGCATCATTTGAAAATACATCACACAGTCCTAGACGTTTGGGAAGTGTGCCGTCACACCCAGGCACTATGCTTCTCTCTCTATCCGGGTGAACTGCGAGTGCCTCACTTAGAAGCTCAGGATTCCCAGCAACTGAGGCCAGTCCAGATTTGAACATCAAACAGAACATGGATTTCTCAAAGTCCTTGACAGACTTGGCACAGCTTGATTTATTATTTACTTTATTTATTTACTTTATTTGTATACCGCTCTTCTCAGCCCTTAGGCGACTCAGAGCGGTTAACAACACAGTTTCAATATACATGGTACAAAATCATTGGACATTTAAAGCAATAGTAAACAATTAATTAAACCGCAAACAGCAAACATCAATATCAATATAACAAATCCATCACGTCTCATCGCTAGAATCAGAATCCATCCTCATTATCCTTATTCCGTGTTCCAATAATCGATTGCACTGCCTAGTCGAATGCCTGTTCAAAAAGCCAGGTCTTCAATTTCCTCCGGAATACTAACAGGGAGGGGGCCGATCTGATCTCTGTAGGGAGAGTGTTCCACAGCCGAGGGGCCACCACTGAGAAGGCCCTGTCTCTCGTCCCCGCCAGGCGCGCTTGTGAAGCCGGCAGGATCGAGAGCAGGGCCTCCCCAGACGATCTTAGTGTCCTAACTGGTTCATAGGAGGAGATGCGTTCAGACAGGCAGGTCGGGCCAGAACCGTTTAGGGCTTTAAAGGCTAAAGCCAGCACTTTGAATTGTGCCCAGTAGCAAATTGGCAGCCAGTGGAGCGCAACAGAGGAGTGGTATGCTCCCTGAGTGCCGCTCCTGTTAGCATCCTGGCTGCCGAACGTTGGACTAGTTGAAGCTTCCGAGCAGTCTTCAGAGGCAACCCCACGTAGAGAGCGTTGCAGTAGTCTATACGGGATGTGACTAGAGCGTGGACTACCGTGGCCAAGTCAGACTTCCCAAGGTACGGGCGCAGCTGGCGCACAAGTTTTAACTGATGAAGTTACAAACACAGAGTCTCTTCTCACACCAAAGTTACACAGGAGCTTCACACAGTAGCTTTACACACAGAAGCCTTCACGCTGAATCTTCACACACGAAGGCCTTCAAGCTAGGGCTTCCCTCACCAAAGCTTCTGACGCACCAAGCCTATGCATACTGAGGCCTACCTCACACTGAGGCCTTTCTCCCACAGAGACCTCTCTCAGACTGAGGGCTACTAAGCTACAGGCACACCGGCTTATATTGACCGGCATCTTTTGCTGAGTCGTGGCATGCATTTAACCCTTGCAGTGCTTGACTCACATTTTGTAATTAAAATATCTAGTTAATATTTGATATTTTTGACAAGATTTGCGTGCCGTACAGGCTGTCCTGTGCCTTCAGGTATAGTGCTCCGTCACAGGTTTTGCAAGACGGAACTGCCAATCAATCCAGTATCTGTATGTACGTGTGTGGTTAATGGAATGGGAAGGGTTCCCAATCATGTGTTGAGCTGGCCTTGCAAAGCAACCACCCCTTAGATGTGTTGCAGCGAAGCCAGGCAGCCCCAGTGGTGGACGACTATGAATTTATTTATTTATTTATTTATTTATTTATTTATTTATTTATTTATTTATTTATCGTGTCAGTGCAACCAGTTGATTATATTACATTTCTAACAGAACAAAGCAAAAAAAAAAAACCCAGAAAAATACAAAATTTGCAAGTTTGGTCGTTGATTAAACGTCCTTTGACCAGTCTCTGGCCCCTTGGAGTGCCTCTGGTGTTGCTATAAGAAGATCCTCCCTGGTGCATGTGGCAGGCTCAGGTTGCATTGCAGCAGGTGGTCAGTGGTTTGCTCTTCTCACACTCGCATCGTGGATTTCACTTTGTGGCCCCATTTCTGAAGGTTGGCTCTGCATCTCGTGGTGCCAGAGTGCAGTCTGTTCAGCGCCTTCCAAGTCTGTGTGCCCAAGGGGGAGTCTCTCATTTGGTATGAGCCATTGAGGTTCTGGGTTTGAGCCTGCCACTTTTGGACTCTCGCTTGCTGACGTTTCCCAGCAAGTGTCTCTGTAGATCTTAGAAAACTATTTCTTGATTTCAGTCATTGACGTGCTGGCTGATACCCAAACAAGGGATGAGCTGGAGATGTCTCTGCCTTGGTCCTTTCACTATTGGCTGCCACTTCCCGGCGGATGTCAGGTGGTGCAATACCGGCTAAGCAGTGTAGTTTCTCCAGTGGTGTAGGGCGCAGACACCCCGTGATAATGCGGCATGTCTCATTCAGAGCCACATCCACTGTTTTAGTGTGGTGAGATGTGTTCCACACTGGGCATGCAGACTCAGCAGCAGAGTAGCATAGCGCAAGGGCAGATGTCTTCACTGTGTCTGGTTGTGATCCCCAGGTTGTGCCAGTCAGCTTTCGTATGATATTGTTTCTAGCACCCACGTTTTGCTTGATGTTCAGGCAGTGCTTCTTGTAGGTCAGAGCACGGTCTAGAGTGACTTCTCCCAGGTATTTGGGTGTGTTGCAAGGCTCCAGTGGGATTCCTTCCCACTGACTGGATGACTGAGTGAATGGCATGGCACTTACCATCCTTTGCACCCAGGTTTGTCGTGTGCTTTGCTCTGCAGAAGAGGCCTCTCGAAAGAAGCGACGGTGAGCTGCCCAACTCCTTTGAGCAGCGTGTCCAGGTCATGCTGCATCGGATTGGGGTCACCAAAGTGTTATCCTCGGAGGGCAAAAAGAAGCAGGTGAGTGTGAGGAAGCCGTGTCATTATCAATATCAACTTAGGAGTTGGATGCTTACATTTAATAACCCTAATTTGGTCCTTCTTGTTGTTCTTGTGCAGGGCTGTTTGGCTTAGAAAAAATTGTATCAGAGGCAAGGCTTGAGAAAAACAGTAACAGGTTTATTGGAATAGAACAGAAGTAGAATAGATTCAATGCTGCTTCACTCTAGAGGCACAAACTTAGCTGGTTGCATTGATAGAAGTTCTTGAATGACTCTAGGCACCAAAGGTTTCTTTAGGCAGATGTTTCTTTCTTTAACAACCGTTCTGGTAATACTAATAAGCCACTTGACTTACTTAACTGTATTGGCTCCAAGCCAAATCTTGATTCTTAATCAAATAATCAGTCCTCCCTGTGGTTCTATCACTACAGGATTCCAGTTGGATTTCTACTTCCACACAGGATCAACTACCCCTGTAGTTCACAACTACAGATCAGTTCCTTGATCCTCTCACTGGAGAATCCTCTCCTGTAACCTTCCGGCTACAGACTACTGATTCACAGATCAGTCCTCTCCTGTAACTCTCTGCTTACAGACTGCTGATTCACAGATCAGTCCTCTTCTGTAACTCTCCGGCTACAAACTGACAACTTTCAAAAAGCTGCGCTGCCAAGTGGCAGTTGGCAGTTGGCCCCGCCCCCGTTGCTATGGCAACTCAGCTCAAGGCAAGCCAAGCCAGTTACCATCCCTAATAAAATACAATTCTACATACTTACCATTACTAACTATTGTCTAAACAATACATGACTATAGGAATAAAAATACACATCGTCACAGTGAGCAACTCTCATCCTTGCCCACAATTGCTTTAAGCTGGGAAAGTAATATGTCTACAGTAATAGGTCAGCTGCTGTCCCCACCTTTTTGCCTTGTTTTTTACTCGTGTTCTATTTTGAAATGGTCATATGACTGGCCAAATAAATAAATACATTATTATTATTATTATTATTATTATTATTATTAGTAATATGCATTTACTTGTGCATCAGCCCCATAAATATGTATGACACTGTGCAGTTTGGGTGTGTTGCGTAAAATGGGTGTAAAGTGTTGTTGATGTGCAATGTCTTGTTTGAGCCCCTTTCCTTGCGTTCGTTTGCAGAGCAAAGACGGAGAGATCAAGAAGGCTGGTTCTGATGGTGAGTAGGAGTTGCTGATCCGATTCCTTCTCCTTCTGCTTACCATTAATCACTATCTCCATGCATTTGCTGTTTGCTTCTGTGGGGATCGAGGCATTTTTACACATTTGGGGGTTCTAAGCAAAACCGACCCAAAATTTCCACCACATCTGCAAGGTGTTGTAGTGGAAATGCCCCACAAGGGATCTTTAAGAGCATTTTGGAGCAAAATCGTGTGTTTAGCTCAGAATGGAGATCAGATCAGGGGCTTCAAAACATGGATACCACCTAAAATGCATTTGGAAACAAAACTGTTTTTTGCAGAAAAAAGTACACGGACCGTTCCTGTGCTCTACTGCGGTGTTTGAGCAGTTTCTACACTGCAAGGAATCTACGTTGCCTTGAGATTGATGTCTGCATCAAGACAGACAAAAATGCTGACGTTCCTGACTAAAACTGAGACCCTTATTGACCTCTCAAATTGTCTCATATAAAATTCCTGCTTGGAAACTGTCCTTGGTTTTATCAGCAAGCTTCTGAAAAACACAGGTGGCTCAAACTCCAAGAAAGGAGATTCCATCTGAACATGAGGAAGAACTTCCTGACTGTGAGATCCGTTCAGCAGTGGAACTCTCTGGCCCGGAGTGTGGTGGAGGCTCCTTCTTTGGAAGCTTTTAAACAGGGCTGGATGGCCATCTGTCAGGGGTGATTTGAATGCAATATTCCTGCTTCTTGGCAGAATGGGGTTGGACTGGATGGCCAATGAGGTCTCTTCCAACTCTTGAATTCCTGACTGTGAGAGCCGTTCAGCAGTGGAACTCTCTGCCCTGGAGTGTGGTGGAGGCTCCTTCTTTGGAGGCTTTTAAACAGAGGCTGGATGGCCATCTGTCAGGGGTGATTTGAATGCAATATTCCTGCTTCTTGGCAGATGGGGTTGGACTGGATGGCCCAGGAGGTCTCTTCCAACTCTAGGATTCTATAGGCTGGCTCTACACTGCCATATAATCCAGATTATCTAATTTGAACTGGATTATATGAGTCTAAGGTAAAAATTGCCTCTTGACATTAAGTCTAGTTGTGCCCAACACTGCAGGGTGGTGCTCACCTCCATTTCTAAGCCAAAGAGCCGGCGTTCTCCATAGACGCCTCCAAGGGCATGTGTCCAGCATGGAGCACCATTACCTTCCCTCCAGAGTGGTACCTATTGATCTACTCATATTTGCATGTTTTCGAACTGCTGGGTTGGCAGAAGCTGGGGCTAACAGTGGGAGCTCACCCTGCTCCCTGGATTCGAACTGCAGGCGTTCTGGTCAGCAAAGTTCAGCAGCTCATGGTTTAACCCGCTGTGCCACCGGGGGCTCTATGAGTCTACACTACAATATAATCCAGTTCAAATCAGATGATATGGATTCAGAAACTGGATCATATGGCAGTATAGATGGGGCCATTGTTGCAGATACCTGGAAATCTGGGAGTGAGTAATTCTGCAACAAGAAAAGAGGCTCTGGAGAATGTTCCAGCCCACAGGTAGCCTGTGAATGACCTGTGAGAAGGTGCCGTCTCCGAGATTGAACCAGGCCTGCGCAGAGGTGACATCTACCAGGCCGGAAGGGGAACGCGCACTCAGAATCTCAAGGTGGAACTCATGTCCATAGAGTCTCGATTGCCTGTTTCATTCGAGCAACTATCTAAATGCAACTGTTTGACTCCTTCCAGGGGACATTGTGGATACTAGTTCTGCAGAGCCTCCTCCTTGCGCCTTGAAATCTCGCACGCACTCCGTGTCCACAGGTAGGAACGTTTTTTCAGATGGGAATGTTTCTGTACCTGGGTGCTTTTGAATACTGCTTCCCCTCCTCCCTTGCACCACCTACTCAAACCAGACCTCACTAGTTTATGTAGATCTGCCACTGCCACCTCCTCATCGAACTCAGGCCCAGAGTAGTGGACCAGGGAGCAGATTTCCTCCCAATGCAGAAATTTATTTATTATTTATTTCGGGCACTTCTACCCCGCCCTGCTTTTTTTTTCCATTTCTTTCTTTATTATTATTATTATTATTATTATTATTATTATTATTGTATTGTCGAAGGCTTTCATGGCTGGAATCAATCAGTTCTTGTGGGTTTTTTTGGGCTATATGGCCATGTTCTAGAGGCATTTCTCCTGACGTTTCGCCTGCATCTATGGCAAGCAACCTCACCTCTGAGGATGCTTGCCATAGATGCAGACGAAACGTCAGGAGAAATGCCTCTAGAACATGGCCATATAGCCCAAAAAAACCCACAAGAACTCATTATTATTTTTAATTAATTATTTGACACACTCTCATATATAATCAGAAAATATACGTTCAGAAATACTGGAACATGTCTAGATCTGTATGTAGACAGCAACTTGTACAAAGTAAGTATAACATATTATACCATTCACTCGAGTTTAAGACACTTTCAAAGGAAAATCCATGCAAACTATTCCTAACTAGAACTGTGTCTATCTAGCTAGCAGCAATAGTGTCATCAGCTACTCCCACCCCCATATCATATGCAAAAAATAAGTAAATGCCAATGTATTTGAGGAGGGGGGGGGGGTTCCTTGCAAGTTAAGAAATGTATCTTCAAGATCTTTATTAATGACTTAGATGAAGGGCTAGAAGGCAGGATCATCAAGTTTGCAGACAACACCAAATTGGGAGGGAGAGCCAAGACTTCCAGAGGACAGGAGCAGGATTCAAAACGATCTTGACAGATTAGAGAGATGATGGGCCAAAACTAACAAAATGAAGTTCAACAGGGACAAATGCAAGAGACTCCACTTTGGCAGGAAAAACGAAATGCAAAGATACAGAATGGGGGACGATGAGGCCTGGCTTGCGAGCAGGACGTGGGGAAAAGATCTTGGAGTCCTCGTGGGGAGGAAGTTAAACATGAGCCAGGAATGTGATGTGGCGGCAGAAAAAGCCAATGGGATGTTGGCCTGCATCAAGAGGAACCTAGTGTCTAGATCTAGGGAAGTAATGCTCCCCATGCTCTATTCCGCTTTGGTTAGACCACATCTGGAATATTGTGTCCAATTCTGGGCACCACAATTCAAGAGAGATATTGACAAACTGGAATGTGTCCAGAGGAAAGCAACTAAAATAATAAAAGGTCTGGAGAACAAGCCCTATGAGGAGCGGCTTAAGGAGCTGGGCATGTTTAGCCTGAAGAAGAGAAGGCTGAGAGGGATATGATGATAGCCATGTATAAATATGTGAGAGGAAGCCACAGGGAGGAGGGAGCAAGCTTGTTTTCTGCTTCCTTGGAGACTAGGATGCAATGGGACAATGGCTTCAAACTACAAGAGAGGAGATTCCATCTGAACATGAGGAAGAACTTCCTGACTGTGAGAGCCGTTCAGCAGTGGAACTCTCTGCCCCGGAGTGTGGTGGAGGCTCCTTCTTTGGAAGCTTTTAACAAGAGGCTGGATGGCCATCTGTCAGGGGTGATTTGAATGCAATATTCCTGCTTCTTGGCAGAATGGGGTTGGACTGGATGGCCCAGGAGGTCTCTTCCAACTCTTTGATTCTATGATCTATTCTATGATCTAAGATGGTTTCAGAGTATGTCCAAATACATCTTGATATGACATCAATAAAAAAGAAAACAAGAATGGGAGCAGGCAACCAAGTACTCTCTTATGACTAGAGCTTTCTGACTATTTTACATACACAGGCATGGACAGCTGCAAAAACCCAATTTGCGTAAATTGAAGGATGTCCAAAAGCATAATCAAATGTTTCATTAGCATTATGCCAACATATATAACTTTTCCAGGAATCACTTTTTTCTATTGTATAGCATTCCAGCTTGTCCACATAGTATTACATATTTCTTTTTATTTCTTTTTTTAATTCTTTCCCTTCTCTTTTCTTTTTCCCCCTTTTTCTCCCTTCCTTTTCTTTTCTTGAGAACCATACATAAACATCCACATAATATTCACATCTCAGGAGTTCCACCATAACACATATACCATGGAAAAGAAAGTCACACCAAAAGAGCAACAAAGGATTCCTCATCATTTCTTTCTTCAGAAGGAAGTCAAACTATTGGATGAAAATCCGGATTTTGTATTAGTCAACCCCCGAGGGGGGGGGGGGGGGGACTCAGGGCAGCTTACAACCGGCACAATTCGATGCCAACAATTCAACAGATAAAATACATAACAGCAATAGCCACAATAGTTTAAAACAATCAATTAATACAATAACAACTAAAAAGCCAGTCTTGTGGCCAAACGTTCACCAAGTTCTAACATCCGTAAGTCCATTCAGCATTACCATAGTCCTTTCCAAAATTCTGGTCATCATTACCTTGTCAGTCTGCCAGATTACCCAAGCAACATCAAAGCAGCCGATTTATTTCAGAACTTATTTCCTCTCTTCCCTCCTTCGCAATTCTCCCTCGGCTGCATTCCCAATAATGACGAGCATTTAAAGTCGTTTTTAGTTTGGTTGTCCCTTTTGTATGTCCTATGAATCATGGGAATAACATGTTAAGAGCTTCATTTATGCTGCACAGGTGGAGCAAAATACAGCACTCTTGTGCCTTAAACAGACAGGGAAAAAATCATGGATAAATTGCCAGTAGGCTGTTAGGAATTGTGGGAGTTGAAGTCCAAAACACCTGGAGGGCCCAAGTTTGCCCAGGCCTGCAATTTTCTAAATCAGTGCCTCACAGAACCCCAGGAACAGGCCTAAAAACCAAGACACCAAGAAAAAAAAATGTAATAATATTATTAATACTACTACTACTACTAATAATAATAATAATAATAAACAGTATGTATTGTCGATGTTGCAATCCCAGGTGAGAGTAGGATTCAAGAGAAACAACTGGAAAAGCTGACATGATACGAGGATTTAAAGATCGAACTGCAAAGACAAGCCAGTCAAAGGGGTCCCAGTGGTGATCGGCACACTGGGTGCAGTTCCTCAAGACCTTGGCCTGCACTTAAACACAATCGGTGCTGATGAAACTACCATCTGTCAGCTACAAAAGGCCACCCTACTGGGATCTGCACGCATTATTCGCTGATACATCACTGTGCTGTCGCGCGCTGGGCCTAGGACAATGTCTGTTTACAGGACATGCTTTCTGTATGCCCAACAGGATGCCGGGGTGCCTCAGCTAAAGGGTCCCACAGGTTTCCCAACACAAAGTTCTGTAAAGGCTCAAAATAGGTTCAGCAAAGTTCTTTATCAAGGCTTAAATCTTTGAACAAATGAATTAAATGCTATATAATCTTGAAAAATGGATAGCTTTCTTGATCTGCTGACAAGGGACAGGCAACTGTTTGATAAACTGTTCCTATCTTCTTTAGGGAAACCTTAGTTCCGACCCCTCCTTGGGCAATCTCTCTTAACCCTGCTGGCGTGAGGCCCCAACTCTGGCTCCAATCTGTGTTATGGATAGCCTGAGTGGTGCCTTACCAGGCAATGGTTGCTGCAGATCTGCCAAGATGGTGTCTTTTTAGTTTCTCCACGAAGGCTGTGGAACTGTAACTTTACTCTCCAGCAAAGCTGTAGAGGCTTTCTTCTTCTTCTTCTTCTTCATCTTCTTCTTCTTCATCTTCTTCTTCTTCTTCATCTTCTTCTTCTTCTTCTTCTTCTTCTTCTTCTTCTTATTCCCAACAAAAGCTGGCTGTAGATCTATATCTTTGACCCCGGCAGAGCGAAGCTTTTTACAGGTGGGGTAGAGAAAAGCCCACACGTCCTACTGTAAGGCTTCAAACTGTGAGACTGAACTGAAAGTCCCCCTTTCCCTCCAAAACCTGGGGAAAGGGACGGATCTAAAGACTCTAATGATGATTGATAGGTTGTTGGCCCTATGATTGCAACCTGGGGAAAGCTACCCAATTGTAAAAAAGCATAGGTTAAATAGATTCCTGCAAACTAACAGTGCAAGAAAAAGAATCAAATCTCTTGGCACAGCCGTGCCAGCACAATCACACAGTCCTAGACCCTTGGGAAGTGTCCAACGTGTGATCCAATGCAACAGCCAGAAAAGTTTCTGCTGTGGACTCAGACTTGTTGTGTTTCAAATAGTAGCAATAATAATAATAATAATAATAATAATAATAATACTTTATTTATACCCCACCACCATCTCCCCAAGGGGACTCGGGCGGCTTACATGAGGCCAAGCCCAACAATACAGCAAAGCAAATATCCAACATAAAAATGCAACAATAAAATATAGTGAAAATAAAATACAAAATAATACAAAAAACAATACAACTAAACACACAAGGCGATATAAAATCACAGCAATTGAATACAGTAGGCAGGGCCGGTTGCAAAGATTAAAAGTTTAAAAACACTGGGTGGGAAAGCAATGTAATGTATCTGGAAGGAGGATCAGATGGGATGAAAAACAATGGGGTTTGATTGCACTAGGGGATAGAATAAAGGGCTTCCAAGGACATTTTATGTAGGGTTCGGTCAAGGCCAGGGATTATTATTCATTCATTGAAGGCACACTGGAACAGCCAAGTTTTCAGACTCTTCCTAAAGACTGCCAGGGTGGGAGCTTGCCTAATTTCTCTGGGGAGTGAGTTCTAGAGCCGAGGGGCCACCACGGAGAAGGCCCTCTTTCTTGTCCCCACAAGTCGCACGGAGTCGGGAGTGAGAGAAGGGCCTCTCCGGAAGATCGAAGGGGTCGTGAAGGTTCATAGAAGGAAATGCAGTCACGAAGGTAAGCGGGCCCCAAACTGCTTGCACCTTGAATTGGGGCCGGAAGATAAATGGCAGCCCGTGGAGCTCCTTAAACAGGGGGGTTGATATAAGAAGAGAATTCCACTGTAAACAACCAAAGGGGAATCTGCAGGCTTCAGTTTAGAGAAATCCTTCCTTGGAGGTGCAGAGTCACCTTTCCAAAGTGGATAATAGGTGAGAGGTAGGAGGAAAGGTGGCCCGTCTTTTGCTCTGAGTCAATCCTGTGTGATGTTGTGTTGCAGATCCTTCTGTGCGCATGGAGGTCGTGGGCAGGACGGGCAAAGAGCCAAGTGTTGGATCCTGCGAGGGGAGGCTTTCCTGGAGAGCTCTGGGGAGGCAGCTGAACGCAGAGCTGAAGGGCAAATGCTCAGAACTCGGCTCTTCCCCGAGGAGAGCGTGCGCCGCTCCGGAGCCCACCAGCCCCCGAGAGCAGAAAGGTAGGGAGAGGTGGAGCAGCAGCTTGCCCCGGATTGGGAGGAGCACGGCCGGCCACCTTCCTCACCGGAGGACGAGCAATGCCGGAGACGGACACCCACCTGCCCAACCACAGCATCCCTGCCCTGATGGAAACACCATCGCTGGAGGTATGTCGATAGCTACTGATGCTAGCCGAGCATTCTGCTCCATGCAACATTGCTGCTTCCTTTCCCACCTCTTTTCAACAGAGGCCACAACCGGGAGGCCACAAAACCTTCTTTTAGATTCTCTCTCATTGACAAAGCCCAGTTTTGTATCGCTTCCCTCAGAACTGCTCTCAGCTTACCGAGGCCTCCTTGGTGACGAAATGGAAATCATGTGTAGTTCTCTGGCGTAGTCTTGCCAGAGAAAGAAAATATGCCACACAGATTAACAGTAAAGAACAAGTAGTTTATACTTCATAATTCGGAGCAACATATGTACAATCATGTGATCCATTGCATTGACTCACATAATGTCCTTGTGGAGAAATTCCTTCCAGCTACTCATGAAGCAAGACAACACTCCAAACTATTTATCTCTCTGCTTGTCTCAAACCTGAAAAATGTAACAGTACCCAAAAGTCCCAGGCTCAGCCAGCTCCCTAGTAGTAGCCCCAGCCAGCTTTCTGCATCTTATTTTACAGTTGACACACACATATGTACAATCATGTGATCATTTGCATCAACTCACATAATTTCCTTTTTGAGAGATTTAAAATACACTTTCATTTGTCCCTTCCAGCAACCCATGAAGCAAGAGAACACTCCAAACTATTTGTCTCTCTGCTTGTCTCAAGCCTGAAAAATGTAACGCATCTCCTCCTATGAACCCACTAGGACATTAAGATCATCTGGGGAGGCCCTGCTCTCGGTTCCGCCAGCATCACAGGCATGCCTGGCGGGGACAAGAGACAGGGCCTTCTCAGTGGTGGCCCCTCGGCTGTGGAACGCCCTTCATACAGATATCAGATTGGCCCCCTCCTTATTGGCATTTCGGAGGAAAGTGAAGACCTGGTTGTTCGAACAGGCATTCGATTAGGCAGTGTAATTGATTACAGGAACACGGCATAATGGATGATGAGATTGGATTCTGATTCTATAGATGAGACGTGAATGATTTGTCATATTGATGTTTAATTGTTGTTATGCTATTGTTTTTAAATGCTCCAGTGGTTTTGTAATGTGTGTATTGAAATTGCTGTTGTTAACTGCTTTGAGTCGCCTAAGGGCTGAGAAAAGCGATATATAAATGAAATAAATAAATAAATAAAATAAATAAACAGTATCCCAAAGACCCAGGCTCAGCCAGCTCCCTGGGCAAAGCCCCAGTCAGCTTTGTGCATCTTATTTTACAGTTGACACACACATGCTAACTGGTTTTTTACATGCTCCAACATTCTTCGATGCCATACCGTTGTTTGCTTCTTTTCAGACAATCAACTCAAACCCAAATCCCGCCTGAAGCCTGTGGTAAACCGGAGGGCCATGTCTGTCCATGAAGAACAGCTCAGGGGCCAGGCCTGCGAAGCAGAGCTGCACCGTAAGTAAAGGCTGAGAGAAAAGATCAAGAATGGCTATAGGTCATGGTTTGAATCAGGGTCAGGGAACACACGGCCCCTCAGAAGTACAATCTCCATCTTCCCTTACCGCTCGCAAGCTTGTTGTGCCCAATGGGAAATTAGGGTTGGCAATATCTAGACAGCTAGTCTTCAGGTAAGAAAAGTACAGGACACCTAAAGTTCTCAAGACCTTTCTTGCAAAGCCCAGAAGGCCCAGCATTAATATCTATCTACCTGTCTACCATAATTCACGGTGAAATAGTCACACTTCTTCTCCCTTTTTATTGTTAGCCTCATGTCTGTCTCAACGAAAGCCTGCTTCCTTTGAGGTTCCGTTAACGCGTTCACCTGCCTTCCATTTCTGCAGATGCAAAATTCCCCCTTTGTTTGCAACGCTCACCTGTCCTGAAGTGGAAGATTAAACCCAAGTCCCCGTTGGAGCCTGAAACATCCGCACCACCGGATTCCCCAGGTAAACATGCCCAAAAGTGTATCATGTCTCTCCTTACATACCAACTAAACTACTATTCTACTAAAACTCCTATTCAGAAAAACGTAAAAGTTTATTATGGTCACTCCTGTGAAGTAAAGCCAGTATAATCAAAAATTCAACAATATCCTTTCCTCTGCAAAAGGACTTTCAGGTGACTCGTCCTAGATTAAAATATTCTGCAGATTTCCTCCTTTCCAGGACTGTGATCTAATGTTAAGCCAAAATGTACCTTCTTCATTGCTATCTCATCCAGTGTTTTATCATTTTGTGTCGTGCATTTGGCCCGCCCACTGTGTTTTATTTTCCATTATGTTACGAGGGGTATTTTTTAAGTAAGGTCCATTTGAACATAAGTACACAACGAAGTTTATTTCAAAAAAAGTAAATTTATTTTCAGAAAGTACATACTTCACTCTATTTTTCGACATAGTTGCCAAGTTTGTTCAAACACTTATCATACCTCTGAACCAATTTTAAAATACCCTCTTCATAAAAACTTGCCGCCTGCTCCGATAACCAAGAGTTCACTGCCGTCTGTAATCAAAGAAGGGTGACCGGAGCGGTCCTCATCATGGACGTTGTCACGGCCATCTTTGAATGGTCATACCCACTTACGCACTTGGCTTTCACTCATAACAGTATCAGCGTACACTTCACAAATCTGTCGATGAATTTCTGCAGCAGGAGGGTTCCTTGCTGACAAAAACCGTCTCACTGAGTGAACCTCACATGCAGAGGGTCAGTTTTTAAACATTTTTAAAGCACAGAACAGAACCGTACAGGTGAGCTACAGAGTGGAAACTGAGCACAGTTGTTCCCGAGGCATGCCGGTACACGACGCACGCGCTTGTTGCGGTATGCGTGCGAACTACTAGTGTCTACAACAAAACGGACCTTACTTAAAAAATACCCCTCGTATTTTGCACTGTTTATTTTACTTGATTGGTTTATTTATTTTACTGTGATGTTATTTTGTTGTTTATATTTGATGTTGCTGTAATGTATTGCTGGGCTTGGCCTCATGTAAGCCGCTCCAAGTCCCCTTTGGGGAGATGGTGGTGGGGGATAAATAAAGTTGTTCATCATCCTCATCATCATCCTTAAAGCCTGCGGGCCAGGCCACTGCAGATACGATTCTGACATGATGCCTGTGGGTTCTCCGACAGGGATTCCACCCCAAGAAAGGAACGTGGCGGCCACAGAGTCGAAGCAAAGAGCAGAAATGGAAGAGGAGTTGGAACAAGCTTTGGAACAAATTCTAGAGAACGCACAAAACACAGCTCTAGACCAAAGAACTGCGGTGCCGCTCCCCAAGTCCCCAACACGCGAGCATTGAGTCCGTGGCTGGAGCTTCGACACGAGCAAAGGACGGAGGCTTCAGACTTGAGGCAGCAGGGCACCGCTGCTGGAGCGCCCCCAGCAGTTCCGCACAGAGCCAAACAAATGCCAGGCCTCCACTGTGGCTCCCAAATTGGTCAGTGGCCTTTCCAACAGGGATTGGTGACGTCTACGCTTCTGCACGTCTTCTTGGTTGTCCCTTTTCACCTTTCGCTCTTGTGTCCTCCCATGTAAGTGCCCAGTATTCCCATGGTTCAGGTGACGGAGGCCAAAAACAGACTGTACTAGAAACGGGCTACTTCCAGCTGCAGTTGTCTAGCTGGCCCTCGATATCATAGATGTGAAGAAGGATAGTGCCAGAAATTGAGAACCACCAGCAAGAGGAGGACAGGGGAATCATTTGTGCACACTCACCTTGCCAGCCTTGCATTATGTTTCAGGAGGTTGGCGCTTAGCCCGTGGTGGAGTGGACCGGAAAAGCGTGAATGCCAAGTTCAGCCACAACGCAAAGTGGTCAGTCTCACATTGACAATCTTCCTCCTTTCAGCCTATATCGCATCCGTTCCCCTGGTCCTACTGCCTTTGGCTAGCTCCCCTCATCGCATGGTGGTTCTTTGAGCGGTCACCCATGCCCTCACACAAATGGGTTTGTGCCTGTGCAGAGGTTCAATTCAGGATGTTCCAGAAGTGACGGGGTGGTGGGAATACCTGTCCCCTTCCCACATGTTCTCACCGGCCAAGGTAATATCTCCTCCATGTTGAAATCTACTGTGGAACATTGCAGGATCTAGATAAGGGGAGGGAGGATGGGTCTGTGTGAAGCACAGAGACCCATTCAAAGAGCCCGTTACAGGTCACCAGCGTGTTCTTCTTGGGCTCTGTGCCTCATACAAATGGGTTACTACAAACTTTACTAACAGGTGGGGGATCAGGTCACCAAAGAATAGATGGGAGGACCAAAGTTGACACCTACCCTAGATCTACATTCCATTTGGCAGTGAAGGAAGGAAGGAAGGAAGGAAGGAAGGAAGGAAGGAAGGAAGGAAGGAAGGAAGGAAGGAAGGAAGGAAGGAAGGAAGGAAGGGGTCAGAGACCAGGCCACAGCTTTCCCTCCGTCTGAAATGGAGCGTGCAGTCCATTTGGAAATCTCTGCGAATGCACTTGTTTAAGGGCAGCAGACAGAAGGGATAAGAAAAAGGAGGCAAGGGGTTAAATGGCAAGGGATGATGCTACTCAACAAGAGAACCATCTGAAGAGAAGCTGTTCTACTGACAGAGGAAAAGGACGGGAGGGCAATCTTCTCAGTGAGCCACAGGACCTGCGTGGCAGAATGAGAGAGGACTGGTGTCCCCACCAAGCTTTCCAGCTCTGGAAAATTCCAAACTGAGCTTCTGCATAGGCACAAATCCATTTGTGTAAGGCACAGAGACCACAAAGAAGGATCTACATTCTCGTCAATTATCCACTGATGTCAGTGAGGTGTTTGGCATGAACGAAGCAGGAGCAGAGTGTGTGTGTGCGTGCGTGTTTTTTACCACTTTCAGCAAGTTAAAAATAATGGCATCCCAGCCCTTCCATTCCACAATTAAATGAGGATAATTTAAATCTGCCGAATTGCTCTCTTCTCGTTTCCTGTATTAGTAATTTGCTTCTTAATATGTGCAAGATCCAGCAGTGCCTTGCTGTGGACAGGGTTGGGAGGAAATGGCGATGCTCAAGTTCCTGCAAAGGGCATGAGCTGGACTTGTTACCCTGCTATTTTCTGGTGCTTCTGTTCTATTCTACTGTAAAATTATTAATCACGGACCCACAGATGGCTCTATTCAATCTTTTGAAACATCATCCTAAAATAGCCATTTTTTCCTAAGGCATTTGCTTTAAAGAGGCTTGTGGGTGATTACTTTTCACAGTATACGTGACATAAAATCTTTCCTAGATGCAAAGGAAGGGCGAATATACGTTTTCCAGCACTGAGAATCTACAGCTGGTCAAGGCCACTGAGTGCAAGCTTTCTTGTGTGGGCACATTCCAAAAAAGAAATGCAGTCGTCACAAAGATGATCGACATGTGCTTTTAGTTCTGTTTCCTACAGCAAAATGCTTTAGCTATAGGAAATTCGTGATCAAAATGGCTTCAGTAAACTGCAGTTGTTCATAGCCCTGCTCGCCTCAGAGAAGGGATACATTGCAGAATTCTTTCACAGCCCCGTTTTGTAATCCGCACACACTCCAACTGACATCTGACAGGGAGGGAGAGTAATCTGGCGTAAGAACACAACTGCCAAACTCCTACATAGATGCAGAGAGAACCGAGCTCTATGTATTGTTCTTGGGTATCCACCATCCATTACCAGGTGATTATTGCATGTATATTTAATAAATATTATAGCACAAATGGCTGGTTTTCTTTACATTCAGTCCTTTTTAAAAGCAGAGGACCATAGAAATGTTTTCTGTTTTCAACTTCGGAACCATGTTTGATTTTCTGTGCTCAGCCATGGAAAGGGCACAAAGGTATATTTTCTATGACGGCGATGTTGTTGTTTTTCTAATTTGTTTTGTCTCCAAAGCATTTTATCAAGCATGTAAACTATATGAAGTATTTTGTAACTAAATGCAACAGGGAAATGATCAGATCAATTAAAGATAAAAGCTATCCAATTGAGAGCTGATGATTTCACCATCATCTTCTTGCATTCCAGTATTCTGACAAATGCTTAATGGCAGATACAATCTATGACCGCTTACAGCTAGGAAAAGGAGTGTAACAAAACCACGGACATATCCTTTTGTGCCAAAAGTTCAGGAGCCATTCCATTATGCACTTGGGCCATCATGGAAATAGATCCCAATTTCTTTATGCATGTAAACAAACAGCAAATTCAAATTCAATATGAATCTTAATAACGATGAAAACATTATAACATAACAGAGGAGTTCAAGCAAAGCACATCTGAAATGGAGAGGACTCATCAGTGAAGACTACCGGCCTTGTGCATTGGTGAAAACCCAACAGGCCCACCTCAGCAATGCTCTTGATATCCTGAAAAACAAAATAGGAGATCATATGTAAATGGTTGAGATAGACTGAACATTCCTGCCTATTAATATTCCTATGTTCAGAAATATGACTGTTTAGCTCTCCCTGCACTGCCCACTTCACTGTAGTCCCCTTGCTCATCCATTCATTATTTTCCACACTTGTATCCCGTCCTTCTCACCCCGAAGTGGATTCAGAGCGGCCTTACAAAGGCAACAATTCGATGCCCATATACACATACATCTCGATAAATAAACAAATGCATTAAAATAAAATAAAAACCATCAAGATTAAAACAGCAATTAAAATCACACAATCCAAATGATATTCTTGGGCCAATCCAAGTCGTCATTATGTTATTTATAACACTCTATTGCACTTAGCATTCCACCTTTCCCCTTGTATTGGATCCAAGGCAACATGTAGAGCATTAAAAACTGGGTAAATCTTAAACATTGGGTTGTTGTAGGTTTTTTGGGCTGTATGGCCATGTTCTAGAAGCACTCCCTTCTGACATTTTGCTTGCATCTATAGCAGGCATCCTGCCATAGATGCAGGCGAAACATCAAGAGATAATGCTTCTAGAAAATGGCCATACAGCCTGAAAAACCTACAACAACCTAATGATTTCGGCCATGAAAGCTTTCGACAACAGCTTAAAAATTATTTGTATAAAAGTTTAAAAAAACAGTTAGACAATTGCATGGTCCAAAACACCAAGTTCCTCGATTCTACAAGCAGTTGATATTGTTCCTTTGGACAATAGCCAAAGAAGCACTTCTGGACACCACTAACATCTAGCCCCTCCACCTCTGAATCTCAAGTTCAATTACCTGAGTTAGTTACTAACCTTGTAGAGCGCACTTGAGAGCAGACTTCAGGTGTTGGTGGTTCATATGTCACGTGAAAAGGGAGTCTTCTCACACGTTCCTGCAAAAAAGGGAGGGAAACAGCTCACGTTTGCTCACTGGTTATACTTTACAAAGATTACTAGCGATGAGGGAGAATAAGCAGCCCTCCCTATATGTTATTATACTGCAACTCCCACAGCAAATGGTGAGGAATGATGGGAGCTTGAATCTGATTGAGCTGCAATACAGAGGCTTCATGCTCAAATGTCAGTTCATGTAACTTGTTCAAGAGCGAATTCTAAAGTCATGGTTGGCAAAATGAAACTGGGAGAGGAGAGTGAGGGAAAAGATTAACCTTTATCAAGCAGCTCTTGGAAACCTTTACCTTTACTATAAAACTACAAAAAGTAAGATGCTACAAACAAACATATTTCTCTTTCCCTTAGATGAGAGGTTTACCTCTTCTGGAGCTCCAATTTGTTGTTTTGGGCATCCATTAGTACCTCCTGCTGCCCCTTGATTCCGCTCACGTTCGTGTCGTCTCTCTGTACATCTGCAGAGGTGTTGGTCTCTGTTGGACTCCATGGCTGGATGATGTTGGGCTTGAATCTCCTCAGTCCGGCTCTTCTTGGAAGTGCTTACAAAATTTAAGGGAGGTTTCCAAACCACCATTTTATCTGACTTGTTAGACTTGGGAAATGCTCTGGTACAAGTTTGCCTTGCAGCTTTTTGTCTGGCATGAGTTGGAATGGTGAACGTCTCATAGTTATCTTCATCTAAAATCACACGTTTCCGTTTCTTTGCTACAGCTTTCCCACCTGTAGCCGGAGCTCCTTCCATAGCCTCTGTCGCTTTATTCTTCTTTAAACCTTTTGCATTACCTTCCACTGTCTTTTCAGACAAGGGCCCACGAGAGGCATCGTTCACCAAAGAAGGATGGCCTGGAGAGTACATAGTGGCGTCAGAATATGAATTTTTGAGGGGCTGGGCACAGGGAATGCTCTCATTACTATCTGCCCTTTTGCTGGTCTCATGGACAGTGTTTGGCTCAAGAGGAGTGGAATCCTGACAGGCTGATTCCTTGAGCAATGCCTTCTTGTGAGATGGGAATGCTGTTGGCTCAACGTGCTCAGAACTACAAGGCTCCAGAAAATCTGGGGTACAGCTGCTGGAACATGGGGCCTCTTCCTCGGCAGTTCTGGCCAGCAGCACCTGCTGTGCATGCGAAGGGCCAGGTGGGGTGCCAGATTTATCTACCAAACCACAAAAAGAAAACACACACACACACACACTTTTTTGAGGTACACATGAGGGCAAAACATTAAAACATATGAGCTTTAAGCTATCCTAACCCTAGGGAACAAACATGCATCACCCTGCTCATGTTCAATTTGTGATATTACTCACTACTGGAAGAAGTCAAAGTCATTCCTGGAAAAATGTCCCAAGGATTTTCTAAGGAGCCATTCGGACTTCCAGATTCCTCTGGGAAGAATAATATTACAGCTAAATCAATACAAACAGTTCCCCAGAAAAGGATCAGGCATTGCAAAAGATCTGAAAAGCCACCTCTTGCGTGGAGACAATCTCTTGTCATCAAAGTGGGACAAAACCACCTTCCCCACCTAAACTTCTTTGTGGCACATCATGGGAAGGCTTTCAAATCAAGGGAATAATATTTCTAAGATCACCTGAAATTTAACTGGCAAGGAGATCTCCAAAATGCGTTTGTGTGCTGCTCCTGCTTCGAGAATAATAATAATAATAATAATAATAATAATAATAATAATAATAATAATCCTTTATTTGTACCCCGCTAACATCTCCTGTGCGGCTTACAAGAGACTAATGACCTACTAAAAGGCTAAAATTGGCTAAAAAGACTGTTTTGCTTGCAATCCACAAGCTAACACGTTTGCACAATTATGAGTGTTTTTCCTATTATTGCAAAGATGCTGCTCAATAGAAACAATGAGTATGAGAAAAGTAGCCAGTAACGAGATCAGGAGCGAGGGGGAAAAATGAACGATTTAACTATTGTAATACCCCACTAGATATCATAGGTCCACTAAAGTTCAACAACATCTGGAAGGCAACAGTTACTTAACAATTAAATACAAACTTAATCATTTGCCTGATTTCAGGAAAAGCTCAACTGTAGATAGGAATGAAGAGCTGAAGAAACCTCTCCTTATGGAGAATTTTTCAGTTATTCTCTTCCAGACAGACCACGCACAAAAAACCTCGGTACTTAATACTTACCACTGACAAAGGATGCAGAGCTCTTGTCATCACCTTGACTGCAACTACTAGTATCAGAAGCATCTTGACATTTCTCTGGAAAACAAAGAAGGATCAGAGTTTCCTCATTCATTTAACCCAAATGACATGATTCAGAACCATCCATTTCAAGAACCCTACTGGCTTGATATACACTTTTCTGACAGACAGTGTGGGAGCTAAAAACATATAAAGCGACACCATCATTATCAAAGGAGGCTACACCTTCTTTTAGAAGAGGCTGCCTAAACAAGAATGACAAATACATGGAGTCAGTGTTGATATCAAAAATGACCTGGTGAAGCATTTGTCTGAAGCACCTGCCAACATTAACAAACGACTTTTAGCCCTCCAAATTAATCTTGCCAAAAACCAGCAGGCGACTATCATAAGCGTCTATGTGCCAACACTAGATGCAGGTGAAGATATCAAGGAAAATCCTACTGTTAGCTGTACACCATCACTCTTGCCCGTGTATGATTGTTTTTCAAGGGCACACTCTTGGCTGCAGGTCCGTAAGTGACTGTGAAGACCTGTTCTAGATCCAAATGACCCTTCCCAATGAGAACATAGATTTCCAGATGGAAAATGGTCACAACAAGGGTTGGCTTGACGTCCCTTTCGTTTGGCATATTTCTTCCTTTTGCCCTCTATTCATACTATTGGTAACTACTGACCTCCAGTTACAACATTCAAGTGCCAGAGCTTCCTAATTCTTGATGTTTATACCACATTTTAGGTTAGCTTTATCCCCTCTTAAAGTATCTTTTGCTGCCATTCCATTTTCTGTTCTTAAATAGAGTGTCGGGTAACTGCTTTTCTGAGACAGCAATCAGACATTCAGACAACATGGCCAGTCCAGCAGAGCTGATGACGGACAATCACTGCTTCAATTCTGGGGGTCTTTGCTTCTTGTACAACGATGACGTTTGTTAGGGTTTGCAGGATTTTTCGAAGGCAATGTTGATTGAATCTTTCTAGTAGTTGAGAATGATGTTTGTAGGTGGTCTTTGCTTCATAGGTGTACAACAGAGTGGGAAGGACAACAGCTTTATAAACAAGCGTCTTGGAATCCCCACTAATGGCCCCAATCCTTGAAAACTCTCTCCTTCATTCGAAAAAATGGTGTGCTTGCAGAGCTCAGACAGAAGCCAGGTGTGATTTTTGAAATGTCTTGCTTTGCTGTGAATTCGTAACAAGATAACTGATACCGGGGATCAACACAAGAGTAATTATAAACCAAGCTCAGCATAAAGGTGCTAATGATTGTTATACTGATGTTTAATGATTTATGTTACAATTGTTTTTAATTGCCCTATACTTGTCTCGTGATGTTTTGTATCAATGTAGTTCACCACTTTGAGTCGCCTGAGGGCTGAGAAAAATGGTATATAAATAAAGATAAACAAATAAATAAAGGAATTACACTCCACTGGCCTATCAACTATTCTCAGCAACTGTGCACAGAATCTAACAGTAAAGGAATCTGTCATCATTTTAATGATAGAAAGATGTTATGTTTACGTGGATCCTGTGAATTCTAACAAGATGTTGGAAATGTCAAGTATACACCTTTGTAAAGCCTTGGGAGCAAATACAGCTACTTCTGGTCACCACGATATCTCAGAACCAAATACAGCGGCTTCTGGTCACCACAATATCTCCACTTCATGAATTGAAACACATAGAGCTTAAATTGCCATTAAAACTATGCTATGAAGTTGTATGGATTATTTAATACTCCAACATAAGTAGCCTTGCCTTTGAATTAGGATCACTGGCAAATCGTCTTCACCTATGGACAAGAACATGGATGAAGAATCTCTCATTCTCCAGATGTCATCACACAACTCTCATCATTCATAGCAATGGCTTTCCCTGACTGGGACTTAGAGGACTTCAAAGCCCATCAATACTGGCATGATCAATTTAACACCTGTGAAGTAAAATAATCTTCCACACAGTTGTTCCAACACTCACTTTGTGGGTATGACTTGCGAAGTATTTCTTCGTTTTCTGCACTGATTACCAGGAACTTTGCTGGTACCATAAAAGTATTCTGGTGCCCCTGAAATGAAAACTGTTAGTCAGCTTCTGCTTTACACAACATAGTATTTTAGAGAGTAACACACTCCTAGTCAATGCTTAACAAAACTAGAGGTTCTGCTTGACATTCCACTGAATTAGAAAGGAATGAACCTGAAGAACAAGGCTGAGCCACTTATGGCAGCAAAAACTCTATCGTATCTATGGATTTGAGCCAAAGACAGATCCAATATCAACTTCATTGCTAAAAATAGAAGCTAAACAAGTTTTGATATGCAAGCTTCTCTGTCTACAACTATCTAGCCCAGAACTTTGTAAACATTTCATGTTGGTGACACACACATACATGCATCATTTTATACGTACATCTTATAAGAGATAAGGACACATGTGTTAGCTGTAATAATGGAATGCATGGAGACACAGCATATCTCATTAAAACCTTTCATTTTTATATTTAAAAACATGTGGTTTATTGCTTTTTCACATCAATTTATAGCAGTGGTTTTCAACCATTTTAATGTCACAACCGCTTAATACAGCTCCTCATGTTGTGGTGACCCCCAACCATACAATTATTTTTGTTGTTACTTCATAACTGTAATTTTGCTACCGTTATTAATTGTAACGGCGCTCCATGCAGTCATGTTGGCTACATGACCTTGGAGGTGTCTATGGACAACGCCTGTTCTTCGACTTAGAAATTGAGATAAGCACAAACCACGCCCTAGAGTTGGACTCGACTACACTTAATGTAAGAGGAAACCTTTACTATGAATCATAATGTAAATATCTGATATACAGGTTATATTTTCATTCACTGGACTAAATTTGGCACAAATACCCGATACGCCCAAATTTGAATACTGATGGGGTTGGGGGGATTAATTATATCATTTGGGAGTTGTAGCTCCTGGGATTTATAGTAAACCTCTATTCAGGTTCCACCAACGATGACATTGAACCAAACTTGGCACACAGAACTCCCATGACCAAGAGAAAATACTGGAAGGCTTTGGTGGGAATTGACCTTGAGTTTTGGAGTTGTAGTTCACCTACATCTAGAGAGCACTGCGGATTCAAACAATGATGGATCTGGACCAAACTTGGCATGAATACTCAAGATGCCCAAATGTGAATACTAGTGGGAGTTTGGGGGAAATAGACCTCGACATTTGGGAGTTGTAGTTGCTGGAATTGATAGCTCACTACAATCAAAGAGCATTTCTGGACCTCACCAATGATAGAATTGGGTCAAACTTCCCACACAGAACCCCCATTAGCAACAGAAAATACTGTGTTTTCTGATGGTCTTTGGCGACCCCTCTGACACCCCCTTGCGACCTCCTCCTGCCCCCCTGGGTCCTGACCCCAATTTGAGAAACGCTAACTTAGATGGGTTTTTTTACGTTCGCGTGACACACCTACACGCTGCACCTGACACTCTACTGTGTTGCAACACATGGAAAGCTCTGATCTAGCCACTTCCAGAGGGTTTCTGATTCCATCCCAATCTCTATGATTTGTGTTCGTATGTCACAGAAGACAATTAAGACAGACCTTATCTCGTTTGCGTTCCACTTGCCATTTGGTTTCAGGATACACAGCCAACTGCTCAGAATTCAGCTGATGGGTGGAACTGAATAAATCGAGGCAATCCCTGACATTTTGTTTCATAGTGTCGAGTTCATCCTCTTCCAACTCTTGCAGTATTTGAGAAAAACCTGATGCTTAAATAGAAAAAAAAGGCATGCGTCATGGTAAATAGTTCACAAATCTGATGCATAAGCATAAGACTACAGACCATAAACAATATACCAGTCTTAAAACTAAAAATCAGACAGACTTTTCTATTTAGCTTTTTGTACCTGCTCTGACCACAAGATATTTTAAACTGTAGTGTAAAACAGTGTTGCAAGGTAAAGGCAACAAAGAAGAAATCTTGCAAAAAAGAAGTGGGATTCAATGACATTGCTGTGCCTATCGCCACTTAAAAGGTCATTTGGAGGTGAGACCAGGTGAGCAAGACTGTTCTTGCTTGAATATTTGAAACCTGTGATTTCTCAGTTCTAGAAAGAACATCTTGAACTCTTTTTGACTCTGATTAAATGACATTATTCTTAAATATAACTGTTTTAAAGCCTAAATCTGAGGGCTTGTAGGATGCTGAGGACTTGTACTTTATGGTTTTCTTTGTTTATTGTTTTTATATTGTTTATATTATATGTAATGTTATTGACTGTTTTTTATTTTGTGGAGCATTGATTGCCATCTGTAAACCGCCTCGAGTTGCCTCCGGGCTGAGAGGGGTGGTATACAAATATAGTAGATCAATCAATCAATCAATCAATCAAGAGATACAAAATGATCTGACAGAAAAGGAGTGCTCCTCTGCATACACCAATCAATTACACAACCCAACAAAAAAAAATCTTGGTGTCTTGGATTTTAGACGCCTACTCCTCAGGTTTTCTGTGGCACTGATTCAAAAAATTGGATAGACCACATCAGCTCTAGTTTTTTAGATAAGGTTGTCATGATTCTTTATGGGTTACAGATGATGACTGGCATAGGGCGTATGTTCTGTATCTCAAAACGAGAGCTGATAAGAGAAAACTTGGGCCATTTTTGGAATCAGCAGGTCAAAGTATATTAAATATACCCAGAAATAGGTCTAACATTTGAGGGACCAAAATGTGTGTTGGCCAGTGTTATGTTTTAAAGCAGTACTTCTTAACCTTTTCTTTACCACAAACCACCAAGATTATCTCAAGGTTATTTTAAATTGCTGATCCAGGGCCTTCAAATTTGGAGAGAAGGTTGAAATTTAAAAAGTGCACTCTATTATAATATTTTATTGGAATGTTTTCATACAGCAACACCACCTGAACACCAAAACATTGCCTAACATTAATGAGAAGGCTAGTGCTGCATTCTACTTGCAGGCCTTGTTAAATAACTAAAAAGTGTATTGTGAGTTGTTACTCTACATTTTCCAAACCGTTTTAATACATATTTTTTAAGATAAAAAGAGAAGAAAATGATTTTTTTTTCACAAAAGGATGTTGTTTATGAAATCCAACAATACTTTCACAGTCCCCTTTGATAGTTTGTTAAGTGAGCCCCAAAACTTGGAAGGGACTATTCTTTGAATTGTAGTTTCAAAGCACCATCCTTGGATGTTTTTATGAGCTTGTCTTCCTGTGTTGCTGTAGTTCATGCACATTAACTGAAAATGGATATCAAATCCAGTTTTCGCTTGCATCCAGAAAAGGGAGATATTCACCTACCTGGAATGGGCCTGCTTTACTAAAAAGTATAGTTAATCCTCTGGATTTGTGGCACCATGTGGACAACACTAAATTTAAATGCTGCTACAATGGTGGTTTCTGACTATAAGCATAATAGCAAGAAATGTCACATGCTTCTTCTCGGCCACTTGCATGTTCTCACTGCGTGAAGAAGTAGCAAGCGCTGAGTGTGTGTCTGTGTGTGTATGTGTATGTAGGTAAAATAAAGGTTTCTCCTAGACATTAAGTTTTGTCGAGTCTGACTCTGGTGGATGATGCTCATCTCCATTTCTAAGCCGAAAAGCTGGTGCTGTCCATAGACACCTCCAAGGTTATGTGGCTGGCATGACTGCATAGAGCGGCGTTACCTTACCGCGGAAGCGGTACCTATTGATCTACTCACATTTCCATGTTTTCAAACTGCAACGTTGGCAGAAGCTGGTGCTAACAACAGGAACTCATCCCATTCTGCGGAAATGTGTGTATGTATGTGTGTGCGCATGCATGTGTGTGTGTTTCAACAGTTACTTTCATAACCTTTGAACAGCAAGAGATATTGTAATGAAATGATGTCCACCACTAGCAAAAGAATCCTGCTCTTTCGAAATCACCCTGTCTCTTACTTTCTTTCTCTTTTCATTTTGAACTGCTAAAGTCTTCAAATCTTATGGACATTGTAGCCCCACAGAAGCTATGGGCCTCAAGTTAAGAACTGCCGTTTTAAAGTAGTAGGGGAGAGTTTTTAAAATACTAAAGCATTAAAAGGAGGGGAAAGGGCAGTTTATAGAATGACGCAGAGCTGCAGGCATTCATTTCATATCAATAAATATCATCGCTCAACCACCATTAGTATTTTACGAAAAAGTTGGAAGCACTCATTATACCATACCAGAATTATTATACCAGGGCTGCATGGCAAAGGTTTTCCTGAAATATGCAAACGAAAAAAGAAACCAGAATTAAACACAATAGCCTTGTTAAACCTTCAAATCCGTTTCCTATTATTGGGTAGTTCTGGTGTGGAAAGCATGTAACCTTCCACATGATGATGGAATGTAACTGCCAGCATTCCTCGCCATGAGCTCTGCTGACCAGTAATGGTCCAACATCAGTTGATCACCTGATTGTCACCTTTGTCCCAAACTGTTAATTTTTTCCTGAATATCCCCATTTACTTATTTTTCCTTTTAAAAAAAGTTATATGAATGATTAGAAAAACGCTAGAAAAAAGTGGAAGGCATGGTGGAAAGGAGAAGGTGAACCAACTGTTTTGCTTAAGCCAACACTACTACTCAGCAACGCAAATCCCAGTTTCTTCTTTGACTTATCAATATAAAAAAATCATTTTTCCTTGATTTCAATCCTCCCCGGCCTGAACTATCTAGCAAGGTTTTTAGGGTGCCGCCACTGCACAGGCATCAATGGGACCATTTGCTGGATCATCAGAACCAAGTATCCTTTGTCGCCTGGCAAGACACACGGCAGTGCAGGCAGATAGGGAAGGGCAGAAAACAATCCAGCTGTTTCATAATCACCACAGTCTAATAAAATCCCACGCTCTCCCTCCTGTTCCTCGTATATGGACTTATGTAGTGAGAACCTAAAATATTGTGTATGCTGAATAAGGGCTCCAAAAGGATTTTAAAATCCACAAAATGCAAAACAGGATGTGCATTGGTATAGTTATTACTAACTTTAAACTCACCCACATACCAAGCAATAAAAACCCATAGTGAGGTTGCATACTTACTGCCATAATTCCTTTATCCTCTTTAGCACAGATGGCACTTGGTTACTAGAAAGAAATGACATCTTAGCATTTCTAGTTCATCTCAAAATCCATAATTTTGGCCCCAAAACCTGCCCTAGAGTTATACATGAGTATATACACGACACATACATAAATCACAAGACACTCATCATCAAAGGTAGGAAAAGAATGGTTTATACCAGGCATGGGCAAACTTTGGCCCTCCCTCAAGTGTCTTGGATTTCAACTCCCATAATTTCTAACAGCTTCAGGACCTGAGGCTGTTAGGAATGGTGGGAGTTGAAGTCCAAAACACCTGGGGGGAGGTCCAAAACTTGCCCATGCCTGGCTTCTACTGATTTGGGGTATTATAGATTTACGACTTTCTGCCTCGGGATGCAGTGGTGAGTTAGGTAGAACCTGATTCAGCAATGTGGATGGTATTTTCAAGCCAGACCACAGTTCAAAGTGTGCACACAAAACATACACTTTTAATCACTAAATCACAGTGTTTTCTCTTTTTGGCAGGCTTTTCTGAACAGAATTAAGAGTGGAATTTTACATTTAAATGATGTACACTGAAAAAAGTGACAGAAAAAGCCAGAAAAATTCATCACAAGGAATAAACCAAAGCATCTCAGCATTTTTTCTAAAGCCACTGTTTTTTGTTTTTTTTTCTGGGCAGACTGCCTTTCCTTTGATCATTATTCTTTCCAAATCTCTGCTGAGTGACCTGACTGTGCTTCACTAAATTTATTTATTTATTTTATTATTCGAACGTATATGCGGCCACTCCCCTGGGGCTCGGAGCGGCTTACAAGAACAGGCTAAAATCTAACACAATTTAAAAACAATTTAAAACAATTTAAAAACAGCAATATCAAAGATCAAAGCCTGTCGAAACAGGTATGTCTTACATGCCCTGCGGAAAGCTGGTAAGTCCCGCAAGGCACGGACTTCAGGTGGCAGAGTATTCCAGAGTGATGGTGCCACTGCTGTGAAGGCTCTGCACCTGGTTGCTGTTAGACGCAAGGTCTTGACACTGGGGACTTCCAATAGATCTTGGTCCTCAGAACGGAGGGATCTCTGGGGTTGGGAGGGGGTGAGGCGGTCCCTCAGGTACATCGGCCCCAGACCATGCAAGGCCTTAAAGGTGAGTACCATCCCTTTGAAAGTGATCCGGTGCTCAATTGGTAACCAATGCAGCTGCAGTAAGATTGGGGTGATGTGGCATCTCATCGGAATTCCCGCAAGAAGCTGAGCAGCTGTGTTTTGTACCAACTTGAGCTTCCGGATCACTGACCAAGGAAGGCCAATGTAGAGGGTGTTACAGTAGTCCAGTCTTGAGATGACCGTGGCCTGGATCACCGTAGCTAGGTCGTCCCTGGACAGGAGGGGGCCAGCCGTCTAGCCTGCCGCAGATGAAAAAGGCGGTTCTGCTAACGGCGGAGACCTGGGCCTCCATCGTCAGCAGAGGGTCCAAAAGGACTCCCAGACTCTTGACCAACGATGACGGTAGCGCCTCGCCATCCAGGGTAGGCAGCTGGACGTCCCCACTGCCCGGTTGACCCAGCCATAGGATCTCCGTCTTTGCCGGGTTCACCCTCAACCTGCTGGCACGCAGCCACCCAGTCACGGCCTCGAGGCACTGATGGAAGGAATCGGGTCCAGAGTCCGGTCGGCCTTCCATCTTCAGCACCAGCTGAGTGTCATCGCGTACTGGTCACACTCCAGCCCAAAACCTCGAACCAGCTGAGCAAGTGGTCGCATAGAGATGTTAAACAAGAGAGGGGAGAGAATGGCCCCCTGAGGAACCCCACAAGAGAGAGAGAGGGGACCTCTCAGAGACCAGGCCTCCCCTCTCCACTCGCTGTCCACGGTTGTGAAGAAAGGAGGGCAGCCAGTTCAAAGCTATCCCCCTGACTCCAGCAACAGCAAGGCGGTGAGTCACAAGATGGTGGTCGACTGTGTCCAATGCTGCTGTGAGATCCAATAACACAAAAAGCGCCGACCCGTCCTGTGGTCTAGATTTCTCATTTCAGTAAAATATGATATAAATTTATTTGAAAGGCCTTTTTCCTCCCCCCCCCCCCCCCCCCCCGAACTATAGATGTGTGTATGGGTATCTACCTGCCTGCTTTGTGTCATAAAGAGAGAAGAAGAGAGACTATGTATAACGGAGATCGGAAAAAGTCTCACCAGTCCCGCTGCTTCATTTCCTGCCTTCTTCTCATGGCTGCCACCTGGAAACAACTGAGGGCGAGGTAGAATTCACAATCCTCCTAAAAGTGAAACAAAGGCGCAGTTAGAGATCTCGTGCCTGCATCGCGCATCCCTTCCAAATAAAACAAACCCCATTCTCCTCAAGGTTGACATAAAAGCATGAAAGCAAGAAAGCAGTCCCCAAGTTATGAACAAGACAGGTTCTGTCGGTTCCATCCATCTCACCTGTCATGCTCAGCATTTTAACATTTTAATCATTACATTTGGCCCGGCCTTAGTTTTAATCATGTAATGAAGTGGCATTGTGTTGTTATTGTATATTTTTTGTATGTTAACACATGTTGTGAACCGGTCCGAATCCCTCTTTGAAGGTGAGAGGGTCGGTATATAAAACCTCGAAATAAATAAATAAATAATAAATGTGTCGTGGTGTTATTGTCTAATGTTTATTGCTTGTTTATTGCTATTGTTTTAATGTTTATTGCTTGTTTTATGAGTTTATTTATTGTTGTATTTGTTATGCTGTTGTCTTATTGATGTGTTGGGCCTCGGCCTCTTGTAAGCCAAACCGAGTCCTTCGGGAGATGTTAGCAGGGTATAAATAAAGGATGATGATGATGATGATGATGATGATGATGATGATGATTATTATTATTTGCCCTTAAGATACACACACACACACATATAGAGCTTTGGATGACACAAAGAAAGTTTAACGCCCCTGTGATGTTTGCTTTGTTGCAGGACGTTTCACTGCACTTTCTGTCCCTGAGAGAATTGGATATTAACCAATTTGGCTGGCTGTAGAAACCAGGATTGTTGAGAAAGCTTCAGTGGAAACCCCTTTTCCTCACAATAATCGCTCTTCCAGGAGTGAATTTCCTTTCAGAGGGGTAGATTTCTCTCAATTCCTAAGGGGTATGATAGAAAGAGGAAGATTGTGGTGAGAGAGAGGAGCCCAGGCACTAGGCCTTTGAGGCCAACATGGCGGCCATTCCTCACACAAATGGCGGGAAATCTTACAAAGGCTTGGGCCTGCTTTCTTTGGGTTCTTTTGTGACCTGGGACATGCACTCATTGACTCACTAGGATTGTGAGCAGTTTGGGGGGGGAGGGGGGGCTTTTATTCACTTTTCACTCATAGAGTGAGTATTTTCTTCCATAAAGATAATGTGAGCTGAGGTGTTTGATAGAATCCAGAATGGCGGCCATTCCTCGCACAAATGGCGGGAAATCTTACAAAGGCTTAGGCCTGCTTTCTTTGGGTTCTTTTGTGACCTGGGACATGCACTCATTGACTCGCTACAATTGTGAAAAGTTTGGAGACCTTTTGTTCGTTTTTCACTAATATAGAGAGAGTTTTTCTTCCATAAAGATAATGTGAGCTGAGGTGTTTGGCGGCCATTCCTCACACAAATGGTGGGAAATCTTACAAAGGCTTGGGCCTGCTTTCTTTGGGTTCTTTTGTGACCTAGGACATGGATTCATTGACTCACTAGGATTGTGAGCAGTTCGGAGACCTTTTGTTCGTTTTTCACTAATATAGAGAGAGTTTTTCTTCCATAAAGATAATGTGAGCTGAGGTGTTTGACAGAACCCTGAATGGCGGCCATTCCTCACACAAATGGCGGGAAATCTTACAAAGGCTTGGGCCTGCTTTCTTTGAGTTCTTTTGTGACCTGGGACATGCACTCATTGACTCGCTACAATTGTGAAAAGTTTGGAGACCTTTTGTTCGTTTTTCACTAATATAGAGAGAGTTTTTCTTCCATAAAGATAATGTGAGCTGAGGTGTTTGGCGGCCATTCCTCACACAAATGGTGGGAAATCTTACAAAGGCTTGGGCCTGCTTTCTTTGGGTTCTTTTGTGACCTAGGACATGGATTCATTGACTCACTAGGATTGTGAGCAGTTTGGAGACCTTTTGTTCGTTTTTCACTAATATAGAGAGAGTTTTTCTTCCATAAAGATGTGAGCTGAGGCATTTGATAGAGTCCTGAATGGCAGCCATTCCTCACACAAATGGCGGGAAATCTTACAAAGGCTTGGGCCTGCTTTTTTGGGGTTGTTTTCTGACCTGGGACATGGACTTGTTGACTCACTAGGATTGTGAGCGGTTTGGGGGGGCTTTTGTTCATTTTTCACTCATAGAGAGAGTGAAAAATGGATAAATATGTGAGAGGAAGCCACAGGGAGGAGGAGGGAGGGAGCAAGCTTGTTTTCTGCTTCCTTGGAGACTAGGACGCAATGGAACAATGGCTTCAAACTACAAGAGAGGAGATGCCATCTGAACACGAGGAAGAACTTCCTGACTGTGAGAGCTGTTCAGCAGTGGAACTCTCTGCCCCGGAGTGTGGTGGAGGCTCCTTCTTTGGAAGCTTTTAAACAGAGGCTGGATGGCCATCTGTCAGGGGTGATTTGAATGCAATATTCCTGCTTCTTGTCAGAATGGGGTGGGACTGGAGGATGGCCCAGGAGGTCTCTTCCAACTCTATTATTATTATTATTATTATTATTATTATTATTATTATTATTAAGTAGAGGCTGGATGGCCATCTGTCGTGGGTGCTTTGAATGCAAAATTCCTGCTTCTTGGCAGAATGGCGTTGAACTGGATGATGGCCCACGAGGTCTCTTCCAACTCTAAGATTAGCTTCCTGACTGTGAGAGCCGTTCAGCAGTGGAACTCTCTGCCCCAGAGTGTGGTGGAGGCTCCTTCTATGGAAGCTTTGAAACAGAGGCTGGATGGCCATCTGTCAGGGGTGATTTGAAAGCAATATTCCTGCTTCTTGGCAGAATGGGGTGGGACTGGATGACGGCCCAGGAGGTCTCTTCCCACTCTAGGATTCTATGTTCAGCAGTGGAACTCTCTGCCCCTTGAGGAGTGTGGTGGAGGCTCCTTCTTTGGAGGCTCTTAAACAGAGGCTGGATGGCCATCTGTCAGGGGTGCTTTGAATGCAATATTCCTGCTTCTTGGCAGAATGGGGTTGGACTGGAGGATGATGGCCCAGGAGGTCTCTTCCAACTCTTTGATTCTAGGATTCTTCCACAATGTGAGCTGAGGCGTTTGCTCGAATCTGGAATGCCTGCTGTATCTTTAATGAGGAAAGCTCAACACAAGGCCTAAATCTCTCTCTTTTTTGAGAAAATGATACGTGACAGCCTTTTCTTGTGAAAACGGACTCTCTCTGGGTCAAGGAAGTTGGAAAATTTGGGGAACTTAGGGCTGTGAAACCTGGGCCATGAAGCCCATCAGGAAGCCTTGGGGAGCCATTTTCCCTCACGGTTCATTTGAAAGTTTAGCCCGTTACGCGCCCTTTTGATCAGTGGCAAGATGGAAGGGAATCATACAAAAATCATTCCCCGCTATTCCTTTTTAAAAACCATTTTGTGGCTAAATCACTTCCTCGTTTCAGGGGTTCACGCTGATTCCATGAATTGAGGTGTTTGAGACATTGGGGGGCCATTCCTGACAGGATTTCTCGTCGGTTTTGAGCAGAGAGCCTCACCTGCGACACTGCTAACGAGGCAAGGCTATTTCGGTCAGGAAGAAGAAGAAGCTCTTCGTGTAGAGAGTATATTTCCTCTCCTTTGACAAAAGACCGCTCTTGAATTCCCTTTTCCTTCCAGCACAGATCTCACTGAGAAAAGGGAACAGGTTGAAGTGTGCCCTTTCCTTTCCTCGTCATGGCTGCCTTTTCTGAGAAGCCAGGAAAGGAATTCATTTTGGTTCATGTATTCGTCAGGATTAACCAAAACTGTCAAGGTCTGATATGGAGAAGGAAAGAACTAGAGACACATCTGAACAGAGGAGGAACCACAACTAGCACGTTCGCCTGCCTGATTGTGCACGACCCATTTTTGTTTGGATTCAACCATACTAATCCTGAAGTACTTCTTTATTTTCTGTGAGAAGTTCTTTGTCATCAACACCTATACGGCAGGAAGGTGTTCTCCATCTTGGGAAGACTGTACCAAAGGAATTTGGACAGTACAAATGGGAGAGAATGTAGTGGGAAAGGATTTATCGCAGGCCTGGGCCAACTTGGGCCTTCCCTCCCTTCAGGTGCTTTGGACTCCAACTCCCAACAGCCTCAGGACCCTTCCTTTTCCCCCTCAGCCGTTTAATGGAGGCCTGAGCAAACTTGGGCCCTCCCTTCAGGTGTTTTGGACTCCAACTCCCACCATTCCTAACTGCCTCAAGCCCTTTCCTTTTCCCCTTCAGCTGCTTAATGGAGGGTAACCAGGACTGGGCAAACTTGGGCCCTCCCTCCAGGTGTTTTGGACTCCAACTCCCACAATCACTAACAGTGTCAATTATTCCTGTGCCAACTTAGGCCTTCCCTCCCTCCAGGTGTTTTGGACTCCAACTCCCACAATCCCTAACAGTGTCAATTACTCCTGTGCCAACTTAGGCCTTCCCTCCCTCCAGGTGTTTTGGACTCCAACTCCCACAATCCCTAACAGTGTCAATTACTCCTGTGCCAACTTAGGCCTTCCCTCCCTCGAGGTGTTTTGGACTCCAACTCCCACCATTCCCAACAGCCTCAGACCCCGTTGTTTTCCCCCTCAGCCGCTTAATGGAGGGTAACCAGGCAGGGGCAAACCTGGGTCCTTCATGTGTTTGGACTCCAACTCCCACCATTCCTAACATCCTCAGGCCCCTTCCTTTCCCCCTCAGCCACTTAATGGGGGATAACCAGGCATGGGCAAACCTGGGCCTTCCCTTCATGTTTTTGGACTCCAACTCCCACCATTCCTAACATCCTCAGGCCCCTTCCTTTTCCCCCTCAGCTGCTTAATGGAGGGTAACCAGGCATGGGCAAACCTGGGCCCTTCGTGTGTTTGGACTCCAACTCCCACCATTCCTAACAGCCCCAGGCCCCTTCCTTTCCCCCTCAGCCGCTTAATGGAGGGTAACCAGGCCTAGACAAACTTGGGCCTTCCCTCCAGGTGTTTTGGACTCCAACTCCCACAATCCCTAACAGTGTCAGCCACAGCTGTGCCAACTTAGGCCTTCCCTCCCTCCAGGTGTTTTGGACTCCAACTCCCACCATTCCCAACAGCCTCAGGCCCTTTCCTTTTCTCCTTCAGCCACTTAATCCAGGGTAACCAGGCCTGGGCAAACTTGGGCCCTCCCTCCCTTCAGGTGTTTTGGACTCCAACTCCCACCATTCCCAACAACTTCAGGTCTTTCCTTTTCCCCTTCAATCGCTTAAGCTTTACAGTAAGTCAGAGGACAGTATAAGGCTCAGTGTAGCCTAAATCCGCATGTGGATATTTATGCTGTCCTGTGGGGATAGGTTGCCAAAATGGATTCCATTTATCTTAAAGGAATCTATTTATTTATTTATTTGCTTGCTCCATTTATATCCCGCTTTTCTCCCCCTAAGGGAACTCAAAGCAGTTTTCAACATTATAAAGGCAAAATTCGATGCCGTACATACATGTGAAAACTGAAAGATAATAGCAAGACAATAACATATAACTATAAATTAACCTAACCAAATTAAAACATAAACATACAAGAACATTTAGCCACAAAGTATAAAAAATTAAACATCAACAATATAATAACACTTATATTAAAAACTCACCGATAAACAACACAATTTAAAATCAGTTATTAAAACCACGCCATCCAAAATCAAGTCCGTAGTCATTCCATTGGTCCATTCACTATTCCTTATTATCTTATTGCACTAAGCGCTTTGCTGACCGAAAGCTTGGTCACATCACATTTCTACTTTCTTCCTGAAGGTCAGGAGAGAAAGGGATGCTCGAATTTCACTTGGGAGGGAGTTCCACAGCCGAGGGGCCACCACTGAGAAGGCCCCGTCTCTCATCCCCACCAGTCGTGCCTGCAAAGGAGGCAGGACCGAGAGCAGAGTGTCCCCAGAAGATCTTAATCTCTAAGGTGGATCATGGAAGGAGATACATTGGGACAGGTAAGCTGGGCCAGAACTGTTTAGGCTTTATGGGCTAAAGCCATTACTTTGAATTTTGCAGACTGGCAGCCAATGGAACTGGCATAACAAGGGAGTTGTATGTTCCCTGTACACTGCTCCAGTTAGAAATTTGACTGCCACCGTTAGACCACTTTAAGCTTCTGAACACTGTTCAAAGGCAACTCCACTTAGAGCGTGTTGCAGCAGTCTATCCTTGATGTCACAAAAGCATGGACCACTGTGGCCAAGGAATAGCCATGAAAATATATTTTAGAAGCATATACCCAGCAACGAAATATATAATGCATTCAGTGGTCATAAAGACACATATATCATAGGAATCAGTGATACACATCTCCAAAGTCCTCTTTTACCCAAACTAATGAAGTTCATCCCTAGTACATTAATAATAATAATAATAACAACAACAGCAACAACAACAACAATAATGTTATTCGTACCTCACCTCCATCTCCCCAAAGGGACTCGGAGCGGCTAACATGGGGCCAAGCCCACATCACCAAAAAAAAAAAAAAAACCATTGTGGATACATTGCATACAGGATTTTAAAAGGAGAGACTGTGTCAGAGACAGAAAATAAGTAGTAGAATTTGTCTTGCCCCGATAATTTCATGTTCCTTCTATCTCTCCAACAGATAAGATTCATAGAATCCTAGAGTTGTAAGAGACCTCGTGAGCCATCCAAACCAACCCCATTCTGCCAAGAAGCAGGAAAATTGCATTCAAAAGCACCCCTGACAGATGGCCATCCAGCCTCTGTTTAAAAGCCTCCAAAGAAGGAACCTCCACCACACTCTGGGGCAGAGAGTTCCACTGCTGAACAGCTCTCATGACGTTCTTCCTAATGTTCAGGTGGAATCTCCTATTCTGTAGTTTGAAGCCATTGTTTCATTGCGTCCAGGGCAGCAGAAAACAAGCCTGCTCCCTTCAATAAATCAACGCTGCCCTTCCACAGTTCCAGTACCATCCAGTTGACCAGCTACTCATTCTCCAGACTATCCTGAATGCCCAGGTGCCTATTATTTCTGCATGAACTTAAGAATTTCTTAAATATTTAAGATCCTCACGGCACATTACTGAAGTAACAGAATACATGCAGTTGTGCACAAAAGCATATCATTAAAAAGGTATGCCTTACCACTTTAGTTGCCTTTCTAAAACACACCCTATACTTCTTCAGCACGATGAACTGGCCAACAATACTCGAATATCCAGACAGTGATTGACAGCTAAGAGTCAGAGAGAGAAAATGAATGGTACTTCAACTGTAAGTCATCAACAGCACACATAATTATGAAAAGAGGACAATTAACTCATTTATAAATATATCTGTTTTGAAAACTCATTAGCAATCACACCAAAATAGGAACATCCATGCAAGTTTTCATGAAGCAATTCTGTTATTTTTTCTAGTTCTCAGACAACTTTTAATCAATTTACATCCAGATGACAATTTTTGTTCATCTTCTTATTTTGTGCCAGTAATCATTCTCTTCCTACTCGGCTAATGAAGTTATTCACAAAAGGCAATGTTTTTTACTTTGAGGCCCTTGTAGAAATGGCTCATAATATCCAGCCCTGTCTCTCATCCCCACAAAAAGTCTACAAAAGCCACCTATTTCTTACAGTGTTTCAAGAAATCAATCAACTCTTTAAACACCAGTAATAAAATAATGCTATCATGCACAGGTTTATTTCATCCCAATTCTCTATTAACAACCAACAGTATTTTTCAAAATCATATGATACTGTTATGGAATATGTGTACATCATAAGATAAATCTTCTACACATTTCTACTCTATCTGTAGGTTTGCATGAGTGCCTTAAAAGACCCATTAAGTGAGTATTAAGTATGCAATTTCCCTGAATTTCAGCGTACTAAGTCCCCGATCATTTTCCATTTCTTTGGCCTTTCAGAAAGTGAAGTGCTGAGCTCTCTATAGCTATTAGTCTCTTGGACAATTCACTTCCTCCAGTATTCTTCTTGACATGAATTAGGTAAGAAGGTTAAAACGTGGCTCTTCGAGCAAGCTTTCGCCAATGTAACACAATTAGATAAAGATGAATTCGGAACGACTGACGATGCACTTGGATCATGATTTTAGTAAGGAGACGTTGAAGATTGTGTTTTATGGCTTTGTTTGTTTTTCATACTATATGTTAACATTTTAATTGTTTTTATAATCTGTTTTTAAGTTGCATTTTATAATTGTGGAGGCATCAAATTGTTGCCAATTGTGAACCGCCCTGAGTCGCCTTCGGGCTGAGAGGGGTGGGATATAAGTGTAGTAAATAAATAAACAAACAAATAAATAGAGGGTGAAATTATACTCATACTGTATTTGCGGGCTTCCCAAAAGCATCTAGTTGGCTGTCCAGAATATATAGGCCTTTGATCTGATACAGAACAACAATTGATACGTTTTAGGTGGAGACCAAATTTTATTTCAATACACTTTGAAACATCCTTCTATCAAGGATGGCTGGTCTGCATAAATGTAAAGGTTTGGGTGGTATGGCCTTCATAAGTTTGCAATATTTTTTTAAAAAAACATAGACTGATAAGTATAACGCACAAATAAAACACAAACAAGACCTAAAGGCAAGCTTGCTTTCATCCAGTTGCTGGGTTGACAAATCACAACCAAACTGAATCTTTTACTTAGGTAAATTATACAGGTGCTAACAGATGATAAGCTGCCAATGAAGGTCAGGGCAGATATCTTCAACACGACAGTTTTACTGGCAATGTCATATGCATCTGAAACATGGGCAACAACCAAGTTAGAGGAGGAAAAATTGGCTCAAAGAACAATGGAAAGAAGGATGTGTGGTGCGACTATTAAAGATAAAGTCAGCAATAAGAGCTGTGTCAAAGAACCAGGGTACGTGACGGGGTCAATGAAATCTATGAGGCAAAAAGAAGACGGGCAGGGCATACAGCACAAAGAAAAGACAACCAATGGACATGTCAACTAATTAACTGGATGCCAAGAGACCATAAGCGTCCCTTGGGCAGACCTTGGATTCAATGGGATGAACTAATGGTTAAGCCAATTGGCCAGAATTGGAAAAGCACAGGATCGTATATTTTGGCAAATGGTAAGATTTGTGTGAAGCATAAAGGAATGGATTGACAACAAAAAGGATTGGATAAGAAACCATGAGGGTGGGGAGTGGGGAAAGGCTTGCAAAGACCACACAAGTGTCGGTAGTTCTTGTAGAAAGTATTTCCCCTTAACTTATCCTTAGGGAGAAGATATCTGAGATCACTGATATGTCTGCAGGTTGCCTTATGAAACATGTTTAGACAAAGGCTAAATGTTACCAATTTCCCAAGTACACAACAGCGCCAGAATTAATTATTTCTATCTTATCTAGAACACAAAGCAAAGCTCAAACCTTACAGTGGTGTCGCCTGAAGAGCATTATCAGCAACAGCTGCTCGAATATAGTGATGTCCATCTGCAATGCGCAGAACAGCTGCTGGACATTTTCCATCCAGATTTAGATCTTTTGCATCATTCAAAACCTAGTGGGGAATTTGTATACAATACAATTAGACATTCTCTAAGTTGGTAAGAAGAGGAATCCACATAATTCAAAGACAGGATGAAAAATAAGGTCTCATGATAGATGAAACAAACAGACTTTCCCGACTCCTCCCTCTTTGGCCTCAAGACCCGTTCTTCCGGTCAGTGCCCAGAGGAGCGTTTTTTTCTTGGTTCTTTTTTTCCCTCCAGCCCATCTAAATTAGCATTTCCTTTCGATTTTTTGTCCTTTTCTGTCCTTGACTCCTTGGATAAAGGGGGAATCCCTATGCATTCCTGCTGAGGAAAAAGTGTGTTAGCTCACCTTCTGGACATGCCCATATTGTTCATCTTCTTTGGTGTCAGGCTTTTCATAGTCGAGCAGGAGATTCACAATCCACGGTTCCAGGTTGGTCGGCCTCTTTGTCTGGCTGTCCTCACTATCCAAACTAGAAACAACGTTTCGGTGAAGTCAAGGTATTGCAGAAAAGACAGAACTGGAATATAATACAAGACTACATAAAGGTCAAGGTTTTCCCTTGACATTAAGTCCAGTCGTGTCCAACTCTGGGAGTTGGTGCTCATCTCCATTTCTAAGCCAAAGAGCCGGCGTTGTCCACAGACATCCCAAGGTCATGTGGCCACTGGCATGACTGCATGGAGCACTGTTACCTTCCCGCCGAAGTGGTACATATTGATCTACTCACATTGGCATTTTTCGAACTGCTAGGTTGGCAGTAGCTGGGGCTAACAGCGGGAGCTCTTGCCGCTCCCCTGATTCGAACCTGCGACCTTTTGGTTAGCAAGTTCAGCAGCTCAGCAATTTAACTCACTGCACCACCGGGGATTCCACAAGACTACATAAGATACTAATAATAATAAGATATATTATTATTATGTTACAGCATCTTACAAGACTACATAAGATACCATAATATAATAATAATAAATCTTTATATCCCGCTTCTCTCCCTCACGAGACTCAAAGTGGCTTACAACATCTTAATATCATACAAACAACATACCGAAACCATCAATGATCAATATGAATATTATAAAATAAGCAATTTAAAAACTGAACTACAATATACGGTCACATTTGTGTTTCACATTATGTCAGGTTCTATTGTGAGCTTTCTGCGAACTGCCAGCACGTAGAGCTGGGTTGGGATTAATTTAGCCCCCCCCCCCCCCCCCCCCGATCCATTGAACTGAAACTCCCAGCATTCTCTTTCATTGGCAATGCAAACCAAATCCTAGATTCCATCAATGTTTGGAGGGCCATATAATCCAGAAGTAGCTTTCACGATGACTCAATAGATTTGAACAACAGGCTCCCAAGAAGTTGCTTTCTTGTGTCAGAATCCAGACTGCGGCAAAACAATACTGTAACACAAGAAGCAAAAGCTCCTCCAATGTGATACAAAATATCCCCCAGTAATATTGCTCCTTTCTGAAATCTAAGCTTGCTGTGTTGTCTTGGTTCATAATTCATATTGTGGGACCCATGGCACCTTAAGTGGCTCTAGCCTGGGGACCTGGGATTGATTGGGAGGTCCAGTCTGACCAGCCAAGTAAGATGAACACAAAACAAAAAGGAACTTTATTAAACACTGACTTTGATTTTATCAATCTTTCTAAAATTAATTACACATATTTACTCAAGTCTAATGCGCCATCGAATTTAATGTGCACCTCAATTTTCAAAACCCTAAAACCAAAAAAAGTATTTGCTGCCAAATGTAATGCGCAGTGGCAAAAGGTGTGCTCCAAAAGGTGCACATTACAATTGCTTCATACTTAAGATTTCCTTCTCTAAAAACAAAAGTGTTGAAACACCAAAGCTTTCAGAAACAGGAAAAAAAACCTTGGGGTGCATCTATGCTGTAGAATGCCCGTAATCAATGATATGAAATCATGTAGTTTTACAAGGTCTTTAGCCTTCTCTGCCAAAGAATGCTGGTGCCCCACCGAACTACAAATCCCAGGACTGCATAGCATTGATCCAGGACAGTTAAATTAGAGGCGATGTCCCTCAAACTGGAGCTCCAGACGCTCCTGAAGGAGCTTCCCTTTTTCTTTGGCTCAGCACTAAGATGACCACATGATGCAAATCTAATGCACACCCTAATTTTGGCAATTTAGCCAAAAAAGTTGAGCATTAGATTCAAATAAATAGAGTATTTTATTAAGCACATTACATTGTTCTCTTGTCATCCTTGCTTTTTTATGATTTATCAGCATTCCCATTCTTTATGCTGATGGACAACACATGCCCCAAAGCATGTAAAGATCGGTCAGAACACTTCCTGCATGAAAACTTTCATCCTATTCACAAAACAGTTTCCAGCACTGAAAGAAGCCTGGTTAGACTTCTGAATGCAAATATACCCTTGCAAGGTACACTTGCCAATATCTGCCTTGCCATGAAACTGTTTTGTAAGTTATTAGTTAAAGGCAGTCCACAAGTAACAAATAAGACAAACCTCTGAGGATGCCTGCCATAGACGCAGGCAAAATTGAATGTTCGTAACATAGGGAATTGCCTGTACTGTTTATTTAGCCGGAGGAGTGTTTCGCAGGCTGGCAAATTCATTAAAGATATGGCAAAGAAGCCCATCTAGTCAAGAGTGATTTAATCACCTGGCAATTCTGTTCACTGAAAACCATTTAGCTAAGCAAGTTGATTTTATTGACATTAATGAAAATCTTGCCTCAACAAAAGCTAAAACATATATTTTGAGATAATTTTTGATATTGTTGTAAGTTGTTATTATGTAAAGGAAACCCATATAGGTTTTTTAATAAATAGAAATATTACTTTTGTGTTATCGTTAGTGTGAACTGACTGATTTTCTCCCAATTGCAGAGCATCTTGCCGCTTGCTTCAGTGGGAGGGCCCTGGTGGGACTCGCTGAAAGGATCCAGTTCTCTCCCAAAGTGAATCCAGAAACTTGTATGGGCATGCCCAAGGCAGAGATCGCACAGACTTTATCATACCGGTAACAGCAGCCTCATTTCTACATACAAGAGTACATGGCTTATCATTACAATGGTCTTGCTCACAACAACCCTTTGTGGAATCTGGTCCTCTGAGTGGGACAAGAAGGAAACCTATACTTTTGGTGTCACTGCAAGACCTCTGAAATATGAAGTGGATACCTTAAAGCAGTGGTTCTCAACCTGTGGGTCCCTCCCCAGGTGTTTTGGCCTAATACTCCCAGAAATCCCAACCAGTTTACCAGCTGTTAGGATTTCAGGGAGTTGAAGTCCAAAAAATCTGGGGACGCACAGGTTGAGAACCACAACCTTAAAGCAAGGCATGGGCAACTTCAGCCCTCCAGATGTTTTGGACTTCAACTTCTACCATTCTCAGTTGAAGTCCAAAACAACTGGAGGACCGAATTTGCCATGCCCGCCTTAAAGACTCCAGATCTCATCTTTGAATTTAACCCTGGCTACTTCTTGGGTGGGGGATTGCTAACAAAAACTTGTAGGCCACATTTCAGACTGAGGAACTTGCAAAATCGATGTTGTCCTTTCTACACTGCCCTATATCCTAGGATCTGATCCCAGATTATCTGCTTTAAACTGGATTATAGGAGTCTCCACTGCCAGGTTTATTTATTGTGTCAGAAGTGAACAGTTGTAATGCATTCAAAAACACAAAAAAGTTTGCAAACTTGGCATTCTACTAAACGTCCTTTGAGCAGTATCTGGCCCCTTGGAGTGCCTCTGGTGTGGTATAAGGAGGTCCTCCCTGGTGCATGATGTGGCAGGGCTCAGGTTGCATTGCAGCAGGTGGTCAGTGGTTTGCCCTTGTCCACACTCGCATGTCGTGGACTCCACTTTGTGGCCCTATTTCTTGAGGTTGGCTTCTGGTGCCAAAGCGCAGTCTGTTCAGCGCCTTCCAAGTCGCCCAGTCTTTTTCTGTGTGCCCAGGGGGGAGTCTCTCATTTGGTATCAGCCATGGATTGAGGTTCTGGGTTTGAGCCTGCCACTTTTGAACTCTCGCTTGCTGAGGTGTTCCAGCGAGTGTCTCTGCAGATCTTAGAAAACTATGTCTTGATTTAAATCATTGATGTACTGGCTGATGTCCAAACAGGGGGAGCCAGATAATCTGGGATAAGCAAATAATCTGGGATCCTGGGATATAGGGGCAGTGTAGATGAGGCTGGTTAATGGGGTGGCCATAAACTGACAAGCGCTTGGAAAGAGTAAGTAAAAACGACAGCCTCTGAGAAAAGCAGCAAGGTTAAGAGGCTGTAGATGAAAACAGCTTCTCTGGGCAAAACCAAGCCAGGTAATCTTGAAAGGATATGCATATGTATATGAGACTAGCTATCTCCTGCCACACGTTGCTGTGGCCCAGTCTGTGTATATGTATTGTGTGTGTGTATATATGTGTGTGTGTATATATTTGTGTATGTGTGGTTACATATATATGTGTGTGGGTGGGTGTGCGTATGTGTTGTAATGTAATTTTGGGGGTTTTTTTAAAGTTTCTTCTGCTGTGTTTTTCGGCGTTTTTATGGGTGGAGAGGTGCCTTGTGTCCAAAGTTGGTGTCCATTCGTCCAGTGGTTTTTGAGTTGTGTTAACGCCACAAACCGACATGACATTTTTATTGATATAGAAGATGGGTGAGTTTGGTGGGAAAGGTGAAAGAGGGGTGTGTGTGGGGGGGGGGATAGGGCCCCCTCCTCTATTTATTTTTTTTTTCGTGCTTGGCAAAGGCAGAGAGAGAGACAGAAAAGCAGTCCAAGAAGCCGTGTTCTATGCTCACTGGAGTCAATGGGACCTTCCTGGAAGGCAATGGAAGCCTCTGCCACCCACTCCAGCCACCCAAGGCCAAAGGCTCTCGAAAGGAGACAACCCCCCCCCCACACACACACACACACCCACACGAGAAAGAGTTCAGAGAGAAGGGCTTGGCTACCCTTTGGATCCCTGCCTGCACTGTAGAACTGCTGCAGTTTGACACCGCTTCCTTCCTTCCTTCCTTCCTTCCTTCCACCCTGCGGCAGGCAAAGCGAGGGAGGGAGGGAGGCTTCTTCTCCCAAACTTGACCCGTCCCGGGACTCCCGAGCCTGCAGCCAGGGCACTTCCAAGCGGAGACGCGCCCCCCTCGCTTCCCAAACTGACCTCTCGCCTGCCCGGCTCTGGGATGCCGCGGGGTCCATGCTGCGGGAGGAGGAGGAGGGGGGAGGGAGCGAGCTTTAGGGAAGGAACGGCTGCCCAGTGTGGCGTGGGGGGCGGAAGTGACGCGCTCTTGTTTGTATTCGAAGCCCCGCCTCCGCGGGAGGGAGGGAGGGAGGGAGGGAGGGAAGGCTCCCAAACGCCCATCGCCCTGAATTGAGTCCAGAAGGCAGAAGAAGGCCAGAGGCAAGAGGGACACCTGCTGGGCGGCCCTGGGAAGACACATTGAAGCGGTGGTGGTGATGATGATGGGTTGTTGTAGGCTTTTTCGGGCTATATGGCCATGGTCTAAACTAGAGGCATTATCTTCTGACGTTTCGCCTGCATCTATGGCAAGCATCCTCATATTCTGCTTTGGTTAGACCACTTTACCTGGAATATTGTGTCCAATGCTGGGCACCGCAATTCAAGAGAGATATTGACTCTAAACTGGAATACTGTGTCCAGAGGAGGGCGACTCAAATGATCAAGGGTCTGAAGAACAAGCCCTATGAGGAGCGGCTTAAGGAGCTGGGCATGTTTAGCCTGAAGAAGAGAAGGCTGAGAGGAGACATGATAGCCATGTATAAATATGTGAGAGGAAGTCACAGGGAGGAGGGAGGGAGCAAGCTTGTTTTCTGCTGCCCTGGAGACTAGGACGCGGAACAATGGCTTCAAACTACAAGAGAGGAGATTCCATCTGAACATGAGGAAGAACTTCCTGACTGTGAGAGCCGTTCAGCAGTGGAACTCTCTGTCCCAGGAGCGTGGTGGAGGCTCCTTCTTTGGAGGCTTTTAAACAGAGGCTGGATGGCCATCTGTCAGGGGTGCTTTGAATGCAATATTCCTGCTTCTTGGCAGAATGGGGTTGGACTGGATGGCCCATGAGGTCTCTTCCCACTCTAGGATTCAATGGTTCTATGATTCTATGCCTCCCACAAAGAACTGGTGGGATCAGGGACTGGTCAGGTCAGGGGATGATTGTCCAGTCATTCAAAGAAGGCACACTTCCTGAAGACTGCCAGGGTGGGGGCTGGCCTAATTTCTCTGGGGAGCGAGTTCCAGAGCGAAGGGGCCACCACAGAGAAGGCCCTCTCCCTCATCCCCACAAGTCGCACTTGTGGGAGCGGGAGAAGGTGTCCTCAAAGGCTTTCATGGCCAGAATCATTGGGGTCCTTTCCACACAGCCCTGCATCCCAGGAGAGCAAGGCAGGAAATCCCACAATATCTGCTTGGAACTGGGCTATCTGATAATGCGGGATTTCCTGCCTTGCTATCCTGGGATACAGGGCTGTGTAGTTTTCCTTGCTGTCTGGCCATGTTCCAGAAACATTCTCTCCTGACGTTTCACCCACATCTATGGCAGGCATCCTCAGAGATTGTGAGGTCTGTTCCAAACTAGGCAAGAGGGGATGATATATCTGTGGAGTAATGTCCAGGGTGGGAGAAGGAAAGAACTCTTGTCTCTTGGAAGCAAGTGTGAAGCCACTGAAATCCACAAGAAGTGTGTGGACAATTTCAACAGAAAGGAGGAAACCATAAAAATGAACAAAATCTGGCTTAATTTTTTTTAAAAAAATCGGGACAGTAAATAAGGAGCAACACTCAAAAAACAGAGGAATTCCTGACAGGAAACAATCAAGGCCAAATAATCACTTCCCAACAAAGCATTCCCCCAAGTAGGAAGCAGCCAGGCTTTGAAGCTGCCAGGCTATTCAGTGCTAATCAAGGTGGCCAATTGCAACAGTCACACTTAACTCCAACAGACAGGAGTTCTTTCTCCCGCCCTGGGCATTCCTTATGTGAACAGTCTTACATTTCTCCTTGTTGAAACTAATTGGCCCATCTCTCTAATCTGTGAAGGTTGTTTTGAATTCTGATCCTGCCTTCTGAAATATTAACTATCCCTCCCAATTTTGTGTCACCTGCAAACTAGGTAGCATTCATCATTGACACCATTCAAAATTTAGAAGTAACAATGCAAGTGGTCTGTTGATCACAAATGAAGTGGGAAAATGCCCCCGTTTCAAACCTGAGAAGGGGCAGCTCTTACGTTTCCTGGCTCTGCAGCACTGCCATCTAACTGTTTGTTGTTGCTGTTCATTCGTTCAGTCGTTTCTGACTCTTGGTGACCTCATGGACCATCCCACGCCAGAGCTCCCTGTCAGCCATCACCACCCCCAGCTCCTTCAAGGTCAATCCAGTTGCTTCAAGGATGCCATCCATCCATCTTGCCCTTGGTCGGCCCCTCTTCCTTTTTCCTTCCATGTTCCCCAGCATCATTCTCTTTAAGCTTTCCTGTCTCCTCATGATGTGGCCAAAGGACTTCAACTTTGTCTCTAGTATCCTTCCCTCCAGTGAGCAGCATTCGGGCTTTATTTCCTGGAGGATGGACTGGTTGGATCTTCTGGCAGTCCAAGGCACTCTCAGAACTTTCCTCCAACACCACAGTTCAAAGGCATCTCTCTTCCTTCGCTCAGCTTTCCCTAAGGTCCAGCTCTCACATCCGTAGGTGACTACATGGAATACCATGGCTTTTACTATGCGGACCTTTGTTGCCAGGGTGATGTCTCTACTCTTCACTAATTTATCGAGATTGGACATTGCTCTCCTCCCAAGAAGTAAACATCTTCTGATTTCCCGTCTCCTGATTTCCTGGCCTCAGTCTGCTTCTGCAGTCATCTTTGCACCTAGAAATACAAACCTTGTCACGGCCTCCACGTTTTCCCCTCTATTTGCCAGTTGTCAATCATTCTTGTTGCCATAATCTTGGTATTTTTTTAATGTTTAGCTGCAACCCTAAGGTTGTGAATGTTTCTTCCAGCCATTTTAACCCCAGCCTTGCATTCCTCAAGCCCCGCACATCGCATGTTGTGTTCTGCATACAAGTTGTATAGGTTGGGGGAGAGTAGACAACCCTGCCGTATGCCTTTCCCAATCTTGAACCATTCTGTTGTTCCATGATCAGTTCTTCCTGTTGCTACTTGGTCCTTGTACAGATTCCTCAGGAGAGAGATAAAGTGACTTGGTATGCTCATCCCACCAAGAACTGTTGCTGGACATCTGTCACCAAGGGGCTCTGTTTTTGCCGTACTGCCTGTCCAGCACACAAGGCAATAATACAGCAAGAGTCTTCCTTGCTGACATCAGGCAGAGACAGGCAAGTGCCGCACCATCCTGTCCAGGAAAGAGAGCTCAGGGCTTCTGACACTTGCCTTCTGGGTAGAAGTGATAAGGCACACAGCAAGGAGCCAAGAAGGAATTGCCTTCACAATGTTGAGAATGTCTCCCACGGGGGAGAAATAAAGTAGACGATGAGGATGATTTATTTATTTTATTTCGTATCAAAAGCATTGCATAGATTAGTATAAAACTGATAAAAATAGAAGGAGTTCAAGTGGCTAAATATCTTTTGACCAAAAACGGGCAACAGCAACGGCGTTGTCTGTAGCGTCTGACAATTCCTCCTCTGTACATGAGGCAGAGCATAATGGACAAGCATACAGATGCGGAGTTGTCTGTTCTGCTCCACAGTCACACAAGGTGTGGGATTCTTTTAGATTGTGCCATTTTGCCAGGTTGTCTTTTGATCTGTCCACTTCTGTTCCGGGACTTCCAGGTTGCCCATTCTTGGTTTGCCCCTGGGTGATGATGATGATGCTGATGATGATGATGATGATGCCTGTGCCTGGCTCAGTGGGTAAAACTGTTCTCAGGCTGTAAGCAGCATGTAGTGCAAAACTTTAGTGGGGAGCTCAGGGCAAGCAATTACTTAATCACACTAGAGAATGAATCCACTTTAAGTCCAGATTCTGCCTCCTGCAGAATTCTGGGGTTTGTAGTTTAATGAGGCTGTTAAAAGCTCCCCTCTAAACTACAAACCCCAGAATTCTGTAGGAGGCAGAATCTGGATTTAGAGTGGATTCATTCTCTAGCGTGATGAGGTCGCAAGTCCCACTGCAGCAGAAAAACCGCAAAAAAGACAAACCCCCTGAAATCCTACAACAATGCAAAATATGCATCCCACCCATGATAACCAACCCGCACATAAGATGGTTATGCATCAATGTGCAGCCAAGGTTAAGGCTGTGCAGAGAGACCTCTGCCAGCCATATTCCAGAGTAGTCTAGCAGTGGATGAGAGGCTGAAAGTCTGAGCTCCACTGTGACAAGTCAGTCGAGGCAACATCTTTCAGCACCAAAGACATCATCATCCCTTCCACATAGAGCGAGTTACAGCTTACCAAAGGAGAGGCCTTTTGGGTTCAGAAAGGGACAGGCTACTTACTGCGAGAGAAGGAAAACAGGCCTAGTGTCGAGAAATTGGATTTTCCCTTTCAATGTCATTTAAACCTTAGAGCCTCTAAAAGAAATGTATTGGCAACAGTTTCAGAACAGGCCGTGCTTTGTCCCAAAATGCGCACCAGAACGGATCGTCTTATGTTTCTTACTTTTCATGATCAAGGAGATAAGATATGGCAAAGCGCACGACGACGGCACACTTTCCAAACTGATATGTAAACAAGGAGAAAGGAAGGAAGAAAAAACCCAGCTTGGCAGCACGGCTGTTGCCAACTCTTACCCAATGTATTCCATCTCTAGCCAAGCCGAGAGATCCTTTCAAAGTGTAAAATCAAATTAAAAACAACAACAACAACAACAAAAGCACGCTATTAAACTGGGAGAAAAATCTCTTTCATGTCCAAAACCTCCCGTTTCAAACCCCCCCAGTGGCAGGAAAACTTGGCAACCGTCAGGGTGACAGCAAAAAGATCTAAAGGCTTTGATCCAAAAATAAATAAAGGAAGAGCGTCAAGTGTTTTCCCCAGTTTTTATTTCAAGTCTAAAATCCATGATGTTGAAACAGACTTGTGCGGCTGGAGAGAGGCCGGTCTGTTATGGAGCCTTTGAAGACTTGCCACGGGCAGCTTCAGCCCATTCCTAGGTTTAAGAACTACTAGCCGGCCCCTGCCACGCATTGCTGTGGCCCAGTCTGTGTGTGTATATATATATATATATTGCATATGCGTATATATGTGTGTGGATTTGCACATGCATTGTAATGTATTTTTTTATTCTTTTGGCTTTTCAAGTCTCTTCTGCTGTGTTTTCCAGTGTTTTTATGAGTGATGGTCACTCATTGGCCTGAGAGGGGTCTTGTGTCCAAATTTGGTGTCCATTCGTCCATTGGTTTTTGAGTTTCGTTAATCCCACAAACAAACATTACATTTTTATCTATATAGACTAGCCGTCCCCTGCCACACGTTGCTGTGGCCCGATCTGTGTATATGTGTTTTGTGTGTGTATATATGTGTGTGTGTATGTGTTTATCCACACGCTGAAGCCCGCAGTAGGTTAAACTGTTAAACTTGCTAATGGAAAGGTCGTAGGTTCGAATCTGGGGAGTGGGGTGAGCTTCCACTGTCAGCCCCAGCTTCGAAAACATGCAAATGTGTGAGTAGATCAATAGGTACCTCTCTGGTGGGAAGGTAAGGGTGCTCCATGCAGTCATGCAGGTCACATGACTTTGGAGGTGTCTGTGGACAACGCCAGCTCTTGGGTTTAGAAATGGAGATGAGCACCAACACCCCCCCCCCCCCCATCGGACACAACTGGACTTAATGTCAGCGGAACAATGTGGTTATGTGCGTGCATTGTAGTGTGTTTTTTTGGCTTTTCAAGTCTCCTCTGCTGTGTTTTTCAGTGTTCGTATGAGTAATGGTCACTCCCTGGCCCAATAGATGTATTGTCCTTTCTTTCCTTCCTTCTTTCCTTCCATTTCAGTCTTCCCTTCTGGCTTTCCTTCCTTTCTTTTCTTTTTTTCCTTCTCTCCCCTTTTTTTCTTGTCTTTCTTCCTCCTCTTCTTCTTCTTCTTCCTTTCCCCTTTCCTTCCTTCTTTCTTTCTCTCCTTCCTTCCTTCCTTCCTTCCTTCCATTTCAGTCTTCCCTTTCTGCTTTCCTTCCTTCCTTTTTTCTTTCCTTCCTTCCTTTATTTCTTCTGTCTTTCCTTCCCTCCTTCCTTTTTTCCTTGTGTTTCTTTCTCTCCTTCCTTCCTTCCTTCCTTCCTTCCTTCCTTTCTTTCCTACCTTTTTTTCTTTTCCTTTTCCCTTTCCTCTTTCCTTTCCCACCTTCCTTCCTTCTTCCTTTCCTTCTTTCTTTCCTTTCCTTCCTTCCCGACTCAGGTGCTGGACCCACAACCGGGAGGACAGCGGGGGTTGCGGGGTGGGCGGGGGTGGTGGGCTCCCCAGTTGCCAAGGCGACGTTGTGGGCCTCCTTCCCCGGGGGGGGGCGTCCTGCTCGTCCCGCCCCTTTTCGGCGGCGTGTCTGCGGCCAATGGCGCGCCTCTCTCTCTCTCTCTCTCTCCCGCAACCAACCTGCGGGGCCGGTGACGTCAGGCGCGGCGGCGGCGGCGGCGGCGGTGGTGGCGGGGGCGAGATCCCCGGGTCTGCCTGCCTGCCTGCAGAGGAGGAGGCGGAGGCGGAGGCAGAGGCAGAGGGGGAGCCGGGCTAGCCCCCTCCTCTCCTTTCCTCCTGGCCCGGTGGGTCCCCCCAGCATGGCCAAGCCCCACCGGACGCCGGCGCGCGCCTCCGAGCCCGTCATCGAGGTCAAGAGCAAGGTGAGCAGTCCGCAGCAGGTGCCTCCCCCGCCCCTCCCCTCCCCCCCCCCCCCGGGATGGATGGTGGGGGTCTCGGCGCCTCCACCTCCTCCTCCCTGCCCCCCCCCGCCCCCCAGGCGCCCTCCCAGCAGGGATTATGCAACCAGGAGGAGACCGGCAGAGGAGGGAGGGAGGGAGGGAGGGAGGGAGGCCTCCGGAGGGGGGGGGGGCTCCTTCCTTCCTTCCTTCCTTCCTTCCTTCCTTCCTTCCTTCCTTCCTTCCTTCCTTCCCAGGCACAGCCATTGGCGAGAGAGGATGCTCCGGCTTCCCATTGCCTTCCCATTAGCATCATTATTTTAGAGCAGCACTACTATTGTGTATCTTTCTCTCTCTCTGTGTGTGTGTGTGTATGTATATACTGTATAGAGAGAGAGAGAGAGAGAGAGAGTTATTTTACATTATTTTATTGCCATTATATTATTATTATTTTATATTACTATTATATATATATATATATATAATTTTATCTCTACTATTTATTATTATTATTATTATTATAGTATTATTGTATGCATATATATATATATTGTTTATATTATTTTGTTGCCATTATATTATTACATGTATTATTTTATATTATTTTGTTGCCATTGTATATTATTTTATAATAGTATTATTATATATTATTTTATTACATATAATTTATTATTATAATATTGTATGTGCATATATATATATAGTTATTTTATATTATTTTGTTGCTATAATATTATTATATATTATTTGATATTAATATTATTATATATTATTTTATTTCATATTATTTATTATTATAGTATTATTGCATGTGCATATATATATAGTTATTTTCTATTATTTTGTTGCCATAATATTATTATATATTATTTGAGCTTAGTATTATATACACAGACACACATATACATATATATAATTTCACATGTCATATTATTTATTTATATTTATTTATATATTTATATGTATTTATATATTTTAGAGGGACATTGACTGGAACAGCAATTCGACTGACAAGACTGTTTTATTGTTTTAATGCTTGTTGATGTATTGTTTTAATTGTGATTTATGTTTAATTGTGGTTTTACTATTGGAATTGTTTGTATTGGCATCGTATCGGTGCCCAACGTAAGGCATTGAATCTTGCCATTATTTACGTGTAAACCACTTTGAGGCCCCCCAGGGTTGAGAAAGGCAGTATATACATACTGTAAATAAAATAAACAAATAAATAAATTTATGATTATTAATATTAGTCTATTGTGTATTCGGTATATATTATTACTTTATATTATCTTATTCCTATTATTTCATATTATATTACTATTATAATAATATAGTACAATATATTAATATAATACAATTGTATATTATGTATTACAGGTCATATTACTAATAATTATTTGCAGTATAGTGGTGTAGTGCAATATAGTAATATATAACATTAGTATTGAGCTATGCTAATAATATAATATATTGTATATAGATATAATATTTATAATAATATTATAATGTAAGACAATATAATACTAATAATAATACAATATTACAATATGTAGTAAGAATATTGCAATATAGTAATGGACCCCTGGTGGTGCAGGGGGTTAAACTGCTGAGCTGCTGAACTTGCTGACCAAAAGGTTAGTGGTTCGAATCCAGGGAGCAGGGTGAGCTCCTGCTGTTAGCCCCAGCTTCTGCCAAACTAGCAGTTCAAAAACATGCAAATGTGAGTATATTAATAGGTACTGCTTCGGCAGCAAGGTAATGGTGCTCCATGCAGACATGCCAGTGGCCACATGACCTTGGAGACGTCTACGGACAATGCCGGCTCTTCAGCTTAGAAATGAAGATGAGCACCCTAGTCATGTCCAACTCTGGGGATTGGTGCTCATAGAATCCTAGAATCCAAGAGTTGGAAGAGACCTCCTGGGCCATCATCCAGTCCACCCCCATTCTGCCAAGAAGCAGGAATATTGCATTCAAATCACCCCTGACAGATGGCCATCCAGCCTCTGCTTAAAAGCTTCCAAAGAAGGAGCCTCCACCACACTCCGGGGCAGAGAGTTCCACTGCTGAACGGCTCTCACAGTCAGGAAGTTCTTCCTCATGTTCAGATGGAATCTCCTTTCTTGTAGTTTGAAGCCATTGCTCCATTGCGTCTTAGTCTCCAGGGAAGCAGAAAACAAGCTTGCTCCCTCCTCCTCCCTGTGACTTCCTCTCACATATTTATACATGGCTCATCATGTCTCCTCTCAGCCTTCTCTTCTTCAGGCTAAACATGCCCAGCTCCTTAAGCCGCTCCTCATAGGGCTTGTTCTCCAGACCCTTGATCATTTTAGTCCCCTCCTCTGGACACATTCCAGCTTGTCAATATCTCTATTGAATTGTGGTGCCCAGAATTGGACACAATATTCCAGGTGTGGTCTAACCAAAGCATCTCCATTTCTAGCCCGAAGAGCTGGCGTTGTCCATAGACGCCTCCAAGGTCATGTGGCCAGCATGACTGTATGGAGAGCTGTTACCTTCCCACTGGAGTGATACTTATTGATCTACTCACATTTGCATGTTTTTGAGCTGCTAGGTTGGCAGAAGCTGGGGCTAACAGCGGGAGCTCACCCCACTCCCTGAATTCGATCAGCAAGTTCAACAGCTCACTGCACCACCGGGGGGGAGGGGGGCGAATATTTCAACTAATTAAAATATTACTATCATTTTATATTATTATTATTATTACTACTCCTACTCCTACTATTACTTTGTATTATATTAGTATTAATTATATATTAGAGTGTACATTTTAAGCCTGGGGGCAACTTAATATTTTGTAAGCCTCTATGAATGCCTTTGTGATTGAGAAACAGGATAAAAATGATCTAAATCCCATAGGATTACAAACTAATGAACACCCCTAAAACAGTGTGTTGTTGTACATTTTTTGGGCTATATGGCCATGGTCTAGAGGCATTCTCTCCTGACGTTTTGCCTGCATCTATGGCAAGCATCCTCAGAGGTAGTGAGGTCTGTTGGAACTAGGAAAAAGGGTTTGTATATCTGTGGAATGACCAGGGTGGGACAAAGGACTCTTGTCTGTTGGAGCTAAGTGTGAATGGTTCAACCGGCCACCTTGTATTGTCGAAGGCTTTCATGGCCGGAATCACTGGGTTGTTGTAGGTTTTTTTGGGCTATATAGCCATGGTCTAGAGGCATTCTCTCCTGACGTTTTGCCTGCATCTATGGCAGGCATCCTCAGAGGTTGTGAGGTTCCTTCGACAATACCCCTAAAACACTTCACGGCAACCTCTGGCCCAGTTTAACCCAGTTTAACCAAGCATGACAGGACAGGATGGAAAGGACAGCAGGGAGCAGGCAGGGACTCCCAGCTCCAAGGAGCAAGGTTTGATAAGCGGCTCTGCCTCCTTGTGAGCTGCTCTGAGTCCCCTTCGGGGCGTGAGAGAGGGCAGGGTATCAATATAGTCAATAGCAAATCCATACTGCAGGGCGTAGAGCATCCTCAGCATTTTCCATATCATGCTGATATGCTTGGAACTGCCAACCTAGCAGTTCGAACACATGCAAATGTGAGTAGATTAATAGGTACCGCTTCCGCAGGAAGGTGATGGCTCTCCATGCAGTCATGCTGGCCACATGACCTTGGAGGTGTCTGTGGACAACGCCGGCTCTCCGGCTTAGAAATGGAGATGCGCGCCACCCCCAGAGACTAGGCTTAATGCCAGGGGATCCTTTACCTTGACCTGAAATGCGGTATATGTGTCTTTGTGGAGCTGCAAGGCTGACCCTTTGTCCTCTCCTTTCTCGCCTAGTTTGATGCCGAATTCCGCCGCTTTGCCATGAAACGCTCGGCTGTGGGAGGTTTCCAGGAATTCTACCAGTTGATCCAGAGGGTCCACCAGATCCCTTGTGTGGACGTCCTCCTTGGGTACACAGACATCCATGGCGACCTGCTTCCCATCAACAACGATGACAACTACCACAAGGCCCTGTCCTCGGCCAATCCTCTGCTCCGGATCATCATCCAGAAGCGAGGTAAGGACGAATGTGCCTCTGCTGACGCTTCTCTTCACATATCAGGCTGAATTCTTGTTTGTTTCCTGCCCTTCACCTGAGGGTTTCTGGGATGGTAGCGGTGTTCCCTGGCAGATCACTCGGTGGTTTATAAAAGGATTTCTTCTTCTTTGTAGTTTAACAATCGCGACTAAAAACGAAAGCAAAACAAATCAGAGTTCCCTTCCATGGTTCAAGAAGATGCTGAAATTCATTTGGTTCACGTTATAGCAGGAATCTACACAAATTGATGAATTTGTTAATGTCAGGAGTGACTTAAGAAACTGCAAATCGCTTCTGGTGTGCGAGAATTGGCTGTCTGCAAGGACATTGCAGGGGGATGCCTGGATGTTTGATGCTTTACCAACCTTGTGGGAGGCTTCTCTCATGTCCCCGCATGGGAAGCTGGAGCTGACAGAGGGAGCTCAACCCACTCTTCCTGGATTAGAACCGCTGACCTGTTGGTCAACGGTCCTGCCGGCATAAAGGTTTAACCCATAGAGTTACCCATCACAGTTTTTCTTGAATTTTGCATGCAAGCCTCTGACCCAAAGACAGCTCACAAAAACGGGTGTTTTAAGCAGAAATGCACACCAAAATGCATCCCTCTGGGGAGAACACTAAGAAAATGTGCAACTTTGGTGTTGCCTCCATCCCTGAAATGTGACCTGTTGTCCAAACCGGATGCCACAAGCATACGCTTCACCATCTGAGAAGTTTAGCTTAAAAATGCCAACGCTGTCTCTGATGTGCTTGGGGGAAGTAGAGGCAGAGGGGCAGGATTGTACCCCATAGCCTTCTCCCAGGCGTGCCCATCCATATCAGTCGTCAGTCCCTCATACGAGGAACACCTCATACAGAAGGCAATGAGTAACATACCAGAACCACAAAGCAGAAACAAAGTAGTGAAGCCAAAACAGAAAATAAACACAGTCCAAAAAAGCTAGTCAAATAAAAATGAGAGAAAGATTCCCTAACGGCTGCGAGAGCGGCGGATGAAAGGAACTGAAGCAGTAGCCCCACCCACTGGCTATATATACTCTCAAGGGGAGAGTGGGCGGGGCTACCACTTAAAAGTCTCTAAGAAGTTTTCTAGAAGATTCCGAACTGTCTGTGCAGGCGCAGGAAATACCTTATGTGCAAGTCACAGGGACCACGATGGGAAAAGGAAGGAGGCAGACCTGCTCACCCCTGGCCAGGGCAGGCCTTCCTGTCTTGGTCACTCACTTCCCCGCCGCCATGTTCATCACTTCTCAAGCAGTTCCTTTTCTCAGGCCCAAGAGATCCCAGTTTCAGACTTGGAATCTCTTAAGATCTAAAGTAACACAGGTTGAGATTTTCCTTCCCAGTAGTTGCTGCGTCTTTTGAACAAAACAGACAAGAGTTGTGTGGCATCTTCAAGACAAACCAGTTTGTAATAGCATGGGCTTTTGTAAACACAAAATGTCCCAGAGCTCCCTGTGGAGCTATAATTCAGCACCAGCCTTAAAGGTGTCACGTAACTCTTGTTCTTCAGATAAGTAAAGGTAAAGATCTCCCCCGATATTAAGTCTAGTCGTGTCCGACTCTGGGACTCTGGTGCTCACCTCCACTTCTAAGCTGAAGAGCTGGCATTGTCCGTAGACACCTCCAAGGTCATGTGGCCAGCGTGACTGCATGGAGCACCATTACCTTCTCGTTGGAGCAGTACCTATTGATCAACTCACATTTGCATGTTTTCAAAGTACTAGGTAGGCAGAAGCTGGGCCTATCAGTGGGAGCTCACCCTGCTCCCGGATTTGAACTGCCAACCTTTCAGTCAGCAAGTTCAGTAGTTCAAAGGGCCCAACAGCATTTTTATAATGCTATAATTCATCCCTAACCTTCAAGGTGCCCTGTGACTCTTTGTTCTTCAGATACAGGACTGTAGGTGCAGATCATCCCAATCTAGGGAGCATTAGTTGCCGTGAACAGAACTCTCTCTTGCTCAGAGGTGGAATCCTAGAATCAAAGAGTTGGAAGAGATCTCCTGGGCCATCATCCAGTCCACCCCCATTCTGCCAAGAAGCAGGAAAATCTCATTCAAATCACCCCTGACAGATGGCCATCCAGCCTCTGTTTCAAAGCTTCCAAAGAAGGAGCCTCCACCACACTCCCTCCGGGGCAGAGAGTTCCACTGCTGAACGGCTCTCACAGTCAGGAAGTTCTTCCTCATGTTCAGATGGAATCTCCTCTCTTGTAGTTTGAAGCCATTGTTCCCTTGAGTCCTAGTCTCCAGGGAAGCAGAAAACAAGCTTGCTCCCTCCTCCCTGTGGCTTCCTCTCACATATTTATACATGGCCCTCATCATGTCTCCTCTCATCCTTCTCTTCTTCAGGCTAAACATGCCCAGCTCCTTAAGCCGCTCCTCATAGGGCTTGTTCTCCAGACCCTTGATCATTGAATTCCCATTTGGGTGCCTTCCAGCAAGGCCCGGGCTGAGGCCACACCGGGCAGGACCCAAACAAATGGCAGACCAGATATCCTTCTTATCGGCTGGGACACTCTTATCAGCATCCCTACAGACCATAACTCAAGTCCGTGCCTATCTGCTCAGCTTCGGCTCCGTCACAGGAGCTTCTGGGCTACAAACCAGAGCTCGGTTCCATACTAGCATCTTCCGAGACTGCAAGCCAGAGCTCGGTCCCCAAATCTCAGTTTTAAATGACCTCTTATCCAGAGTTTGAAAAGGTTTGGAGAATGAATCTGTTTGGAGAATGAATCGAAAACCCTCCTGCTGGAATAGCAAGAAGAGACACTGAGCAAGGCAGCGTCTAATGTGTTGCCTGGAGGTGTCTCCTTCCTGTAGTCGGTGGTTGGCTCTGCTGCTTTAACAGATAGTTTCATCAAATCATAGATTTGGAAGAGACCACAAGGGCGATCCAGTCTGGCCCCCTGCCATGCCGGAACGAACCATCAAAGCCTTCCTGGCAGAGACCATTAAAAAAGAGCCAGAACCGCAGCAGAAAGGTGCAAGGGGTGGAGCCAGCAGACAGGTCCTCGGTCCAGGTGCTGCTGCTACTGAGAAGGCCCTGCCCTGTGCGCCTCCAGCGCAGCCTCACAGAACCACTGGTCATGCAGCAGAGGCAGTTGGAGTTTTCCTTCCAGTGTAAATCATACACAGTAGAGGAGGAGGAGGAGGAGGAGGAGGAGGCTTCCCATTGGAATTATGGCTGGAGAAAGTGTAAAAGCCCATGGTCTCATCCCCCAACCTTTGGTCCTTCAGGTGTCTTGGACTTCAGCTCCCATAACTCCTCTAACAGCTGGCAATCTGGCAGGGATTTCTGGAAGCTGAAGCCCAAAACAACTGGAGGACCAAAGTTGGGGACCACTATGAGTAGCTGACAATTGTATCTACACCCCGAGAGTGAGCAATGCAACACACCTGGTTTAGTCCTCAGCCTGACATACCAAACACGATGCCCGTGGTCTGAATCCGGCCTGCCACGTCATTTTATGTGGCCTGAGAGGCTTTCAGTGCCAGGGCAACAGAGTTCCTTGTATACAGTCTTACCCCGGTGGCGCAGTGGGTTAAACCCCTGTACCGGCAAGACTGAAGACCGACAGGTTCGAATGCGGGGAGAGGCGGATGAGCTCCCTCTATCAGCTCCAGCTCCTCATGCTGGGGGATATGAGAGGAGCCTCCCACAAGGATTGTAAAAACATCAAACCATCTGGGCAATGTCCCCTGGGCAATGTCCTTGCAGACGGCCAATTCTCTCACACCAGAAGCAACTTGCAGTTTCTCAAGTCGCTCCTGATAGGACAAAAAAAAAAGAGTCTTAGTCTTTGAAGACAGCCATAAAGCTGCTGTGGCCCTCACTGGAAATGGGCTTGACCCCTTGTTCTGTACAGTAAACCATAGGATTGGCAGGTATGGTTGCCTGGTTGGAAGGAATGACTTAGGACCAGGATGGGCAAAGCGTTGCCCTGGAGACCCCAAAGTGCGACTCCAGAAGCCTCTCCCCATTTTTAAATTGGGAGGAAGGATAATGTTTTCATGAGAATTGTCCCAAAGCCCCCAAACTGCTCAGGAAAATGACAATTTGCTCCCTCAAACTCCCCTTAAAGGAAAAAAGAGAGTCTGGAAACCAAGCAAGATGGTTGCCAGAACCTACATTCCAGGTGAGGGCTAGGAGGAAGGTTCCAACCCTCTTTAGTTTCCCAGCCTGGCTTAGAAGAATAGAAAAGACGAAATACTGGGCAAAGGGAATAAGGCTGTTTCAAAGGAAGAGGGTTCAGCAGAAGATTGTCTCAGTGTGCTCGTGGTGCTTGTTTGTTAGCATTTGGGTCTTCTGGAAGGTCTGCCTTGACCGGACCCTGGGAACCCTGGCTTCCGGGGAGCCTTCAGTCCGCCCCCTTCTATTGGGAGCTCCTCTCTTTCAGCCTGACCTGCTTCACTGGAGATTTGCCAAAATAAAATGAGAAGTTGATTCAAGCTCATTGCAAGAGAGGTGGGATGTCAACATAATGGAGATGGAAAGGAGCCATCACAGGTCTGGAGAGGCATTCCCTGTGGTAGGGCATCGTAAGCACATAAAAAGGCAGTTAAACTTAGCGCCAGGCCAGAAAAAAATCGCCTCAGTCCTGAGAGCAGAACTGATTGATCAGTTCTGTCATCACCCAACACAACTGTCCAGAGCAGTGCCTCTCAACCTGTGGGTCTCCAGATGCTTTGGCCTTCAACTCCCAGAAACCCTAACTCACTGTTTCTCCACCTTCCTCATGCCGCCACCCCTTCATACACTTCCTCCTGTTATGATGACTCCCAACCATAACGTTGTTTTGGTTGCTACTTCATCAGTGTAATGTTGCTACTGTTATGAACTGTCATGTAAATATCTGATACGCAGGATGTGTTTTCACCCCTTAAACCCAATTGTGCACAAATACTCAATACGCCTACATTTGAATACTAGTGGGGTTGATTTTGTTATTTGAGAGTTGTAGTTGCTGGGATTTAGAGTTAACTTTCAGTCAAAGAGCATTCTGAACTTCACCAATGATAGAATTTAACCAAACTTGGCACTCCCATGACCAACAGAAAATACTGGAAGGGTTTGGTGGGCATTGACCTTGTGTTTGGAGTTGTAGTTCACCTTCATCCAAGAGCACTGTAGACTCAAACAATGATGGATCTGGACCAAATTTGGGATGAGTACTCAGTATGCCCAAATGTGAACACTGGTGAAGTTTGGGGAAAACAGACCTTGGCATTTGGGAGTGGTAGTTGCTGGGATTTATAGCTCATCTACAATCAGAGACCATTCTGAACCCCACCAAGGATAGAATTGGGCCAAACTCCCCACACAGAACCCCCATGACCAAGTGAACATACTGTGTTTTCTGGTGGTCTTTGGCGACCCCTCTGACCCTCAGGTTGAGAGAGGCTGTTGCAAGCAAATTATTCCTTCAGCTGAGCTCCAGGCCGGAAGAAACAGCCCCGTTCCTGAGAGCAGGCTCTCTTGACCAGTCCTATCCCCCAACACACCTGTCCAGCGCCTGTGAATCTCTCCTGCAGCCTCAGGGAGAGGGGGGTGTTGGTGAGGCCAAGGGGCCCCTCTCCCGGCACGCAGCCAAAGGCCTGACTGAGGGCTACTCAAGGAGGATTCGACAACATCATTCCAAATCTAGCCGAGCTTTGATTAATTATGGCGGGAGGGGGGGTGCGCAAGGAGACTCCCACTCCCCAGCAAGCTTCCGGGGCTAAAAATAAGCTTCTGCACCAAAACCAGAGGGAGATATTAATAACTCTGCCTGGGAAGAAGAGCAGTGAGAGGAGGGAGGTGCTGCTCGGGCCCAGGGACCTGCAAAAAGCCTGCCCACCCGCCCGCCCGCCCGCCTTCCTCGCGGAGAGTTTTCTAATAACAACTAGTAGTACTAGTATAAATATGTGAGAGGAAGCCACAGGGAGGAGGGAGCAAGCTTGTTTTCTGCTTCCCTGGAGACTAGGACGCAATGGAACAATGGCTTCAAACTACAAGAGAGGAGATTCCATCTGAACATGATGAAGAACTTCCTGACTGTGAGAGCCGTTCAGCAGTGGAACTCTCTGCCCCGGAGTGTGGTGGAGGCTCCTTCTTTGGAAGCTTTTAAGCAGAGGCTGGATGGCATCTGTCAGGGGTGATTTGAATGCAATATTCCTGCTTCTTGGCAGAATGGGGTTGGACTGGATGGCCCATGAGGTCTCTTCCAACTCTTTGATTCTATGATTCTATGATTCTATACTACCAACTCCAATGAATCAGCAAAGTCTGCTCAGTTGTGGGCGCCCGGCTTGGACATTGGCTCAGGACCTGTGGCCAGCAAGGACCTCCGAGAGGCCAAACCATCCATAGGGTCAGCGTTGGTTCCCCATTCCTGACTCCCAGGCCGAGTCGGTGCCAGAAATGACGGAATCAATAAGCAGAATCTTGCCATTTTTGGAGGCCACGCCTGAGGCTGTTGCACAATCTGAATGGAGCAGATGGGGAAATGGGTCGCAGTCCTCGGGGTGTCTTGTGCAGGGGATTTCAAGGCAATGCCAGCATCGCCTCCTGGGATCCTGAAGCCAAAACAGGCACACACACAACACGTGAGGTGCTGAGCACCAGGGCGTTCCCCGCATTTTGAAGCGCTCACCTGTTCGCGCTCAGCAAGTCTTGAGGACCATCCCGATGTCTCTGGCCTTTTAGAGGATCCGGTGGATCCTCCCTCCTGCTCGGTCCAGGGGAGGAAAACATTGTATTGTCGAAGGCTTTCATGGCTGGAATCCCTGGGTTGTTGTAGGTTTTTCTGGGCTATATGGCCATGTTCTGGAGGCAATTTTTCTCCTGACATTTCGCCTGCATCTATGGCAAGCATGACCTCACTACCTCTGAGGATGCTTGCCATAGATGCAGGCGAAACGTCGGGAGAAAAATTGCCTCCAGAACATGGCCATATAGCCCGGAAAAACCTACAACAACCGAGTGATTCCGGCCATGAAAGCCTCTCTGCTCACTCACACCAAAACACCCCCCCCCCCCCCCAATACTGGTTCCATTCTTTTTTGAAATACGCTCCCATTGACTAATTATTGGCTGCCTTTCTCCAGCGGTTTCTCCCGAGCATCTCGATTCCTCCCCCTTGCTGGATGGACAGAGCCCAGTCTGCCACACGGTTGAGCAGAGTGCCCGGGGCCAGTGGAGGAGATCATCTCCTGGCCAGCCGGTCTAGTTCGCTTCTGCATGAGAAGCTGAGAAGTGGCGCAAGCTTGTATTTCGCCTCAGGCAGCCGTGTGCCTTGTGCCAGCCCCGTGGTGGCATCTGGAAGTCATTCGGGTCTCATTGACAGATGCTAACTGTGGCGGAAAAGAGGGGACGCTTCCAGTTCACAGGGTCTCAGAAGAGGCAGCGGGGTCAAAGCCCTGGCCCCCTCCCTCCCTCCCTCCCCCCTCCCTCCGCGTTCCCTTCTCTGCCCAAGATCCAGACCCAGGCCGGGATGCGTGGCACCTGCCCGAACCAGATATCCCCCGCTTTCTTCTCTGGGATTACCCACTACATGCCAGGCTGGGATTAAAAGGGATATGAATAATTCAGTTTTAATCACACTTCAAGCCATGGCCTGTGGGCTTAACCCTCTCGCTGCCAGCCCAAGCCCCTGCCAGCAGCACTAGTAGTAGAGGGTCACTGCTGGTGCCCCAAAGACAGAGAATTGGGACTCCTGAACACTAGGAAGAACTCCCTGACTGTATGAGCTGTTCAACAGTGGGACTCTCTGCCTCAGAGTCTGATGGAAGTCCCTTTTGGGAGGCCTTTAAACAGGCTGGGGTGCTTGGATTTCGCTGGGGGGTGGACTACATGAGGGCCCCTGATGGTGCAGCGGGTTAAACTGCTGAGCTGCTGAATTTGCTGACTGAAAGGTTGGTGGTTCAAATCCAGGCAGTGGGGTGAGCTCCTGCTGTTAGGTCCAGCTTCTGCCAACCTAGCAGTTTGAAAACATGCAAATGTGAGTGGATCAATGGGTACCGCTTTGGCGGGAAGGTAAAGCACTCCATGTAGTCATGCTGACCACACCGTGGAGGTGTCTACAGACAATGCCGGCTCTTCGGCTTAGCAATAGAGATGAGCATCAGAGTCGAATTTGACTAGACTTAATGCCAAGGGACAACCTTTACTTTAACCTTTACTGGACTAGATGGCCCATGTGGTCTCTTCCAAGTACGATCATTGGATGTGGCTGCAAAATAATTTGGAAGGGAGGACTATGTAAAAGAAAGCCCCCACCCTGCACAGGCCTATCTGGCAAGTAAAACAATGTCTCCCTGCTGCCCCCTCCCTCCTCTCTCACCGGCCTTCTGTGAAGAGATTGTTGGGCAAGTGGGCTTAGTAAGGAGAGATTCCTGGACCCTAAACTAACATTKTCAACCTCAGAGAGGCCGAAGGGAGGGCCGTGGACGGTGAGGATGAACAGCGGTGCCCAGGAGGATCAGCGGCGCATAGGTGGCCCACAGCGCCCCCCCCCCCCGGCTGACCTCTGCTCTCTTTTCCCTTGCAGCAGAAGCTGACACCAGCGTCTTTGCCTCCAACTCGCTGCAGCGCAAGAAGAAGGGTCTGCTCCTCCGSCCCGTGCACCAGCGGACCAAGCCCCACTTGCTGATCGGGATGCCTCAGGACTTCCGCCAGATCTCCTCCATCATTGACGTGGACATTCTGCCAGAGACCCACCGGCGCGTGAGGCTGCACAAGCACGGCTCCAACAAGCCATTGGGCTTCTACATCCGGGATGGGGTCAGCGTGCGAGTGGCCCCCCACGGGGTCGAGAAGGTGCCCGGCATCTTCATCTCCCGCTTGGTCAAGGGGGGCCTGGCCGAGAGCACGGGCCTTCTGGCGGTGAACGACGAGATCCTGGAGGTCAACGGCATCGACGTGGCCGGCAAGTCGCTGGACCAGGTCACGGACATGATGGTGGCCAACAGCCACAACCTCATCATCACCGTCAAGCCGGCCAACCAGCGCAACAACGTCATCCGCAGCAGCAAAGCCTCCGGCAGTTCGGGCGTCTCCACGGACAGCACCCCCAGCCAGCAGACCCCCAGCCCCGCCTCCCAGTACCTGAGCAACTGCAGCACGGCCGAGGGGGAGAGCGACGAGGACGGCGACCTGGTGATCGAGAGCGATTTGCCGGCCAGCTGCCCCAACGGGGGTCTCCTGGAGAGCCTGCAGCACAGCCTGTCTCTCTACAGCTCGCAGGGGTCGCTGCCCTCACTGAACAGTCACAGCGGCAGCGGGAGCCCCGTGCGGGGCAGCCGGGCGGGAAGCCTCCGGGAGGACGGCACACTCTTCACGCTATAGCCCCGGCCGGCACCTCCCCGCTTCTACGTGGAACCCCACCAAGGTCACCAAGGTCACCAAGGGAGAGAGGCTTCCTTCCTGGCCAGGCAGGGAGCGGGAGCCGGAGGCGTAGTGGACACAGGCCCTCCTCCTTTGGCTGGCGGCGCTCCGAAGCCCCCTCTGTCGCAAGGGTGGCCATGGGTGGGGGGCAGGAGGGGCTGGCCCACATTCCCTGAAACCATGACCACCTGGAGAAGGCCACTTTTGTGATTCCAAAACAGTGGGCGTTTTATTCCATGTGCTGTCTCCACTCGTCCGTGTTCCAGGCCAAGCGAGGTTGTGCCCGCCTCACCGCCTGCCGTCTCTGCCTCACCCACTCTCGGCTCTCATTGAAGTGTTTCGTTTTGAGTTGTTTGTTTTTACAAAGACATGCATCCCAGATTAATATATTACAACAGACTATTAAACATGGTGTGTGTTTTTTTAAAGAAGTGTTTCTGGTGTGCTTCTTAGAAGTCTTAGGCGTGCGCTGCAGGGACAGAGAGGAGAGAAAGGCGGGACCAAGGGCCCGCCCGAGGGTGGTCCCGGGGAACAGAGATGGAGAGGGGCGTTTCTAGCCCTGATCCCGGGGATGGGGTGGGGTGGGACTGCACGCCTGCATGCAAAGCACATGCCGCACTCCTGAGATGCGCCTCCCTCGGACTTCTCAGAGAAATAAGGCATGCCATTGGTGATCATAGGGAGCACTTCCCAACCAAACTAAAGATAACTAGTCCTTGCACTGGGCATGCATTAAAACTACACCACACGAATGCTTGTGCAAGTACACCGTGACCCGTGTTTACTTACAAACTGCTTTATTTAAAACCACCCAATCCCTCAATGTAGAACTGTAGGCACTCCTCCTCTAAGATCCAGCGGTTTGTCTCTTGCGTGGCCTGAAAGCAAGAGTTTTAATAATGTGGGCAATTGCTTCCCCGGGCACGGGTTCTGATCTTTCTTGGCACTAAGTGAAACTACTGCTGTCGGGCAGTCAAGCTGAGGATACCACATTTTCCCAACATTGAGTCACATTCCTGAGACCATGGACATTCTCCCTTGGGTCTCCACCCCACCCCCTTGCTTGCTTCTGTCAACTTAACCCATTTGCTTCTGAAGTTTTGCCCCTGTGGTCCCTGACTGTGGCCACACTGGTTGCCACTGAGGAGAGCTCAACACCATCTAGAGAACTTGGATGTTCTTCACCCCTATAGAGATGGACATTTGTGGCTTCCTAGCCCTTGGCGAGAGGAATACATTAGAAAAAGGTGGACACTAGTGTAAGCAAATGACGTTTCAGTCACTGGAATAACGAGTGTTCAGGTAAAAGAGAGACTCTAGCTGAGTTCAGGAATAAGGGGGGGGGGRRTRCCCCCTTCCTCTCCACTACAGCTCAGACAAGGAGGTCGGGAAGGGGAGYACCTTCTGACCCAGCCTAGGAATCCAGCTTGATGAAGACTTTGGGCCGGGAGAAGATCTTGAGCGCCTCTTCAATCTGRGACAGCTTCTTCTCTAGAGCAACCCGTCGGTTTTGGACACTCAGAGTGTCGACTCTCACGGGAAGCAGCAAGAGATCTTTCAGGAGTTGCTCTTGGCCTACAAGGGAACGGGGGGGGGGGGCATGGGGGAGGAAACAGCAAGCAAACAGGTTACGCTGCAAATGGGGCTGAATCTGGGTTTGTTTCAACAGCTGCATCCACAGAAAAAAGGTTAGTCAAGGTGCCTTAGGATTCTTTGTTTACTGTGAGCCAGCAAGCCCCCAAACAAGACAAGGCCAAGGGTGGTTTGCAATCTGAGGTGGCCCAATGAGCCAAAACCATGGCTTCCGGCATCTGGGTGATTTAGCCGCCCGCCCAGTGGTCCTCAACCGGTGGGTCCCTCCCCAGATGGATGTTTTGGCCTTCCAGAAATCCTCACAGCTGGTAAACTGGCTGGGATCTCTGGGGCTTGTGGGCCAAAACAAAAACCCCTGGGGAGGGACCCACAGGTTGGGAAGCACTGGTTTAGCCAGTTGCACTTAGTTGCAAGGGAACTCTTGCTGCAGATGAGGGATCAAGAACGGAGTAGCACCACAAGACAGAACAGAAAGTCATGGAGATACGGTCAGAGGCCTTTGCCTCCAGAGTTCATTAGAGTTAGTAAGTCAGGTGAACCAGGTAAGAGAGAAGGAGAAGATGGCAATGAAGAAGAAGTAGTAACAGCAGTACTATTACATTCAAGGGGTCGGAACTAGCCAGCCGTATCACAGTTCCACTCAGAGAGCTACCACAAGGTTCTGGCCTTGGCGGGCTGGTTCCCAGCAATCCTGAGGAAGGCCCAAATGGTGGCAAGGGTGGCGGTGACCCCTGCCCTCTCCCTTGCCCAAGGCCCCAGAGGATAAACGGCCACCCAGAGACCAGCTCCCAAAGGCAGCGCAGCGGCTGGAGCCCCCCACTCCCGGCCCATCTTACTTACTCTGTTTCAACTTGTCGAGTGTGTCCAGCCTCTGGCTCTCGGGCATCATGGCGTGGCCAGGGGGCATGGCAGGGTCGGGCATGCTGCGCTGGTACTCCTCCGCCTCCTTGCGCCAGTGCTCCTTCCTCTCAATCAGGCTAAGGACAGGAGAAAAGAACGGATCAGGAAGGGCACCGAGAGCTAGGCAGAGACATGCAGGAGGGACCGGCATCCTAGAACCCAAAGAAAGGAGCAAGCCTGGATTTCACCTCCTCTTTTCCAGATTTGGGAAAGCAGATACAGCTGGCATCAGGCTTTTATGGAGGGAGCAGGACGCAGAGCAAAAGGTACTACGAGGGTTAGCCAGAAAGTAAGTTACAAGGCACGTCACTCTCGCGGGTGGGGAATTTTCTCAGGGGAAGTTGGCATCACTGCCGTGTAGCGGGAAGATAGCGGAAAAAATGAGCAGTGCCAGTCGACAGTAGCTCATTGACTGGAGTTGTGGTGAAGGTTAGAGAGGAGCGTCCTCATTCTGTTTCCCTCCAAGTGCAAAGTTTGTGCTGTAATACACGATACCCTAAATGCTAAGGGCATGAATGCCACCGCAATTCATCACAAAATCATTTCGGTTTATGGAGAGGATGTAATGCCAAGACAGCATGTGACAAAATGGGTACAGAATATATTGTGAGACCATGAAGACACTTCTCAGAGCCATCCACAACAAATGCCGTGGGATGCTGATGGCTGGAGTCTGCCTCCTTCATGCACACCGCTCATGCAACACAAGAGTTGTGGACTTCACTGGGTTGGGACGTTTCAATCCACCCTTCTCCCAGCCCTGACCTTGCACCCAGGGACCTTCCTCTGTTCACTCAATTGAAGGAACACCTGCATGGGAAACACGTTTCTGACAACCAGGAGGGAAAAGCAAAGTGACAAAGTGGCTGGAAAAGGCAGAGGGAAGCTTCTATGTATGACGCAGGCATCAAGAACTCATCCCACGCATGACAAAATGTATTGAACTGAATGGTGATTGTGTGGAAAAATAATGTAATCCCTCTGCTACAATCCATGATGGGAGTTTTATTAAAATATATTCATTCTTTGTATTTTTTAAAAAACTTGTAACCTTACTTTCCGGATAACTCTGGGATGATACTGTGTTTGTGGCAACCTCTCAGAGGGAGACTGGCAACTCCAGAGAAGCTATGGCGACAGGATGAAACTCAAACACTCGGCATTTTGAAGAGCTGTCCCTCCCATTATGCATCTCTCACCATTCGAAAATCTACAGCTACCAGGACTCTGAATCCAGCAGAGTTAATAGTCATGGGAGTTGGGGTCCAAAAGTGTAACTTTTCCCAACTTCTGCAAGCCAGGCTTCTTCATTACGACACTCTGTTCTTGCTGTAACTGAACACTTTTGAAGAGGAGAGCCATGAAGACACCTGGCTTACGGAAGGTGGGAAATGTCACATTTTCCTAGGAGCACCCAAGAGCGCCAATCCTCCCGAGTCGGAGCAACATCTCCCAGAACATCGTTCTCTGCTTTCCATCACGGGCAGAGCTGCGGTGCCGAGGAGGACGGGGAGTATCATCAGGAAAACAACGCTCTCTCACGGAATCACATTCAACAGCACATGTAGGCCCCATGCCATGATTTTTGTTTTTTATTTACTTCCTTTCTAACCTGCCTTCCTGTTTGAGGGGACGGGCGTTCTCCTCGATCTGAGACTGAAGCCCCCAACCCGGCCCTGAGAGGCTTCTAGTCCAGCTGACGGTCAGTCCATAGAATCGCTCCCAGGACAGGATAGGGATAGGCATTCAGACTAAGCGGCTGCATATCAGGGGGGCCAGTACAGGGCATTTGTTCTTGTACATCAGGACTGGCCCAAGACACGTTTTTGCCTGAAGAGAAGAACAAGAGTCCAGTCCAAAAGCTGGCCGTTGAATCTCTCTTCAGCACTGCGGACGGGACAGCATCGCCCATCATGACTGGAGGCAGGTGGCTGGTTTAGGGAGGAATGGACAGGCCGCGCAGCACCGAGTGTTCTCCCCCAGTCCCCTGCTATGACCCTTCCCTCCCGGCACCTATGGCTTCATCGGAGGGCTGACCCCCCATCCCCCCCCCATGATCTCTTCCACCTCCTCCTTCACTGGGAGAATACCTACTAGCGGGGGACGTGTCCCTTCTGCTTCGCGTCATACTCCTCCTGCCCCTTGCGCCTCTGCTCCAGCACTTCCGTCAGCGATTGCAACGAGCGCGAGCGCCGCAACTGAGCTCGCTTCGCATTTTGGGCATTGTGGCTGACAAAGTCCACCTCCTTGCTGCCTCCCTGGGCCTGAAAAGGAGAGAGGAAAGGGCAGAGGGTCAAAGGCCAGTCAGACTCCCACGCTGGGACACAGAGACCACGCTTTCCCAAAGAGCTGGAATGGCTCAGGTAGCGGAACAAGGACGTCAAAGACCTGAGCTCATACACCTTGGCTTAGGAACGTTAGCTGCCACTCGTAAATTTCAAAAGAAAAATTGATAGCAATACAATTACATTAGTTGAGGCATCAGGAGGTGAACTGCTTTTGAATATTTACATAAAACTGTAATTTAAGAAAAGCCCGTCCAACTCAGATTAAATCATTATTCTAACCTTCTTCAATGTCAATGTGCTTACTTATCTTTCTAATAATAATAAAGAGGGTAAAATAATAAATGTAATAAAAATAATAAGAAAGTGAGTAAAATAATGGAAATGTAATCATAATAGTAGTAGTACATAGTAGTAGTAGTAGTAGTAAAATAATAAAAGTAATAAAAATGGGCCAGGCTTTAGCATAACATAAAGGTTGCCAGTTTGAAGCCCTGGGTTGGTGTGAGCACCCAACTGTCAGCCCAGCTCACTATCTACCTAAGCAGTTTGAAAACAGCTTATTGCTGTAAGTAGAGAAATTAGGCACTGGTTAAAAAGCGGAGGAGGTATTTTACGACACCATAAAAGAAAAAGATTGGAAAATGCCTGGTAAACAAAAGGAAGGAGGAAGTCCTGATGACTCTTCGTCAGAGGATGGAGCGATAGCACCTGCCTGTGGCTGGATTTGAGCACAACCTCCAAAAAGGCGCCCAAAAGCTGGAGGTCGACACAACATACCTCCTTTGTATTCTGTCTGTCTGTCCTGTCTGTCCAAAACAGCATTGAATGTTTGCCGTGTACTGAGGAATCTGCCCTGAGTCCCCTTGGGGAGATAGGGCGGAAAATAAATAAGTTGTTGTTGTTGTTGTTGTTATAGAATAAAATAATGTAAATGTAATAACAAGAATAATAGAATAAAATAATAAATGTAATAATAAAAATAGAATAAAATAATAAATATAATAAATATATATATATTTTAATCGTGTCAGGAGTGACTCCTGGTGTGAGAGAATTGGCTGTCTGCAAGGACGTTGCCCAGGGGATGCCTGGGTGATCTGATGTTTTTTATCATCCTTGTGGGAGGCTTCTCTCATGTCCCCTTTGCATGAGGAGCTGGAGCTGATAGAGGGAGCTCATCCGCCTCTCCCTGGATTCGAACCTGCGACCTGTCGCTCTTCAGTCCTGCCGGCACAGGGGTTGAACCCACTGCGCCACCGGGGGCTCCAATATAATAATAGAGTAAAATACTAAATGTAACAATAATAACAATAGGGTAAAATAACAAATAACTTCAACTCTAGAATAAGCCAGGGGGGGGGGGGCTTTTTCAGACTAAAAAAGGGCTCCAAAACTCAGCTTATATTCAAGTATATACGGTAAGTGCAAGCGTCAATGCTGGTGCAACTGTGTGGACATGTGATGAGGGCACCACGTTCTGCCATTCTTCTCAAGGCATTGTTTTGTTCTCAACACCATACGTTTGGACCTTAAACCAAAAGGAGACTCCGTGAACCTCAAGCCCTTCTCCCCGTCACAGAGTCCCTTGCGCTGTGCTGCTCTGCTGCTGAGTAGGCATGCCCAGTGTGGAACACATCTCACCACACTAAAACAGTGGATGTGGCTCTTAATGAGACATGCCGCATTATCATGGGGTGTCTGCACCCTACACCACTGGAGAAATTACACTGCTTAGCCGGTATTGCACCACCTGACATCCGCCAGGAAGTAGCAGCCAATAGTGAAAGGACCAAGGCAGAGACATCTCCAGCTCATCCCCTGTTTGGGTATCAGCCAGCACGCCAACGACTTAAATCTAGACATAGTTTTCTAAGATCTACAGACACTCGCTGGAACACCTCAGCAAGCGAGAGTCCAAAAGTGGCAGGCTCAAACCCAGAACCTCAACCAATGGCTGATACCAAATGAGAGACTCCCCCTGGGCACACAGAAGACTGGGCGACTTGGAAGGCGCTGAACAGACTGCGCTCTGGCACCACGAGATGCAGAGCCAACCTAAGAAATGGGGCCACAAAGTGGAATCCACGACATGCGAGTGCGGAGAAGAGCAAACCACTGACCACCTGCTGCAATGCACCCTGAGCCCTGCCACATGATGCACAAGGGAGGACCTCCTTGCGGCAACACCAGAGGCACTCCAAGGGGCCAGATACTGGTCAAAGGACATTTAATCAACTACCAAACTTCACACATTTGTATTTTGTCTGTTTGTTTGCTTTGTTCTGTTAGAAATGTAATATAATTTGACTGGTTGTCCTGACACGACAAATAAATAGAGTCCAGATGGTTGTTGTATCCGTAAATGATTTGCTGGAACACCACTCATTTACGAGGGACAGGAAATATAATAATAATAATAATAATAATAATAATAATAATAATAATAATAATAATAATAAACAACTTTATGTATACCCCGCCACCATCTCCCCCAACGGGGACTCGAAATAGAAAGCAAATGGCACCGGGACTGCTGAATCAATGTGCCACCTCACCCCCCCCCCTCCCTCCCCCCCAGGTTCACCTACCTTGGCATTACCACCTTGTGCTTCTGGCGCAGCTGCTCTACCCACAGACTGGGTCTTGTTTGGAGACACTGACCTTCGTGGGTGGATTCCTGTGCCACAGCGAGAATACGCTCTCAGGTATTTTTGTGCCTCTGGATTCGGGGAAATAGGACCTTCCTGAAGAAGCAAAAAGCAAAAAAGTGCGCGTGAGAGGAAGGTGACTAGGAAGCCACCTCAACTGAAACAGCAAGGCAACATCACTACCCGTGTCCTCAATGAACTGAACTGGAATCGGTTTACTCCTAAATTATTTATTATCCCATTTCCATTTCTTTAAACTGGACAACTCAGTGATATTGATAAACTTAAGAATCAAAGAGAGAGGGAACACAAAGCAATTTGAAAGCACACAAAAACAACTCACAGAAGGTTGCAGACAATTCAGTTTAGCTTCACATCACTACACATCTCCTGATATTTTGTTTCTGATCTATAATGAGGACGGGAGCCGTTGCAAATCAGGCAGGGCTTATTTTTAATCCACATTTTGTTGGGAGGAGCGCATCCTGTGGTGAATCCTGGCTAGACGAAGCCAACCTGGCCCCCAGACTCTGAAGTTGCCTTCCACAGGCTCTCCCCTGCTTCGTCCTCAGTATACTATCTTTCCTGCTATACGTTTTCTTGCCTCGTTTAACTGCAACTACCCACATTTCCTCATATAATAGTCACTAATGCATAATAGTTGTAGCTTTACACATGAGGCGTTCAACCTGGGGCTTCTTCTCACACTGAGGCTTTTTTCCCACTGAGGGGTCTCTCACACTGAGGCGTTCTAACACTGAGGCCTTTCTCCCACTGAGACCTTCTCACACAGAGGGCTCTCTCACACTGAGGCCTCTCTCACACTGAGGAAAAAAAACACTGAGCCCTTTCTCCCACTGAGGGGTCTCTCAGACGTTCTAACACTGAGGCCTTTCTCCCACTGAGGTCTTCTCACACAGAGGGCTCTCTCACATTAAGACCTCTCTCACACTGAGGAAAACAAACACTGAGCCCTTTCTCCCACTGAGGGGTCTCTCAGACTGAGGCGTTCTAACACTGAGGCCTTTCTCCCACTGAGGCCTTCTCACACAGAGGGCTCTCTCACACTGAGGCCTCTCTCACATTGAGGAAAACAAACACTGAGCCCTTTCTCCCATTGAGGCCTCTCTCAGACTGATGCCTACTAAGCTACAGGCACCCCTGCTTATACTGAACTGCAGCTTTTGCTGAGTTATTGCATCCATTTAACCCTTTCAGTGCTTGACTCACATTTTTGTGTATAAAAGTACTTGGCTAATTTTTAATATTTCTGACATGAAATACGGGGAGTTGGTGAGAATTACCCCAGGGCATATTGGGCTCAGCAGTACCTGCAACTTCATCTTCACTTTGGACTCCACGTTCTCGTATTTCTGGGACTTCCAGAGGGCTTTGACTGGCTTGTGCTGGTTGAGCTCCCGAGCCTGCTCTTTCTCTCGGTACTTCTTCTGAATCTCCCTCATGCGCTTCAGGTTCTCCTTCTCGTGGTCCTTGTGGTCTCTTCCTGTGTAACGAGAGAAATGAAGCATTGCAGCCGCCTTCGTGCAACCCTGGGACTGGTAGAGAGACAGCAGTTGCCTCCAGACAGCCGCCCAAAACTTACGTCGAGGTGTGTGCTCCTGAGAGAAGGAGATGCTGTCCAGCTGCAGCAAAGCGCTCACGGTGCCCTGCTGACCCCTCTCCCAAATGTCCTTGCCATTGGCTTTGATTCGGGGAGGAGGGTGAGCGAGGCGAGCGCTGTAACACGTCGGGTGCAGGCTGCACTCTGGAGGAATGGGTCCGGGAAGCAGGTCCAGCTTCAGAGAGTTCCCTTCCAGTCTCCCTCGGGCTAAACACACAAAATAAGTGTCAAAAAGGGAGTGCAGCTATTACCGCATAATAGTTGTAGCTTTACACATGAGGCGTTCAACCTGGGGCTTCTTCTCACACTGAGGCCTTTTCCCCACTGAGGGCTCTCTCAGACTGAGGGCTCTCTCAGACAGAGGTGTTCTAACACTGAGGCCTTCTTACACAGAGGGCTCTCTCACACTGAGGAAAACAAACTCTGAGCCCTTTCTCCCACTGAGTGCTCTCTCAGACTGAGATCTTCTAACACTGAGGCCTTCTCTCAGTGAGGCCTTCTCACACAGAGGACTCTATCACACTGAGGAAAACAAACTCTGAGCCCTTTCTCCCACCGAGGTCTCTCTCAGACTGAGGCCTACAAGCTGTTAGGATTTCTGGGAGTTGAAGGCCAAAACATCTGGGGACGATATGTGTGGGGAGAGGGAATTCTTTGAACCTAATAGCCAAATGTAGTTTGACATAAATTCCCAGAGCCCAGGCTCCCACAACAGGCACGTTAAAACAAAGCCTATCTCAGATTAAAGCCCTTCCTGGCAGGAATTAGGCCCCAGTCATTTCAGCCTTTCCTAACACTGGCCAACACACATTTGGGGACTTCCAAATTAGACCTGTTTCTGAATATATCTGACCTGCTAATTCCAGAAAAGGCACCAGATTTCCCCTTTAAGCTCTAGGATTTGAGATACAGAACATATGGCATGTACCAGCCACCCCCTGCTCGGCCACAGAAAATCATGACAACCATATCTAAAAAACAAGAGCTAATCCAATGCAATTTTCTGAATCAGCACCCCGGATAATCTGGGAATAGGGTTGGAGAACCTCAACTTCTGCAATAGAAGACAACCTGCAAGGAGCCCAAGGTTCCTAAGAGACAGAAGAAAAATTCCAGTAACTTATTTTCCCAGAACATGTGTGCTTATGTGTTGTGTCGAAGGCTTTCCTGGCTGGAATCACTGGGTTGCTGTGAGTTTTCCAGGCTGTATGGCCATGTTCCAGAAGCATCCTCTCCTGAAGTTTCACCCACATCTATGGCGGGCATCCTCAGAGGCTATGAGGTACACTGGGAACTCGACAAGGGAGGTTTGTATATCTGTGGTGGGAGAATGAACTCTTGCCTGTCTTGATTAGCATTGCAAAGCCTTGCAGCTTTAAGGCCTGGCTGATTCCTGCCTGGGGAAATCCTTTGTTAGCTGGCCCTGACTGTTTCATGTCTGGAATTCCCCTGTTTTCAACGTGCTCTTCTTTATTTATTGTCCTGATTGTAGATTTTTTTAAAAATACTGTTAGCCAGGTGTCATGGCTTCCTCCTCTCTGTTGAAATTGCCAGGGCAGTAAATAAGGAACAACACGTAGAGTTCTGCGCCCCTTCTACACACCACAGCACGCAGCCCCCAATGTATTACCCACGACACGCTCTGCAAACGTGCAGCACACTCACCGGAGAGAGGGCGCCTGTAGTAATCCGGGCACAGGGTGGGGTCGGGGGGAATGGGACCTGTGATCCGGGACAGCCCCTCTGCCATCTTCACCTCAGCAACCAAAAACCCACTTGAAACGGTGAAGCCTGTCTCGATCACGGAGGACTTGCAGTCAAATTCCTTGGGAGGAGCAGAAAGGCATTCGTTGTAAGGAGGTGCACCCCTTCTTCTTTATTGATTAGCAGCATTGACAGCCCACCTTTCTTCCGGTGACTCCAGAGTGGAACATAGGGTTCTTTCCCTGCTCACAACCACCCCGTGACGGTCGGGGGAGAGAAGGACCGCCTCAGAGTCAACCAATGACACAACGGCTCTCAAAGTACTTTGATGAGAGCAAGATAGACCTCACATAACAATGTCTATGACAGCCCCCATATGTTGACTATCTGACTGTGGGCAGCTGGCTAGGCGTCAGCTGCATTAAGATCACTACTGACCGAAAGATCACGAGTTCGAAGCCAGCCCAGGTCGGAGTCCGACCAATTTGTGTAGCTTACTGTTGACCTTTGCAGCCCAAAAGAGAGTTGCATCTGTCAAGTAGGAAATTAAGGTACTGCTTATGTGGGAGGCAAATTTAACTAATTTACGAGGCCATAAAAATCTCCAGCAAGCATGCAAAGAATGAGGAAGTACTTCACAAATGGTCGGTGAAGGGGCAGCTCACTACTTTGATGAGAACAAGATAGACCTCATGTAATTATGTATATGACAGCCCCCATATGCTGACTATCTGGAACAAAAATGAGAAGATCATAGGCTTCCAGGATCCTCTCTACTACAAACACTAGAGCTCTACTAACCAAATCATGATACCAAGGACATATAAAAGTCAAGATAAAGCTTTCCCCTTGACATTTAGTCTAGTTGTGTCCAACTCTGGGACTCTGGTGCTCATCTCCATTTCTAGGCAGAAGAGAACGGCGTCATCCACAGACACCTCCAAGCTCACGTGGCCACTGGCATGACTGCATGGACCAATGTTACCTTCCCGCAGATGCAGTACCTATTGATCTACTCACATCTGCATGTTTTCAAAGTGCTAGGTTGGCAGAGCTGGGCCTAACAGTGAGATCTCACCCCACTCCCTGGATTCGAACCTGAGACCTTTGGGCCAGCATGTTCAGCAGCTCAGCGGTTTAACTCGCTGCATCACCAGAGGCTCCTCAAGAACATATACTAAGATTGAAAAGAATTCCGAGTCCAAAAATTCATTCTGAATACCAGGCACCAACTGAGACAATAGACCATCCGCAAAGACATTCATGGTAATGCTGCCACTCCAAGCTTTTCTTAAATTTCAGATGGAAATTTAGGATTCAGGCGGTAAAAACCAGACATTTTGTTGCTGCCACTTTTAAGCAATCGGATCTTCAAGACAGGGCCTTCTCAGTGGTGGCCCCTCGGCTATGCAACGCCCTTCCTGGGAACATTAGATTGGCCCCCTCCCCCTCTTAACATTCTGGAAAAGAGTCAAGACTTGGTTGTTTCAGCAAGCGTTTGAAAATTTAAGGTAAAAGACACAGGAATTTGGAACAGCTGGATGACGAGATGGGACAATGTTTTGATTAGGAGACACAAATGGATTACGTTTTTAATACTCTTGTTATAATTTTATATTATGTGTTAATGTTTTTAAGGAGCCCCCGGTGGTGCAGTGGGTTAAAGCGCTGAGCTGCTGAGCTTGTTGACCAAAAGGTCGCAGGTTCGATTCCGGGGAGCAGTGTGAGCTTCTGCTGTCAGCCCTAGCTTCTGCCAACCTAGCAGTTTGAAAACATGCAAATGTGAGTAAATCAATAGGTACCGCTCTGGCGGGAAGGTAACGGCGCTCCAGACTGTCATGCCGGTCACATGACCTTGGAGATGTCTATGGACAATGCCGGCTCTTCAGCTTAGAAATGGAGATGAGCACCAGAGTCCCAGAGTCAGACATGACTGGATTTAGTGTCAGGGGACAACCTTTACCTTTACTTTAATGTTTTTAAATAGTTTATGGTGTTTTGGGGCATCAAACTGTTGCCATTGTGAACCGCCCTGAGTCACCTGAGGGCTGAGGACGGTATACAAATATAGTAAATAAATACATAAATAAATAGCCCTAAACGGTTCCGGCCCAAGCTACCTTTCCGACCGCATCTCGGCCTATGAACCCACCAGGACTTTGAGATCTTCCGGGGAGGCCCTGCTCTCGATCCCGCCAGCTTCACAAGCTCGACTGGCGGGGACGAGAGACAGGGCCTTCTCGGTGGTGGCTCCCCGGCTGTGGAACGCCCTTCCCACAGATATTAGATTAGCACCATCTCTTATGGTCTTCCGCAAAAAAGTAAAGACCTGGTTATTTGTGCAGGCGTTCGAATAATTAGTGCAAGACTGGTAATGACATAGGAATGGAACAATGGATGACGAACCTGGATCATGTTTTTAGTGACGAGACGCTAGTGAATGGTTATCATAGTAATTGTGTATTAATTGTGTATTAGATTAGGTTATTAACTGTTTATATTGGTGTTGAATTTTGCTGTGTTCTGTGTTTTGTGAACCTCTGTGAGTCGCCTTCGGGCTGAGAACAGCGGTATAGAAGCAAAGTAAATAAATAAATAAATAAATAATGTAATTTGGCTGAAATGTAGCTTAATGAAACAGGTAGTAAGAGAAGCTCTGTAGCCCTCTGGTTCCAAACCTCTCAGCCGTTTCCTGCGTGCCTTCCAAAAGGGAGTGACGCCCCGCGCTTTGCCACCGGGCAGAGCCAGGCACAAAGCCCTGGAATCCTGCCAGCAACAAACAGGCCGCAGCTGCTGTGACTCTGCGGCCAGGCACCCTATTTACTTATTTATTTATTTCTTTGGGGCTTTTCTATCCCGCCCTATCTCAACCTCCGCAGAGGGACTCAGGACGGCTTACAAATTGGCATCCCATGGTGCCCATTCCAGAAACATAAATATACAATTTAGCAGCAGTATAACAATACACAGTGTAAAACAGTATACAACAATATAAAAACACGCAGTCAGCTTGAATAATCATCCAAGGGGGAGTCAGGCAGTTCTATAAAAGTTGTCAAGTCAGCAAGTCACCCTAATCTACCAAGGCCTGATCCCATGGCCAAGATTTCACTTGTTTCCGGAAGGACAAGAGGGATGCAGCAGATCTAATTTCAATTGAGAGGGAGTTCAACAGCTGAGGGGCCACCACAGAAAAGGCCCCGTTCCTTGTCCTCGCCAGACGGGATTGCGACAATGGGAGAACAATGAGTTGGGTCTCCCCAAAAGATCTTAGGGCCTTAGGTGGGTCGTAGTTTGGAAAAGTAACCTGCTAATAGAACCAAGCTGGCACAGAAGCAGTCAGGAAAAGCGACAGCCTTTCTTCTTCCCTGCGCTTCCTCCAAAAATACTCTGACTGCAGATTCCACCTCCTGCTCGGCACACTGTCCCTGGTTCTTGGAGAAGGGTGGTTTGTGGTGAGAGCTAAGCCAATGCTACCTTGGCGGCCACCTCTCCACAAATGTCAACATTGGCACCGAAATACAATACCGCCTGAGCTCTGCAGTGCAGCATTTTTCCAAACGAAGCAGAGTGTTTGAGGACCGGGACATCCATAGGGAGACCAAGGTGCTTGTTTATAAAGCTATTGTCCTCCCAACCCTGTTGTATGCCTGTGAAACGTGGACTGTCTACAGATGTCACATGCAACTCCTGGAACGATTCCATAAGCATTGCCACTGAAAAATCCTGCAAATCTCTTGGGAAGGCAAGCGGACAAACGTCAGCATGCTGGAAGAAGCAAAGACCACCAGCATTGAAGCGATGGTCCTCCACCATCAACTCCGGGAAGACAAGTGGACAAATGTCAGATGCTGGAAGAAGCAAAGACCAGCAGCATTGAAGCGATGCCCCTCCACCATCAACTCCGCTGGACCGGCCACGTTGTCCGGATGCCCGACTACCGTCTCCCAAAGCAGTTGCTCTACTCTGAACCCAAGAACGGAAAACGGAATGTTGGTGGGCAGGAAAAGAGATTGAAAGATGGGCTCAACTTTGGCATTGACACCGAGAACTGGGAGCCCTGGCCCTTAAGGGCTCCAGCTGGAGGTCAGCTGTGACCAGCAGTGCTGCAGAATTCAAAGAGGCACAAATGGAGGGCGAAAGAGAGAAACATGCCAAGAGGAAGGAGGCACATTAAGCCAACCCTGACTGGGACCATCTTCCATGTGGAATCCAATGCCCTCACTGTGGGAGAAGATGCAGGTCAAGAATAGGGCTCCACAGTCACCTACGAACCCACAGCCAGGACACTATACTTGGAGGACCATCCTCCTCGGACTATGAGGGATCGCCTAAGTAAGCAAGCCAACACTGTTTGCTGTAACCAGTAAACCAGTACAGTAAACCAGTACAGTACAAGATTCTGTAATTGTGGAAGGCTTTCATGGCTGCCAGAAGGGACAGAGAGTTTCATCTATGCTGATGATCGTGCCATTACTGCTCAAGCAGGGAGCTTTGAGACAGTAGAACAGAAGCTCTCCGAAGCTCTAGGTGCCCTTACTGCCTATGACAGGGAAAACCAGCTGATCCCTGACCCATCTAAAACACAGACGTGTGCTTTTCATCTCAAGAACAGAGAAGCATCTCGAGCTCTGAGGATTATGACCTTGGAAGGAATCCCACTGTAACATTGCAGCGCACCCAAATACCTGGGAGTCACTTTGGACCGTGCTCTGACCTACAAGAAGCACTGCCTGAACATCAAGCAAAAAGTGGGCACTAGAAACAACATCATATGAAAGCTGACTGGCACAACCTGGGGATCACAACCAGACACAGTGAAGACATCTGCCCTTGCGCTATGCTACTCTGCTGCTGAGTACGCATGCCCGGTGTAGAACACTTCTCACCACGCTAAAACAGTGGATGTGGCTCTGAATGAGACATGCCGCATTATCACGGGGTGCCTGCGCCCTACACCACTGGAGAAATTACACTGCTTAGCCGGTATTGCACCACCTGACATCCGCCGGGAAGTAGCAGCCAATAGTGAAAGGACCAAGGCAGAGACATCTCCAGCTCATCCCCTGTTTGGGTATCAACCAGCACGTCAATGACTTAAATCAAGAAATAGTTTTCTAAGATCTGCAGAGACACTCGCTACAACACCTCAGCAAGCGAGAGTCCAAAAGTGGCAGCACCTCAATCAGTGGCTGATACCAAATGAGAGACTCCCCCCTGGACACATAGAAGAAGACTGGGCGACTTGGAAGGTGCTGAACAGACTGCGCGAGATGCAGAGCCAACCTCAAGAAATGGGTCCACAAAGTGGAATAATCCACAACATGCGAGTGTGGAGAAGAGCAAACCACTGACCACCTGCTGCAATGCAACCTGAGCTCTTCTTCCACATGATGCACAAGGGAGGACCTTCTTGCAGCAACACTGGAGGCACTCCAAGGGGCCAGAGACTGGTCAAAGGACATTTAATCAGCTACCAAGCTTGCAATATTTGTATTTTGTTTGTTTGTTTGCTTTGTTCTGTTAGAAATGTAATATAATTGACTGGTTGATCTGACACGACAAATAAATAAATAAATAAATAAATGGCTGGAATCACTGGGTTGTGGTAGGTTTTTGGGGCTATAGGGCCATGTTCTAGCAGCATTCTCTCCTGACGGATGCTTGCCATAGATGCAGGCGAAACGTCAGGAGAGAATGCTGCTAGAACATGGCCCGATAGCCCCAAAAACCTACAACCCCAGATTCTGCAAGTTTGTAACAATTATAATTATATGAATACTTCCTCTCGTGAAGACAGAATCCCCTTCCACGCAGCTGAATCCAATCCCACGTTATCTGCCTTGAACCGGAATATGTGGCAATGTGGACTCAGGGAACCCGGTTCTAAGCAGATATTCCGGGTTATGTGGCTGTGTGGAAGGGCCCAAGCAGAGAAGAGAAGGGGGCGCGTCCCCTGGGGGAGCCTCGGGTGGGAAGGCCCGCCTCACGCCCCCGCCGGGCTCGGCTCACCTCTCGGGACGAGAACAGGCCGCGGTTGGGATCTCCCCGCCGCCTCCTCCTCCTCCTCCCGTCGCTAAGCAACCGTCGCTTCCTCTCGCAAGGCGGAAGGTAAACAAAGCCCTTCTAGGAAGTGTAGCACCGCCCCTTCTCGCCTGAGGGCCGGCGCCGCAGCGCCCCTTGTGGCCGAGGGAGGGAAGGGCAGGGAGGGAAGCAAGAGGTGGTGTTGGAGGTGTTGGAGGAAAGTGCTGAGAGTGCCTTGGACTGCGAGAAGATCCAACCAGTCCATCCTCCAGGAAATAAAGCCCGACTGCTCACTGGAGGGAAAGATACTAGAGACAAAGTTGAAGTCCTTTGGCCACATCATGAGAAGACAGGAAAGCTTAGAGAAGAGAATGATGCTGGGGAAAGTGGAAGGCAAAAGGAAGAGGGGCCGACCAAGGGCAAGGCGGATGGATGGCATCCTTGAAGTGACTGGATTGACCTTGAAGGAGCTGGGGGTGGTGACAGCTGACAGGGAGCTCTGGCATGGGGTGGTCCATGAGGTCACAAAGAGTCGGAAGCCACTGAACGAATAAACAACAACAAACCAGGCCTGGGCAAATCTGGGCCCGCCCTCCCTTCAGGTGTTTTGGACTCCAACTCCCACCATTCCCAACCACCTCGGGCCCCTTCCTTTTCCCCCTCAGCCGCTTAAGCTGAGTGCTGGGCCCATAACCAACGTTAGGCTCTGTTACACAGTAGCATTGTACGCAGCAGCCTTCGCACGGGAGTGTTACACATAAGGCTTCTCTCATACTGTGAGGCCTCCCTCGCAGAGAAGCCTCCTCGCACTGACTGAGGCGCTCTCTCACTGAGGCAAACAAACACTAACAGGCTTTGGCATACTCACTGTCCTATCTTGTTCATAACTTGGAGACTGCCTGTAATGCAGTTATACGAGTCTATTATGAAATATATCATACTGTTATTGAACACGATACCCCCCCCTCCTCCTCCTCAATTACATATGATTGCAGAGAATATCAGGAACAGACCAAGAGCAGCATCAAAGCCCACAAAGACTTAATTGTTTCAACCCTAAAATAAAATCTATTTGTTCTAACCTTCTGCCTGACCTGTATACATAGGGTATAGGTGTGTGCATACATACAGAATCCTCCAAAGCACTTTACATTTTTAGGTCTGCTTGTCTGTTTCTCACAAATGCCGCTATCGCCTTTTTGCCCATGCTGCAGCATTACTTTCAATTTTAATTTTACATTTGGCCTACCCATAGTTTTTAAAGTGTGTTGTCCTATTGATAATGCTTATGTTATTGTTTTATTGTTTTGTTGTTTTTAAATTGCTTGTATTGTGTTTGTTATTGCCTGTATTGCTGTATTTTGGGCTCGGCCTCATGTAAGCCACACCGAGTCCCCTGGGGAGATGGTAGCGGGGTATAAATAAAGTGTTGTTATTATTATTATTATTATTATTATTATTATTATTATTAATCCAGTTCTCCATATAAAATGCAACAAGACGTAGCCCAGAAGACCACCACCCTTTTGTAACCTTGCTGGGACTTTTCCTGGGCAAGAGAGGGTGGGCAAATCTCTCTGGCTGTTCCCGGCTAGGGTAATCATCACAACCCATTCTGGAGATAGAGAGATAGATAGATAGATAGATAGATAGATAGATAGATAGATAGAGAGATAGATAGATATGTAATATATATATGCAGAGACAGGCAGCTCCCCACGTCAGGCCAGATAAGACAGTAAATATTGGCTTAACTTAATGGCCCCCGTGGGCTGAGAGATTGCTGACCATGGAAACAGAGGCTCAGCGTGCGTACATTTGCTTAACCTTTATATTTGGAGCCAACTCCAATTGTCAAGATCATCCTCACCTTTTAGGTCTTTGGAGCCTCAAGCACTTGTTACGCTGAGTCAGTCAATCAAAGACTCGTTATCATCTCTTTGACATTGTTTCCATAAAGGGCGTCCCTTTGCAGAGGATGTCCCTCCAGCCGACTGGCCCTCCGGTCAGCGAATCCCAGGCTGCCATTTCCCCGCGAAAGGGAATCCTCGCCTGGAGGCAGTGATGTCAGCAGTGTCCTCAACCAATCAGGGTGCGGATCCAGACTGGCCCCTCTCTTTTGAATAGCTGTCATGCTGCATAAAAAATGTTATGCTTGACCTTGCCTCCCTTTTTGGCCAGACTGAATAACCTTCAGTGGCTTGTCTTCACCCGGATGTGTTTCCTGTCTCTCTGCCTGGCCCATTTGGTGTTAGCCTGAGACTGCCGGGCACAGTCCCTGTTATCCGCGGTCCTAGTCTTAAATCTAACTACAATACTCTTCAGTTCAAGCTGCAATGACCGGTGCGCTGTCCCTGGCTTCTGTGGCCCACCAACCTGAGAGAGAGTGGACAGAATGCAGCAGTCCTTGCGTAGCCTAGCAACCGGAGTCGGGAAGGCGGCGGTGCCATCGTTGTCTCCAGACGGACCTCGTGCTTCGGTGGAGACGGATCCCCTGCCTTGGTGGGGATCTCCTCCTTCCGTTAATTAGATCCAGTCAGCTCAAGCCTTTGATACGGAGGGCAACTCCAGGTTGTTGTGAGGATGAACTGCAGGTCTTTGGAGAGAGAGAGAGAGAGAGCCCTGCATGGGCCTGAATACACCTTGGGAAAATGTTAATCTCACTCCTATGTTATTGGTCAGCAAGTTGACTTTGAATTATGAATGAGAGCTCCAAGGCCCCTGGTCATCAACTGCCCTGTACAGACACTCCCCGAGTTACAGACAATATAGGCTCTGTAGGTTGTTCTTAAGTTGAATCTGTATGTAGGTCAGATCAGGTATATTTTCAAGTGTAACTCCACCCAAGAAATACACGTATTTTTAAGCTTTAGATAGCACAGGGAAGGGTGAACACTGTTTTTTTCTGTTTAGAAGATGTTCCTTCACTTTATCTCCCTGTGATAACTGGATTTTGAAAAAAATGGCTTGTTTTGGAAACAAGGATTGATGATAAATCTTTAGTGCAGACTCCTTTTCCCCAGGATAATAACTCTTTCGGGACGGAACTTCTCTTCCGAGGGGGAGATTCCTTTCACTTCCTGTCGTCTCACTCCCGTTCTTAACTAGGAGTCAGATGCTTGTACCTCAGGGACTGCCTTAGTGTGGTCCCCCTCTTTTTCTCCTATTGCCTTCTTCCACTCTTCAAAGCTCTGTTGCAGAGCTTTCCAAACTGTGTGTCGACTGCGGTGTGTCGCACCAACATAATGAGCCCATGTGAAATACACACTAAATTGTATATTTGTAAAAATATAAATGAGAAGGTTTTAATGAGATATGTTATGTCCCCATACATTTCATTATTACAATTTATTTATGTGCCTGTGTCTCTTATAAGGGGTTGGTTTAACCCAGGCCTGTGCAAACTTGAGCCCTCCCTCCAGGTGTTTTGGACTCCAACTCCCACCATTCCTAACAGCCTCAGGCCCTTTCCTTTCCCCCCTCAGCCGCTTAAGCTGGGCTGAAGATCAGGAGCTCACCTTGAGCCAGGCTTCGAACTGTCAACCTTTCGGTTGGCAAGATTTACTGCAACTGGTGGTTAACTTGTATTGATGTATTTTGGGCTCAGCCTCATGTAAGCCGCACCGAGTCCCTTGGGGAGACGGTAGTGTTAGAGACCCTAAATCGGGTCTTCTTAGGTCCGTGCAGTCACGGGAACACGTAAGGAAGGAGACAGTCCCAAAAGAGATAAAAAACAAGGTTTATTTTAGTTTCTTCATGAAGAAGATGGACAGCCTGGTAGCATACACAGATGCTACCCTTCAAGTGACTGCTGCGTTCCCTTGGCTTTTTGACCACTGATATATAACCTCAAGTAAACAAGAACATTTTTTGTCATGGAAAGTACTCTTTTTCCAGTCCCCTCCCTTGACCTTTTGATGGAAAGTACCTTCTTGTACCTGCAGACTCTGCGCTTAACCACAACCTTTGAACTTAACCACAAAACAACTTCCGACCTCTACATGTCACATCTTGTTTCTTAAAAACATTTTCTTCCGTATTGCTCTTTTTTTTCTACAGAGAAAGGGTATGTTTCTCTTTTGTTGTTAATTTCATTCAAAGCCCCTTGCTTAGCATTTGCAAATTTCACTCAAAGACTCTTCTCAGTAGCGGGGTACAAATAAAGTTTATTATTATTATTATTATTATTATTATTATTATTATTATCATTATTATCATTATTAACCTGCTGTGCGTCTTCACAAACTGCTGATTGTCTCCACAACCAATACAGAGCTCAGCAAGGCGACCTGGCTCGCCCTGGCCATCTTGCCTGTCTGGAGCATGCAAAATCTACACGCTGTTTACTGGTATCTTCTACCGTTTCAGACCTCTCCTTCTCCTTTGCAGGCAATGGCGGCTCTTGCAAGGAGTCCCAATGAGAAGAAATCATCGGGAGGGAAGGCATCGCCCTCTCACTTCCTGTTGCAACTGGCTGCAGCTTTGGACAATTCCACTATTAAGTCGCTACAGGTAAAGATGTGGAGCTCCAACTTTATTTTCTTTCTGTTATCTGCTTGCAGTCATAGGACAGGCCTCCTGTCAATCATAATTAAGCTTTGGTTCCGCCCCTTGTTCAGGGCTCTGGGAGGGAAAGAAGCCATTTTTTGGGGCAGTCTCTCACAAGGAAGCTAAACTATAGGATGTAGACCAGCTCGTCCCATAGAAAAGCTTCTTTTCTCAAGACTATCCGGGGAAACAGAAACAGAAATTCCAGGGAAAAGGTCCCAAGGCTCTGGCTGAGAGCTCACAGCCTCTCAGCAAACAGAGGGAAAACAGCCCTGAAGTTTCAAAGAATTCTCTGAGGGAGGACAGCATTACAGATCCACGGAACTCCATCTGAAATATCTTCAAGCCTCGGCTGGTAGGTCTACTCGATACCCAGACGCATTTGGAATCGGTAGTAGGACCCACACCGATGAGGCATAGATAGTAAACAGCCTGGGAGAGGTTAAAAAGGGTTTTTCCTACAGAGAAAGTACAGTTAATCAAAGTCAGGTACCAACCCATTGAGGAC